ATCATATGCCTTCGAACCGGTCATCGTAGGTGGTGTCCGTATCGGTAGCTGATCGGTTTGAGATCGACTCCGTTTACGGCTCGGTTTCGGAGTAACCGTACCCTCTTCCTGCTCTTCCTCTTCCTGCTCTTCCTCTCCTAGCTCTTCCTCTCCTAGCTCTTCCTCATCGTCTGCAAGGTCCCTTTGCGGATCTAGCTCCAGAGGTGTTGTCTTGCTAGCAGTCTTGGGTATGCTAGACGACGATGCCTTCGCCGATACCTTCTTTGGAGCTACCTGGGCTTTCTTCTTTCGACCCGCCGTCTTTGGGGCCGCCTTCTTTCTGTTCTTTTTCTTCGTAGCTGTTTGTTCTCTCGCAAGTTGAGCAGTGCGCTCAATCTCGTCTTCAAACCGGACGCGCGTTCGCGTACTGCGCGTACCAATTCCACGCAGTTGGGGTGCCATTTCCTAAATAAAAAATAAAAAACCCGATATAAAACCCAATCTAATAATTTCCCTTTAATTTCACAACTTGCAGTCACGAATTCAGCGCGTTTTGGTCATAAAATGGGTGATAATTATCGCGTTTTCTGGTGGAGTTGCGGGCGGGACACACACACACTCAAAAAAACGCCAAGCGTTCTCTCACATTTTGCAACCGCCAGATCACGAAACACACCATATTTCCTACATCAATGATACCCGCGCCTCTGTCAAAGAGCCTAGGAGGTTTTCCTCCATCCAGCACCATGGTGCGTAATTTCATCTGCGATATTGCGAAATCTGAGGTCGTCTAGCAAGTCGAACACTCGATTCACACCTTGGAGATTTTCACTAGGGTGAGCTTACTCATCATGCAGGGTCACTAGGGTATTACGATCTCATTCGCCAGAACTGCCCTGGCCCACTCTGCATATTTGAACTAACCCAATGTGGTTGCACTGATCCAGCCCTCCCTTTTGGAGGCGATCCAGGTCAACCTCAAACTCTCATTCCTCCCACTCAATTTCCTCCTTCAATGGTCATAGAAGGGATTTCCAATTGAATAGTATACTGCTTAATGACCTCACCATGCCGTCGGAACCATCTGCCGTATGTTGAAATCTAAGATCGTGTAGTGTGTACACCTCTTTGAGTCGCATATATTCTGGTTCTGCCCGGTTCCACCGCAGTCTTTCTCGGGAATTTACTGCAGAACACGCTGTCTTTGACCTCTCACAGTTATCAAACCAGGTAGCAGTTCCTCTCAGTATATCGGTGCAGGCTACAAGGTATAAATCCAGCTTTTTATAATCAACCGTCCTCTTGCGATCAGTCTCTCCTTAACGTTCCTATTATTTTCAGTTCAGATGTTCGGGCAATCTCTATCCAAACTAATTCGTCCAAGTCCTTCATACTCTTATCCCAGCCCTTTTCATATTATACTTAGACCGGTGTTAATAAATTCATTTCTTCGATCCGAGAGGGATTCGTATTATTTATCTACTGTTTAAGTAATTTTCATTTCTTTATGGTTAACACGTACCAAAACTTTGAACACAGACCTTGCTTTCACCATCATGTTTCTGCTATCATATCTCTACTACCAGCGGCAGGAGTAAAAAATAGGACACTTTGACCTACCGCCGAGTGAGCAAGAGCCAAAGCAGAGGAAAAGTTAGATCCCATACCAGGATCTCACTGGGTCAAAGATGGGTGGTCAGGCCATCGTCCGTAGCGCTGGTCTCGAAGATATTTTCTGGATACCAAATGAGAACCGAGAACCTGAGACACCAACGCTCTATGACCCCAAAACTTTCCCGGACTATGAAGACACTGTACGGCGCGGCTTCTGCGGCGAGACACAATCCCCGCCTCCCTTTCTTCTACATCTCCCGTCCGCTCATCACAGCACTCAGGACGGAAGCATTGCAGTATTACGATCAACCCTCGAACCAATCGATTGGAACAATGAGGACGACTATGTGGGCAAAGACTTCATCGAAGTGGTGGGATCTATCTTGGATAGTGCACGAAACGGGGTGCTTCAACATTTTCTGAACATCGAAGGCGTCGAAAGCTTCTTGTTCGCAAGATTTGGCCCGGGAGACAAGTTCTGTCAGATCATTGGACGACGGAATCGAGAAGTATTCGTACGTCGTCTTCCTAGATACTTAGGCGTCATTCCCTTTATCGAACCAATCCCTGATGTCGCTAACACACAGTAGATCGGGTACGCACTTACCGAAGCGCTCGATACTGCCAGGAACGGTGATGCCCTCCTGCTTGCGCTATTCGAAGACAATGCCTTGCTTGACGATCACGGACACAAACCCTGCCTACAGTCATGCGGACTCCAGAGCTGGGTCCTTATTTTCGTTACCGAGAAGCAGGAATGGTCATACATTGCCGTCATGGATGATTTCTTTCTCCCGGTGGTCTATAGACTAGAAGCGAGCATTAGTCATTATTGTAACCGATGGGTCGATTTAGCCATCAAGAATCAGATCTGGGCTGCCGATGACCAAGGGGGTCAAGCATTTGCCACATACGTAAGCAGTTAGCGTTTCAAGAGAATGGAAGCAAGACAAGAGCCTAGGACGGTTGACTGCCTCCATTGCTCCCAAGAGGAACAAAGTCAACAGTAAGAGGCAAATAATAATAAGAATCAATTTAACGTACTATCTGGATCCCTTTCGGGTCTATGAGCACGATATTCTATCTGGTCTGTCGCGGGCAAAAGTTTCCCCCCAGCCGAGGCTGCAGGTACATAAAATCCCGCCTCCTCCCCTTAGTAGAGTATCTCAATCATTGTTCATCTTTCCGCACGGGTCGGTGTTTCCGCCTAGGAGGCAAATAACATAAGTAGTCATACCCCCTTTTCGCAATCCATCAATTTGCGATGTCGATGTTTGAAGCATTCTTATGGTTATATTTGCAGGATTTCCAAACAACATCTTCGCAGTCAACGTATAAAATCTCTCCCAACCCCCTCATCCAACGAGGAATGCATCGTGCCACTCACTGTCTGCTCATATCATTGGCTTGTATATAATCAGGATCCCCAAGACTCTGAAAGGATCCCCTGAATTCTACTACTACACAGTTCTTCGTCTACCAAATATCCGGGTATACAGCACCATTATAAACCTTCCATTTGGAAGTCTCCAACCAAAAAGCCAGCCCATTCGAGTTGAAGGAGGACAGTAGAAGGATACCTCTGCCGGTACAACTGCCAGAGCAACGTTTCATAGGTCTTTCGTAACGTTGCTCTTATCCATTGTGCTCTGTGGCAACGGAGTGGGTAGACTTGCCGGGTGCATTTTGTAGAGTGGAGGACATTCGGGTTCACGTATAAATTCATCACCAGCGTGATGACTCAAATCAGTGACCTTGGAAGACTTGTAACACATTAGTCGCCCTTCTTCCAATATACCAGTTCATTCACCTGCTGTGTCTTAACACAAGGAATTTCCTGCAAATTTGACACTCTCCTTCCTCATATCTACACCGCGGAAGACAGTCGATCCAACGTTCTGCATCTTGCATTCTTCACAATTGTTGTAGCCGGAAATTCCATTCTCTCACTTTAGAAGCACTTCCAAAGGACAATACAAACCAGGGCCCAGAAACCATCATCCGACAGTAAAGACGTCCGAATAATGACAAACCACTCGAAAAACTCCCGTAAGGCTTCCCGACCGACTTGTATTCTGTCCTAGGATATTGAATGTAACATTTCATAGAATCCCCATCGGAGTACTCATTCCACCACCTCCCCCTTCCAGGGTGGTTGGGGATGACCAAGGTCATCGACTTCGCCAGATCTCGGTTCGTTGAGGACCACGAGTTCGACTTTCCGAAGTTAGAAGAAGTGGTTGGTTCCGTCTTGTTCCACCAGGACAAGAAACACCTCGAAGCCTTCCTCGAGACTCGAAAGATCAAGCAATTTTGGTGGATGCGTGTGGACGAGAGCAAGGAGCTCATGCAGGTGATCGCCCGCCGCGAGCACGACGTCATCGTAAGGACCTTCTTTCATTATGCCCTAGCTATCTCTTAACGTTTGCATAGGTCGGGTGGGTTAGCCATGTGGCATTCGAGGGCCAGAACTTTACCCAACTTCTCGACAACATCTGGGGCGGAGCATCCCTCGACAACCACGAGATCTGCCCTCATCTCCAAGCTCTGGGCCTGATGGCATGGATTTTATGCTCCCTGTCCTCACAGGGCGAATGGAACCGCCGTTGTGTGATGGGCAACGGGATGCCTGACGATACTTCGGACCAGATCCAGAAAATTCGTCATGCTGGGAGGCTGTGGGTAAAGTCCGCTATCACGGAGAAAATCTGGGCCGCGAAGGAAGAAACAGTCCAGCATTTCTGGGTTCATTATACCTGAGTGCGACCACCAGTGATTGCAGTGCAGGGCGGAAGACTCGGACTTGGAAAGTGGAAGAAAGGAGATAAGAAGCGAGGGATGAGCAATGGGAGTTGAAAATGCGCATAATATCAATATCCACCGGTATATATGAAATCAAGCGCAGCGTTTCTGATAAATTTTAGTATTGCGGGCGTCAAGTGAGTATTGTTGAATATTCAGTTCATTTTTAGACAAGGAGACTAAATCCATCGCTGGGTAGTAACGGATACTGCTGTTGCTGAAGATAAGAAGTATCGCCTACAATGGTGATAACTACAAACGGCTCCAGGGCGTAATCTAGGGTGGCGTCGCATTTGATGACGACAGAGTCAAAACGCACCTCCAAGCTCTTGGACTGGATGGACGGATCCTATGCTCCCTTTCGGATAAGGGAGAATGGGTTCGCCGGAGTGCCATGGACGACCAAATCCCCTGAAGATGAGGCGGATCGGGCTAAGAACATTCGACTGTTAGAGAAGAAGTGAGTGAAAGATGGCATCACTGAGAAGGTTAAGGTGCAGCGAAAGATATAGGAGAGTAGGAGTACTTCTGGGTCCATTATAATTAAGGGCAAAATGGACATCGAGTGAGCTTGAAGGGCGTAAGCCTCGTCAAACATCCCGATCCCTGTGGCATGATAAGTGCTAGTAGGTGTTCGACAGTGTCGTGACCTTGTCGTGGGCCCATGGCCATCAGGATATTCTGAATTCCGACCAGTCATCCCACGCTCCAAGAATAAGTAGTTCAAGACATCTGGTGCGGAGGACGGCTCTTAATGTTCCACATTTCATATCGGTGGGAATAAATGCGCATCTTTATAAGCTGAGTCCGTTGATCACCTCCAATTGCATCTTTTTCGAGCAGCAGTGATACTCTGACTGCATCGGACTGCATCGCACGGCGGAGTGAAGTGTTTCGGCCCCTGTCCGCATTAAAGCACGCTTGACCTTATCTAGACTAGCGTACCGCCGATGCGCCGATCACCCATTCTTCTCACCAACGAGAATAGAACAACTTCACCTCTCTCGCTGGAAGGCCAAACTTTGGCGGGTGGGCTGAGGGCCTGTCGTGAGAGGGGCTGTGTAAGCGTATATCGAGTTATTGACCACCATAATGTAATGGAAGTGGAGATGCCAGATATTGCTCCCATCTAGCTGTTGGCTCGTTTCAGTTCATTCAAGTTCGCTGTGTCGCTCGTTCTTTCTATTCCATCCTATTGAGTCTTCTGCTGTTCAACCATCCCATCTCTTCTCGGGATATTTCTCTCCATCTTCGCCTCGTCGGCCTCATGTGTCCGCCTGCATCCGCGAATACACTTGTACGACGACCGTAACTCGTCAAGGAACTACTTATTGACTGTCCTACCCACTCGATCCCTCGCTTCGCCCGTCCCCTTCGGCACCCCATCTTCACATCCGGCCAGCGACTGACCGTGGTCCAACCTTGTCCGCCTATCTGCACGCAGCCGACGAATAGGGACGACTGCCGTGGCTCGTAGCCGGCAGATTATGGCCGTCCTAACTAGGTCCGCAGAACCCGATGATGATAAGCTTGAGCAAGAACATGAACACTGGGATCCAACCGCCGTAGGGATGCAGTTTCAAAAACTCCCACAAACCAACCCTTCTATACGACATTCCAACGACGACGACAACGACAGCGACGACGATGATCCAGACAATGACCCAAGCGACGTAACTCTCACCATCGAACTCCCTCCATCGTCTACATCGACGGACTTACCGCCATCGATACCCACGACCGCGAGGATGAATGGGATAGCATTCAAACCATGGCCTCAATTCCAATCATCTCCCCCATCATCGACGCTCCTAACGACCACCACCGACGATGCCTCCCAAACCTCACCCACCTCAACCTCAACCCCCCTCTCCGCCATCGAAACCGGCCCGTCAAAACACCTTCCATCAATAGGTCCCGACTCCAGCCCCAACCCCAACCCCCATACCAAACCCGACACCATTCCTACCCGCATCCTCGTCAGCGGCATCATGGGCCCCCTCGTCCTCCTCTTCCTCATCGCCCTCGGTATCTACCTCTGCATCGTCCGTCGCCGCCAAAAACGCCGCCACGAACTCGAAGCCGCCGACCCCCCGATGCACCTCCAACCCAACGCCACCTCCCTTACCCGCTCCGACGGAACTGCCGCGCCCTCCAACCCACCACCCTCCTCCCCCGTCCCCACATCCCCTCCCCCCGTCCTCCTCACCCGCGACATCACCGCCGCCTACTACACCGGCATCGACACCTCCGACCACCCGCGCACCCCACCCCCACCTATCTCCCCGCTCGAAAACCCTTTCGAGCCCATCTCCCCGCTCGATGACGACGAGCCGCCCCCGCCATATCGGCCGCGGAGCGAGAACGGGAGCGGCGCCGATGGGTTGGGGAACCCGTTTGAGGATCCGGAGGAGTTGGGGGAGGGGGGGAATGGGATGCATGTGGTGGCAAACGGGATGGGGTGGGGGGAAGGGATGGCGGGAGGGAGGGAGGGGGCGGCGGAGGATGCGGCGAGTGAGATGAGTGATTTGAGTGATGATTCTTTGGAGAGGAGAGGATGGTGAGCGGGTACGAGTTGATATGAGGACCATGATTGATGGTTTCGGGGTATGGGTTGATATTGGTTCAGGATGGCGGCGCTTGGGTCTTGGAGAAAAGCTTTTTATGGCATGTCTGGTCAGTTTTGGGATGTCTTGAAGGCCTCCGAAATTGGAACAATTGGTGGATTGGGAATGGATGATTCTGGATAGCGTCGCCTTGTCATGATGGAGTTTCTTCTGGGATGGAGATTTGGGCCTACCTGTTGGTCGGCTCCATGGGTATGTTGATGGATAATGAATGATATAGGTCACGATGTCCCGATCTAAGACACGTCCAAGATGTCTACTACGATAGAAGTCAGCTGTGAATTGGCAATCAGACCTGGGATTTTCCGTTGCATTGAACGTCCCAGTAACATAACTATTGTCATCTCAACCACATGAATAAGAACGGACATTAACCAATCACACGGTAGAAATTCATATTCGCTCCGCTTTCGTGAAATGAACAAATCAACCGTAATCACGGTACCCAAGAGATGTCAAATTCGCTATCTGCACCATCCCTTCCTTACCCTAACCCACGACCCGACATGCCTCATTCCCTAGAAAACCACCCCCATACTACTCCGGCACAACCGGCTCTACATTCCAGATCATCTCAGCATACTCATCAATGCACCGATCACTACTAAAGAACCCCATCCGCGCCACGCTCGTGATCGCCCTTGTCACCCACTCCTCCTGATTCCGATATCCCTCGTCGATCAGCTCCTGCGTCTTGCAGTACGACGCGAAGTCGTCCGAGACGAGGTAGTAGTCGCCGTGGTCGACGATCCCGTTGACCAGCGCCGAGAACGAGGATGCGTCGCCAAAGGTCCCGTGCTTGATCGCGTCGAATACGGTGGCGAGCGCGGGGTCGAGTTGGTAGCGCCCGTAAAGGTGCGCGTGGCGGAGGTCTTCGACGTCTTCGGCGAGGTTGCCGAAGAGGAAGATGTTGGCTTCGCCGATCTCGCGGGTGATTTCGATCTGGAGGTCGTTAGTTACTTATAATCATGAGGTGCTGAGATGGGACTCACGTTGGCGCCGTCGCAGGTCCCGATGATCAACCCGCCGTTCAGGACGAACTTCATGTTGCTGGTCCCGCTGGCCTCGGTGCCGGCGGTCGAAATGTGCTCGCTGATATCGCTGGCCGGCACGATCAATTCGGCCTTGCTGACGTTGTAGTCCTCGAGGAAGATGACCTTCATCAGGTCGCCAACGTCGGGGTCGGAGTTGATGACCTTGCCTACTTGGTTGATGAGGTGGATGACCGTCTTCGCCATCCAGTATCCCGGGGCCGCCTTGCCGCCGAAGATGTGCACCCGCGGCATGACCTTCTTCCGTGCGGCAGGGGTCATCGCCTTGATCTGCAGGTAGCGGTGGATGCAGCCGAAGATGTTCAGCTGCTGGCGCTTGTACTCGTGGATGCGTTTGACCTGAATGTCGAACAGCGACGCCGGATTGACGCTCACGCCAGTCGAGTCCTTGATGAGCTTCGCGAGCCGAACTTTGTTGGCGTATTTGATCTCCTGGAACTCCTTGCGGAACGCAGCGTCGTCGACGTAGGCTTCCAGCTTGTGGAGCATCGTCAGATCCTTGAGGAAATCATAGCCGCCCAGTTTGCTCGCGATCAGCTCGGAAAGCCGAGGGTTGGCTTGGTGTAGCCATCGTCTGGGAGTGATACCGTTGGTAACGTTCGTGAATTTATCAGGACCAAAGATCGCAACGAAATCCTTGAAAATGGTTGTCTTGATGAGGTCCGAATGCAGCTCCGCCACGCCGTTGACTTTGTGAGACCCAATGACCGCGATATACGCCATGCGAACCATCTTGGGGTTGGACTCCTCGATGACCGAGACGCGGGAGAGCATGTCTCGGTCCTTGGGGAAGGTTCGTTCGACATACTGGAGGAATTGGAGGTTGATGTCGTAGATAATTTGAAGGTGGCGGGGGAGGAGATGTTGCATGAGCGGGACCGACCACTTTTCAAGTGCCTCCGGCAGCACAGTGTGGTTGGTATACCCAAAGGTCTTGCTAGTGACTGCGAACAATCAGCGATGCAATATTTCAATGAAATGAATGTGACATACTGTCCCATGCCTGGTCCCAGTCCAAGCCTTCGAGATCAATCAAAATCCTGATTAGCTCGGGAATCGCAAGGGTGGGATGCGTGTCATTCAGTTGAATGGCCACTTGGTTAGGGAATTCGGTCCAAGAGCGATGGGTCTTCTTGAATCGGCGGACGATATCGTATAATGATGCCGCGCACCAGAAGTACTGTTGCTTTAGACGAAGTTCCTTTCCTCGTTCGAGGCTATATGGAGTTAGCAGAAGAGTGGAAGATCTGAAGCCAAACTCACTTGTCATTTGGATACAACACAGCAGAGATGGTCTCGGCTCGCTGCTGGTCGGCGACTGAGCTCTCATAATCACCCGAGTTGAATTTCTGGAAGTCAAACTCGCCAGATGCTGCTTTACTGCCCCATAGCCGCAAGTTGTTCGTGGTGGCAGTCTGGTAGCCGGGAACTGCGCATGTTAGCGAATGGGTTAAGGACGGGTAGAAGAACACTCACTTGGAACATCAAAAGCCAAAGCTTGCACAATCTCGCCCCCCTCCCAAACACTGATGGATTTGCCGTCGTCGTCCCTGGATGTATGTTAGACCTACGCTTATCGAGAGTGTCCATTTGACGTACTGATACTTCCTGACGGAACCGTAAAACTGGACGTCGACCTTGATATCATGACGAGCGAACTCCCACGGGTTGAAGTCCAACCAGTAGTCGGGAACTTCGACCTGGTAGCCGTCCACAATCTCCTGCTTGAAGATACCATAGCGATATCGGAGGCCATATCCCCACGCAGGATAGTTCAGGGATGCTAGACTATCCAGAAAGCAAGCGGCAAGACGTCCAAGCCCACCGTTTCCAAGAGCCGCATCGTGCTCCTGAGCGACGATGTCCTCCATTCGGAAGCCGAGACTTTCAAGCCCCTCTAGATATCTGAAGTTAGCACTGAAATGGTCGTATTCAGTCCCGTAGTACATACCCTTGGCGATGTTCTTGAGCCCAACGTTCAGCATGGCATTGTCGAGTGTCCGACCCATCAAGAACTCGAGAGAAAGGTCTGACCACTGATTAGTCCAGCACCCAGTCAATCTGCCTGGATCACCCACAGTATACGCGTTTCTGGTCCTTGAACGTATGGTTCTGCTGCGTCGTATTCCAATCGATGATGAGCCGGTCGCGAAATGCGAGGGCAGTCCCGGCGTATGTCGCGCTGAATCACCAGTGGTCAGCATGCAGATATGGGTTGTGAGGGAGCGAGTGCATACAATTCATCGCAATTGTACAAGGATCGCGCAAGGGTGGTCTCGATATGTCGGATAGCTTCTCTCTTCGCATCGTCAGCTCTTGTCTGGGTATGTCAGAGAGCTTCATTACCTCAAACTCCTCGGCTGTCTGGAAAGGCTTCGGTGCCTGTTCATCTCTTTGTCAATATGTATTGGATATGACAGGGTGGTGAAAAGCGATAGGAGCAACTCACGAACTTCTTCCAACTATAAAATCGTTAGCTCCGTATCTAAATCCGACGCAGCGATCTGGACTCACGCTTCCCGTTGAGGTTCTGGTATACTGGCTTCCACGCTCTTGATCTCCGCCGGACCGAATCCTGTCACGGTTCTCTTATGCTTCGGGCGGGAGAACCCAGGCCCAATTGGACCTTTGAGATCGGACAGCGGAGCGCTGGTGCTGGGCCGCCGCTCGCGTGTTGAGGAGGCCATGGTGGGGTAGTAGGGATGAGGGACGAGATGCAACTGAACACAACCACAGAGGTTTCTTGCGTCGAAGAAAGTCAAGGAGATCAGGGAGGGGAAGAGGTTGGCAAACGAGATGATATTGGGAGGAAGGAGATATGAAGATTTGGAAGGGAGGGGGATATGAGGGCAGTCAATCCCACTTTGCACACTGGGTCAATGGTCTGGACCCTGGAACACGAATTCAACTAATGGCGTTCCAAATGGATGGGGAAAGTTGGGAGGGATGGTTGCATTGGTTGAGACCTGAGAAGGCCATGTTGAGATACTTCCACTTCATGTTGAGAACTCGAGATTGTTAGCTCCTGGGGGCTCCATGTCGCCTTGGAACAGGTCTGGGTACAGTATAGGTAAATGGTATTATCATGGTGTTATGCAGTCAGGCATGTCATGCTGCCACAGCATTCTGCCAACCACCGAGTGAACCGCATACACGAACCTAGTGCGGGACAACAATCCCACCCTGGAGTGCAGCGGGTATTGTCTCTCTTTCTTTCACTATTGTCTCGACTATTGTAGCTTTGTACTCCTACCAGAGCAGCACTACCATCTGGGGTTCGGTTTAAGGTACTACCTACCTGATAATAGTCTCAAGCTGGTGCCCGCCATCACCGTCTCAAATTTTCCATCCTCCATGACCGCACTGCAACACCAGAGGGAGGAGAGGAGGGGTCATCCACCCTTGACAAACAAGAAACTGAAAACTGTCGCGCCACCAGGACTGGGCCGCTGGGGGGTCAATTGTTGAGCTAAAAATGCCACGCAGGCTCCCAGTAGGCTGGAAAGCTTGATTCGCATCACGCCTCCAGCTGGCCTTCATCGTGTCGTCGCGTCCTGGCACGCGGATGTGACAAGAATGCTCGTACATGAAGAAGCGGTTGCTCCTAGGACACGAGAAATCGCGCTACGTACGGTCGAGGAACGAGAGGTAGCTCGAACGCGCAGCGTTTTGGGTGTCAGTACTCCCGGAACAGCTATCACGCTGGCGCACGAGATGACTATGGTGGAACGTTTCGACTTCGACTTTTGAAGTATTTGAACACACAGTCAAACGGAAAAGCAGCAGAGGCCCCAACAGGTCCAACAGTCGTGTCCGCTGACTATGTATGGATACTAATATGCGCTGAAGTTCTCATGATAGGCTCTCGGTCTATTCCATACCCTTTCAACTCGATAGCCCGGGTTAATTGGCCCTTGGCAGGGAACCGGTCAATAGAAACCACTAGGAGCTGCAATGGCGTAAGGGGCCGATCTGAATTCTGAACGGTAGGTTTTACTCTGATACAGGTCCTCTTTTACACCTTGACGAACGCGTCTAAGGTATATCATGAATCTTGGTAGTTGACACTGTTCTTTCCATTGGCTATTACTGATTATCTCGTATACGACAGTATGAACCGATCCCGTATTATATCCTCCGTCGGAACGACTAATGGTCAATATGAATAGAGGATCACAGGGTTTGTCAGCGCTCAATCCGGATGGGATAATCCCCAACGTCGACAATATGGAAGCCTTCGGACGCCTCTTCAATGCCTCTCTCGCAAGGAGTCCTCCGCCACCGGTTGAGAGCGACGACATATACCTCGTTCGCATGCTCGACGATATTAATCACCCTCGATATGGTAATCCCATGGACGCTGCGCTTCAACGACGTGCTAGACACAGAGAAACCGCACGCCTCGCTGTCGAGACTGCTGAAGATCGGAGATTGGCGGAAGGCCGGCAGTCGGCTGCAGCTCCAGGTTCGCTTCTCCTGTCGGTCCTCTGCGACCGGTCGATAGGGGTTGAGCTATGCTCGCCAGGAAAATGGAGAGTTGGAGATTCATGTCCTCGGATCCTTCACCACGGAACGCCCGGCCGTCTCCTACACTAAACAACCCTTCGACACGGATATCGAGGACCATCCGCTGGCAAAGTCGCTCCACAAAGCCACCGAGAGCCCACCAATCTAGCCCGGGCCCTCCTACATGGTTGGTCGTTGGCGCTCGCCGGCCGAGAGTCGGAAGTCTCCCCCCTGCTCGGCGTGCGAGACGACGCGATCTGCCCCGCCGCCGATGCGCCCTCAGCGAAGGCAGGGGAGTTCCGATGAGGCCCAAGCGGCTGAAGGGATGGACCATACTCTCGTTCGGGCTACAATTCGGCTGGGACTAGCTGCAGAATCGCGTCGTCGAGACCCGCACCATCTGTTTGTCCACGAGGGTGGTGGCCGAGTTGCGAAGTCAGGCACAGGCTGACCTCCCCGCCGTGGATGGGGAGGGGGGGTGAGAAGTCCTTCGTCAGCGATGGCGACGTGTAGACGGCGAGGGACACACGCGTGGTAGCCTCCTCCCTGCCACAGTCACGGTTAGTGACGATACTCCAGGCGCTCCACGTGCGATTTCGATTGTCGTCGCTGCTTCAGGCGTCGATCTCAGTCTATCAACGACAGGACCCACGGCCGCCACACCCCCTCAGCCCAGTCCATTAGCCAGTGACGAACCGCGACCACCTCCATCACGTCGAAGCACGACCTCGTACTCCCAATCGCAATCTGTTCCCAAATGGTCATCTTCTGGTCATTCTTCGAGACGATCAATAAGTGCCAGTCATGATCTTGAGCGGTGAGAAGCAGGAGAGCGGGCCACGGCTTACTCGGAGTGGTTCGGATCAGAGCGAGACGTTTCAGCCAGGTATCCGTCCATATCGCGATCTCGGGTTTACTGACCGTTCATGATTTCATAGGGCCCTTGGTTTCAATAGGGATGGCAATGGGATTACAACCAATCTGAGTTGTGTGGTTCTGGGACTCGATGGGTTCGCCAGGGAGCGGACGGAGGCGGTCCCAAGCTTCGTTGATGGCCGAGTCCGGTTTAAGTGTGACAACGTAATCAACGACGCGGCCGTGGAGAGCGGAGCGCACGAGGGATGCGGGTTCGGTTCTGGCCGTTTTTCTACGGCCATGAGCATGTGACTGTTGAGATCTACGACGAGACGAAGACGAAGACGAGCTGGCCAACCTGTTTCGTTCCAAAGTGAACATCTTAGCCACAGAACAAGATTCAGAACGGGTTTTGAATCTCCACAAAGATTCAAGAGAGATTGGAACTATTGTTTTTCCAGACGGCGACACGTTTGAGCAAAATGTTATGTTGTGGGCTATTTCGGAATGCATACTGGCAACTTGCATGCAATAAGCCGATATCTTAGCACTTCCGCCGAAGCTAAACTCTTTCTACACAGAGAAGACAATACTGGAAACACTTCTCTGATCATGGCGGCGGAAGAGAAGAGCCATGAAATGATGTCAGTCCTTTACAACACGGTGCAGATACGAACGCTATCAATGATGGACGAAGTCCGCTCATGGAGGCAGCGCTCTGGGGACGAATTGAAAGCGTGAAAGCGCTGCTTACCGCCAACACTGACAAACGTCTTCGAGATCAGAAGGGTCGGTGGATATAGCGCAGCGGGCTCGCAAAAATGAAAAGGAAAGATAGGAGCGCGCTTCTATCGCTGCAGCAGAGAAAGTTCCCGAGCGTGACGAAGACAGGCGAAACATTGTCCTTTTACTCAATGACTCGGCCACCAAGAAGCAGCATGGATGCACCGGACCGCTTTCGGAGGGTGAACTGAACAAGTATAGCTTCAGGGAATCCCGATCTGAGATGGCAATTACGCTTTATGGACCCGTTGGCAGCTACCGCGTGCCATGAATTACCAAAACTGGCGCCGTTCTAGACGGTAGGGATCAATTTGCTCGTATATCGGCAACTAGTGGCTGGGGTGCCGATGCTCTGCCTCTAAACAACAATACTGGGACACACTGGACTGAGCACGTCTCTTATATCGCTTCCACGATTGGCCATAAGCTCCAAGATGCGCCATATCCGGGTTGGGGCCAGGGCAAGCCGGGGCAGGATTGTGCTTGCCATGCGGAGAAGAAGTTGATCGCCTACTTCATAGACAGGCACGGGTTCATGCCGCAAGACAGAGAGCAGACCAGGATTTGGAAGACTCAATCCGTGAAGTGGAAGACTTTCTTGCAGACGGAAAGCACTCGTCCGTAGCCTGGGAAAAGGCGTGTGATCTGGAAGAAGGAAAGTAGAATTTGACTCCCAGCTCTTCGACGCAGATCATCGATTACTGGGCGATTCTGACGATGAGCAAATGGTCAAGAGACTGAAATCTGAGATGCATGCGATCGATGAAGAACTGTTATGGTAAGCCTTGAGTTGGACGCTAGCGTGGCTGCGATGAGAGCACAGGAAAGGGGCAGTCTTATTGATCAGCAACGAGATCTGCGAACTGTGATATGTTCAAGAGAAAGGAGAATACCTGTTTCCAGTTGAATATCGAAATGCGCCGGTGCACCTAATTTAGTATATTTCGGCATGAGAATTACGCCATGCATTCTAAAAAGTATTGCACGACGTTAGAAACGAAACACAACGCAGGTGGTTTTGGCGAGGCGGAGATCATACAAGGTTATTCCGTACTCCATGGGTGATTCAGCCTTCCGGCCCTGTTCACCACTAGTGCAGCCTTGCTCGAGGATCGCGGCTAGGATAGTACCTCGACTTAACCATTCCCATATTTTATACATGGTCTCGTCTCCGCATCAAGTTGACCAGGACCGCTACCAGCATGATCGCATCCTGACTGCCGCATTTGGGTACAATCAATTACGTATCAAGTCATCACTAGGGAGCCGAAGGATTCAACCTTGCGAATTGACGGTCGATCTTTATATGGACGTTCCAATAGACTGGGGTGACCGCACATCGTGCATCCTGCATACGAGGCTGCGCCTCCGTCAGCTCAGCTCGCCCATGATATATGATTTGGCTCGGGGAATTCGCTTTAGAGGGTAGCATGTCGTATTTCCAATAATTTTAAGAGCAAGAAGTCGGGTTATGTTCGCATCTTTCTTTTGTTCAATCCCATAACGAATTCACGATGTCTTTTCCAGAGGAGGGTTCAGGGAGCGTGGCTACTAATCCTACAGGTGCGCTGGCCGAGGAGTCGGACCCTCGATCGAGTGACCTCGGCACGGATCCGAACGATGGCTCTGGTTCTGGCGCTGGATCACTGTCTGAATCCATCCCTTCGGACTGCCTGGGTCTTGGATCTCCCAGCGCCGTTTGTGAATGCCAACGGGGCAGCTGGTCTGAAGATAGAGCATCCGCGCGGGAGTTTTGCAGCTGCCCAAGCGGCACGAAGTCGAATGGCGATCCCGCGATGCCACTCTGCATATCTTCCGCCATCCCATCATCGACAGCGGCCAGAAGCTTATCTACTGAATCTCCCAGCTCTGCCAGCGTGACCAGCGCTCTCCCATCGGCTGCCCTGGCCAGTGGGTCACCGATAAATGTTAGCAGAAGTGGACTCGCCCCCGGTCCGGTAGCGGGCATCGCCGTTGGATCTGCCGTCGCCGGAGCCGTGATCGCGAGCCTGATCTTGTTCTTCGCCTGCGTCCGAGGACGATCCAAGAAAGGAAGTGGCTACGGTAGCAAAGTTCGCTACTCCGACATTCCTGAAGAGAAGGACGGGCACCTTAACGGAGCGTCCAAAACCCCCACTGTTTCCGTCGTCGAAACCCATCTCCCCCAACCGGCAGCCGACGACGTGATCTTTGGCGAATTCGGCAACCTTCGGGACCGCATTGTGAACCATGTCCAGGCCTATTACCACACCGCCGAAGTCGACGACGACATGATCGGGACCGCTGCTCTCCACGGCATATCGAATATCACAAAGATCCCGGCATCGACTTTACGAGCGCTGCTGCTGGACCCGAGCACGAGACCGCATGCGCTTCGGACGTATATCGGCTGCCTAGTCCTCTCCCGGGCGACGCCCGAAGCGGACGCGAAGGTGTCCTTACTCCCACCAGAAATCGCGGGCTGCCTCCCCGCCATAGCCGCGCAGTCTAGTCCAGGTCCGTCGTCGTGATCCCGCGCTCGTATGCAACGTAACCGCTAACGTGGAAATAGTCCAAATGGCCCTGTTCAGTAAGTGGAAAGCCATCTCCGGCGTGCTCCTGCAGTCGCGGTATGACCCGAACGTCATCGTCGATGACGACACGCGCAATCCTAGCATTCGCCGGGCGCTGGGGGAGGCCGAGCTCGTCCTTCAGCCGTTCGCGGCGAATCTGACGGATGAGCGAGAGCGGAACTTGGAGGAAATCATGCGCGGGGGCGCTCGCTTCGGATTCATACTCTTCGGCCAACCGTCCAGCTGGCGGTTTCAATGGGATGGAGCGGTGGATGGGTTGGCGGTCTTTCCGCGTCTCCTTCAGTTAACGAATGACGATGGACAGGCCGTGCAGTCGCCGAGAGTGTTTGGCGAAATGGAGGTGGTACAAGGAGCTCACGTTGTATCAAGCTGATTTGAGGCTCTGCGGATCCCGTCACACAGCATGATTCGTGCCAGGACGATCAAAGCAGTTGTCCTGTAGTCCAGACGACCTACTGCTAGGCCATTTCATCCTAGTGGCATTGATTAACAAGATCATATAATATATGAATATGCGTGAACTCACAATTGTCCGTTTAGCCAACATGCTTTTGTTAAGAGTCTGAGCCCTGGATGAGTCAGATGAATTTCCCTGGCGACACTCCAGCCCACCACCAACAATCAAGTCTGGACCTCCGACAAAGTAAAAACTATTCGCTTGTATTTCGCTAATCGCGTCTATCGTTAATTTACAATCCGTGTCGAAGCCTGTAAGCACCGAAGCCAAGTCAAAGCTGCCTATCCAGTATCCATATATCAGAAAGACAGACCCCGCGGTCCCTCTAATATTGGTACAAACGGACCCCGTCGAACGTGCCGAGACACAAATTCCCAGCGCAACGGATTCATCCAAAGGGATATTATGTGTCAAACTGTCGTTTCAACAAGAATCGAAGTCTTTGCACCGTACGCCCCGTTCCATTTGAATGCAAGTCATGTCGTGGTTCCGCTTTCAACCCCCCTCCTGCGCCGCTCGCGCAGCGTCCTCGGCTTCCTTGACGGCGATCCGCTTCTGCTGCTCCTCCTCCGATAGGGCCTCGAACTCCGCGAGGTCCGCGTCCCATTTCTGCACGCACTCCATATTCCAGTTACAGGCTTCCACTTCGCCGAACATCGGATGGCTGTACCGGTGGTGGTTCGACGGCCAGCCCGACGCGTGATAATGGTGCTTGACCAGTGCGATCTTGCCATCGTGATTGCCGGAATCGGAATGGCCTTGGCCGGCGGCGAAGGCCTCGACGGTTAGAACGAGGATTCCGCCCACGGACTTCGATTCCCGCAGGTTGGTGAAGGTGTGCCAATTGACCTCATGGCCTTCCCTTTTTGACATCTCCGCCAAGATCACGTTGGTAAACGCGGACGGGCCGGTGCCACTGATGACCTGGTCAAAGTCCAGCTCGATGTCGGAGATGGGCTTGTTTTGCTCGCGGGCCACGCCGTCCAGCCAGATGATGATGTTGTTGATCAGCTGTAGCATCACCGGAAGCTTGGGTTTGCAGATGAACGTCCACTGGCAGAACGACTGGGATTTCGGCCCAAGGATGGTGTGGTTGGAGAATTCAGGTTCGTCGATCTCGACTCCGACGATCATGTCGATGGACTTCTCGTTGTAGCGCTCGGGAATGAAGAAGTCCAGCGGCTTGAGAGCCTCCACGTCGATGTCGGTCCAGACGCCTCCTTCGGCGTACATAATCAGGTAGCGGAGGAGGTCGGCTTTGATGATTTTCGCGGTGAGGTGGCGGTAGACGTAGACGATATCCGGTCGATTGAAGCCCTCGGGGCCAAAGTAAGTCTCGACATATTGCATATCATTCTGGTCGGTCAAGACTTCGTATCGATACCTCGGATTCTTCCCAACCCACGACCGGGCGAGGTTCAGGTCCCTCTCCTCAAAGTTGAGAGGGTCAACTTTCCAGGACTGCCATATTTTCCTTGGAAAATGCCCGCCTGTGACTGAGGACCGATAGGCGAAGCGGCCCAGGTTCCCCGTGTTTAACAAGAAAATCGAGAGGATGATGCACGCGATAAGGACAGGTATCCGATTGCGAGAGCGAAACGGGAAGTAACTCCCGAAATGCTGCACCGGCGCGTGCATTTTCTTCTCGGAAAGATTTGAGAACCGCATCAGCTCTCCGGAATTAAACGAGTGAAAAGACCATGGAGTCATAGGAGAAACAGGCGACGAAATCAACGAAGGGAGAGTCCAAACGTTGGGAAGGATCGTAACACTTTTTTCGAGATCGGGACGCGCAACTTCGCAAACGACAAAATGCTGGGCACCCCAGGCGGGGATATATGTGGATGGCGATTAGGGAGTTAGTATGAAACCTTGCAAGGAGCGCCGAGGCCACAGGGAGGGAAATTAATTTCTACGCATGGAGGAATGGAGAATGGGCGCGATGGAGGGTTCGGTGAAGAACCCGATGCACGCTTGCACAGTTACATTCGTGATTTTTGTTGCCACGGACCGGGGCCGATACGGACGATGCTGGTCGGGGGGTCTAGTCGGCGAACGGATTTCCGATCTAACGCTTGCGGTTGGGATCCGCATGGCCAGTGGTGAGTGAAGCATTTAGATTCATGACGGCAAAGAGATAGCGCGTGGATCAGGACTCGATTCGGCGATTGGTGTTAAAGGGTACGGCTGGTATCCCTGTTGCATCCCTGAGTGCTAAGGTCCTTGATCGATATTTGTGTCGTGCAAAAGGTTTGGACGTTGGAATTGCGATGTGAGCGTGAACCAATCCCACGGGAATCAAGTCAACGGCCAAACCGATCAGGGGCCATTGAATAGCAGCTGTTGTTGGAGGAGTAGTGGTTGTTACTCCTGGCGAAGGGTACCACTTGACGAATGGGGTGTACACTATCCCGCGTAACAGAAACATTGGTCGGGCATCAATAAGGATGAGCGGGTGACCCGGCCGGTGCAATTAAGACGCAATTGTTCTGGAAGCCCAGGTTGATAGCGTGGTTGGACAGTTTCCCGGTTCCTACGGGAGCCCCCTAGAGCCTGGACTCGCCCTAGGGGAACTGTGAGTAGGGGGTTACAGCGTCTTCGGACAGCTGTACGCAGTACAGGACATTTGTACTTGTGTGCTCCCTACGACTGGCTACTTCGCGCCTTTCAGATGTTAGGCAAGGGAAAAAGTGGGCTTCTTGAGGCGAATTCAGGGGAAGCGAGGATCATCCCCGTTCACGTCCCTTACTATCCCTTCATATCAGCAACGGCGCGGGGAAAAGGGGGTCAACACCGGTTCCCCATTGGTGAAGACTACCAGCCGGCCTCGGTGAAGGCGTCGCCTCCAGTAGATTAATTACAATTTCGCACCATACCATGTGAAAAGCCACCTATTAGTATTAAGGCACAGCGACAGAGTGCCGCCGACTATAGACAGACGGTGCCAAAGCCTGCCCTTCGCCCGGATGCCCCAGCACCGAACTCCCCCATTTGTGAATCGCCCCGATTTTCTCATGCGGAATGCTGAATCTGAAGCATGCCATTGAAGTTAGACGTCCGTGACGCATTAATCCATCGGTGCTAACTGCTAACGGCCTAAGCGTGCTAACACCTAAGGTATGTCTCGAATTCCCTGGGGTGTCAGATAATTCTCAGCCCACACCGTGGCTATCGCCGAGTGTTTGCGGCCATCTGTCTTCGTCGGACCTTTGACTTCAGGAGTTCAAGTTGGAAATTCTCTCTCCTTCACTTCTATGCCATTCTTTTCGTGATTTTTTGGAGGGTCTGTACATGTCGAGCTCCATCGACACCGATGAATGATCACTGAACCGTCTTTCGACTCCGTTCCGTGCGAATACCTCCTGGATGCCTGCCCAAGACGGTATACTGGAGAAAGGATACTTGGGGGATCTCAATCCAGACCTAGCCCGCTCCGCTCCCTCTCGATTATTCAAATGGTTGCTCCATTTGGCACGACCGTCCTTTACGGTCCACCCCAATGGCAATGGTCATAACAACAAGTTAGGACGGACCGCATATCTAGATGGTCTGCGAGGGTTTGCCGCGTTCATCGTCTACTGGCACCATCACAACCTCTGGGCGCGCGGCATCGCCAGCGGAGTCTTCGAGAATGGCTACGGCTACATGGGCAAACATTACTTTGTCGCGCTCCCCTTCGTCCGGAACTTCTTCTCCGGCGGACATTTCGCCGTCTCGATCTTCTTCGTGATTTCCGGCTACGTCCTGTCCGCCAAACCCGTCGCCCTGATCCAAGCTGGCGACCACGTCAAGCTCGGCGACAACCTCGCTTCGGCGCTGTTCCGCCGCTGGATCCGCCTGTACATCCCGCTCATCGCCACCACGATCCTCTACGTCTTCTGGTTCCACACCTTCGGCCTGGGCGTGATCGCCAAGAAGAAGGACACCATCGGCGCGGAGCTGTGGGAATGGTATGCCGAGTTCAAGAACTTCAGCTTCGTCTACCGCACGAGCGGCGAGCCGTGGTTCACGTACAATTTCCACACCTGGTCGATCCCCGTCGAGTTCAAAGGGTCCGTCATCATCTACACCTGCCTGCTGGCGTTCTCCAGGGGGACGCGGAACGCGCGATTGCTCCTCACTATCGGCATGATCGTGTATTTCATGTACATCGTCGACGGCGCCCATTATTCCATGTTCCTCGCCGGCATGCTCCTCGCCGAAATCGACACCCTTGCCATGAACGACAACCTTCCGCACTTCTTCAAAGCCTTTGAAGCGTCGAAGCAATACATTTTCTACGGCTTCTTCATCGTGGCCATGTACCTCGGCGGCGTCCCGTCCATCGACCAGGACACGAGAAACCTCGCCAAGTCGCCCGGCTGGTACTACCTCTCCTTCCTGAAACCGCAGGCGATCTTCGACTACAAATGGTTCTACCTCTTCTGGGCCGCCGTGTTCATGGTCTCCTGCATCCCGCGCATCCCTCTGCTCCGCCGCTTCTTCGAGACGCGCTTCAACCTGTACCTGGGCCGCATCTCGTTCGCGTTATACCTCGTCCACGGCCCGGTGCTCTGGATCGTCGGCGACCGGATGTACGCCGCCGTGGGATGGTATCGGGAGGACAACATGCTGCACACGCCCAAATGGGTCAACGCGTTCCCGATCCCGCGCATCGGGCCGTTAGGGCTGGAGACGGACTTCTGGCCGTGTCATCTGGTTCTGCTGCCGCTGACGCTCTGGCTGGCGGAGGTCGTCACGCGGATGTTCGACGAGCCGAGCGTCAAGTTTGCGCGGTGGATATATACGTCGACGCTGGAGGAGGAGAATAAACGGTAGACTCGGAGTGGGGGACAAAAGGGCTAACTTGTATAGACGAATCCTAAAGTAATGGATTTGCATTTACGTTTGGCGTTTGGATTGTATACTGGTGTAGTTCTAGCCGAAGCAATGCATTTTTATCGATAGCTTTAGCCTATGCCGTCACGATCAAGGGATATGTCTGTCCACCAGTGATGAGGGTGCCGAGCCATGTGAGGTTCCATTTCGAAGTTGTGAATACGGTCCCATCATGCCTTGGGAACTAAGTATTAGTTTTAGTTGCCTATCCCCATTCCGGTTCCTTCTGCCGGTATTTAGGGGAGAAATATTAACGATCCGATCAGCCATGATTCCATGAATGAGGCTCCATCTATTGGCCCCACATGATCTAGTCCATATATTGCACACGATCGGCGGCCCGGCGCTCCTGTAACATCACGGCAGAAAATTAAGGACTCTGAAACGTAAGGCTGCATGAAACAACGGTGCTGGCTTGAAATAATGCTGAAACAAAGTGTGATCAGGTGCATTGTCGGCTCCAGGAATGCGGGTTTTCGGGATCGGCGTGGGATGGATAAAGTTTAGGTATCCACCGGGATTTGGATGTAAGGTGAAATGATCTATCAGGTTATTCAAGTCTTGGGCCTGATAGGAATAAGGGTTCAAATGTACGCGAAAGAAAGAGGGTAGCACCTACATAGTACTTACTTGTAGCAGTTACTCTTCCTCAACCGACTGTATGTACCATGCCATGTTAAAGCTGACAATACGAACGGCGCTCTGCGACGACGCTATGCGACGACGCGCGGAGAGTTGAATGAAGAGGTGTCAGATTTCGCAGCATCTGCTACAGACCAGCAGACATAATTCCTGCAATCCGAAGGGTGGATTACCTTGAGGGACAACAATATTAATGGCTGCGTGGCGGAAAGATAGCTCAGGAGACTGATATTGGATGAGGATATGGTATTAGACAAGAGTTGAAAAGATCCGTGCATGCTATGGTACAACTCTGTGCCATCCCTCCAATCATTGACCTGGCCGTTTCCGTCAAATATTATACAGATGATGGTTTCAATGGGCTCTGGGGAAAACGCCTGCGCCACTGTATGCGTACATGCGGGTATCGACAAGACCCGGAGCGAACTTGACCTCCCCCACGACTCTCCATGAAGCGGGAGCGGAGCGAGACGAACTGCATGGTAATTCTAGACAAACACTTCACCATAGTCCACCATGTTCGGTGACCATTTAAAGCCTTCTCCGGCATGTTCCGTTTCACTCGGCAGCGTGACTTCCAGCGGGCTGTAAAGATACCACGACTTAAGCGCTGCCGCCGCCGCTCGTACTCGTGCCTCCATAAGACTCGCCCCAGCCGCTTCTCCCAACTTGTCTTTCCCGGAGTACACGCCCACCACGTACACCGGATGCCGGCTCAGTCGACCGGTCTCCGAGATGAGTCTCGCCACCGGCGCTTCGAAGCCTTCTCGGCCGCAGAGAATCGCCAGTTCCCGTTGTGGGTGCCGGAACTGGAAGAGGGACGCGACGTCGAGTCTTCGCGAGAGGAAGTGCGCTTGGAAGAAGCGCTTGGTGGCGATGGGACCGCAGTGGAGGTACAGAGCACCGATGAGTGCCCTGACGAACGATTTGTAGGCGTCCTCGACAGGTATACCAACAGGTTCGGCCTCGGCGCCAGTCGCGTGGTCTTCCGCATTTGATATCGTTTCTCTTGGCACGTCTTTGGGGAACTTGAAGTTCGTGTTCGAGAAAGGGGTTGTCACCCCTTTATGGAGGTCGCCGAACTGGTCGTCGTATAGCACTCGCGAACTCAGCGTCCGCCTCCGATTGCCCCAAGCTTCCTCCGGCGACGCGACCTCCTCGCCCGAGGCGAGCTTCAAGTGCTGCAAGAGCCCCGGGTCGACCTCACCGCCGGGATGCGCGGCGGTCTCCACACCCCATTCCTTGGCGATCGTCGCGAGGGCGGTCGATCCAACATACGCGGACTGCGCGGCGAATAGGATCGCGATGGGTATCCGCGGATAGTGGCAGAGGAGGTATTCGGAGGTGTAGTATCCGAGGAGGTCGGAGCCGAGGGTTTCGAGGGCGGCGTTGTTGAACTGCGGGTTCGGATCGGCGGAGGGGGTGACGAGGGCGCGGGCGAGGGTTTGGATGGGGAAGCGGGAGGGGAGAGAGAGTCGGGCGTGGAGGGCGGACAGTTTCGGAGAGGACAGCGAGCGCTGGACCAGTGGTGACGGGAGTTCCTCGTCCTTCCAACGCCGCGTCCGGGGACGGTCTATCGGTTGTCCATCCTCGAAGGACGGATGGGGATTGCTGGCACTTTCCTGCGCAGCGTATGCCGAGTATCTACGGCATTGAGGGAGGGAGAAAGGTGTTGGGGGGTGGGATCGAAGGAAGTGAGGATGCGCTCGTGACGGAGAACGCAGGTATAGAGGAACCTGCGTTCGTAACCGGATGGGCTTCATGAACAAATCGGGAGGGCCAACACCATCTGCTCTATATCCTGTCAGCGGCCGGGAAGCAATAGAGAACGAGATTCCGAGAACGTGGGCTAGAAAGAATCAGTGAAGTGGTTGAATGTTTGGAAAGTTCGACGTCGAAAAGTCGAGAAGAGAGAATGTCCCAAAGCGGTTTAGTCGCATACGATTGCTCGGCGGCTCAACTCCAACGTCAAGGAAGTCCACTATCATCGCAATTGAAGCTATCTTTGCGAGCAATTCCCAACACCTCTCTCCTTATACCGATTATTTCCGGGTCCTTTCACAATGGGAGGAAGTGATCCAAAGCCACATGCTCCGGCGAGCGCCCATCCACATGCCAACAACATTGGCGGGGGTCATCATGGAATGATCAGGTATGTCGACCATCGATTCATGTCCTCCGTACACCATTGCTGATCCATTGACAGATATCCCAAACACGTCTGGTCCCCTACCGGTGGATGGTACTCCCAGCCTGCCAACTGGAAGGCCAACACGGCCATCGTCCTCGCCGTCAGCTCCATCATCATCGCCTTCACCTGGAAACTCAGCGCCGAGCGAGAAGTGCGCTACAAAATGCCCGACCCGGATCGGTTTTATCCGAGCAGATAGTAAGAGATGCGCAAGAGGAGCGTTGGAGCACCGGCTAACATGCGTCGTCTAGCTGGAGCAAGCAGATTATCGAACACGAGAAGAAAACGAAACTACACAAGGAGCAGAAGGAGGCCGCGGACAGCCGATAGAGTTGAGGGATATGAAAGCATTGTTTTGGAGATCATGGCGCGACCAGCATCTTGTGACGATGCGTCCGAACTGGTGTACTATTAGACCCCGAAGACCAAGGGTTCTGTGAATATATATCTTCGTTGTTGCAGGCCCGGACATGCCACGATGTGGATGGAGGAATAGATCAAGCGGACTCGAGATAGCCAGTACCCGCCAACAATTCGAAGGACGGCCGTATGCAGCATACTGATTCTAAATGGGCCTGTTGAATCCAATTGGGACTGTGATGTGCCGTGATGTGTTCACAGCGAGATAATAATCAGCTCCCCCGGCATGACCAGATGGAATCGCTAATTTTCTTCAATAGCTACCTTCATGTACCATGCCATGTATACAACTGAACTATTGTGTAGGAATGATATTTATTGATTGGTTCTGTACATGTCTAGTTGCTATTTACAATCAATGACGCGCCGCTGAAGTTAGACGTTGGTCGATCGTCCTACTACGCGGCACCGACTTGAGACCTAAATAGGTACGCAGCAGATGCCCGCTCTTGAGGCAGGCTTCTCGTCTGCTTGTCATATTCTTTGGGACGACGGCTAGGGTTCGGTGCTGGACCTGGATAAACAACTTTCTAAGGTCGAAGTTCAGGTGGTAGACCTCGCGGCGCAGACCCCATCTCGTAGAGCCCATGAAGTCACTCTCATATGTTAGACGGATTTGTCCGCCTGACTTCGCCATGGAGGTTCCCAGTAGTCCTCCTACGATGTTCCCTTCGATCGTCTTAGGACAGGAGCGCCATCCAATCGCAGTACGACGATCATCGCGGACAGCGTCAAGGCGACTAACTCATAAGTACTCTTCCGGCACAACCATTGCCGTTGGAGTTTCTCGGATCTTCGACTGCGACTTGGCATGGATACTCTCAACCGGACCAAATCGAACAAACGGCCAAACGATGTACGACGCCTTCCCATGAATCAAGGCTTTCGATATCTGGGGCGCATTAGCATCTCGCACATCGGGGACATAGATATACGCACGGGTCCGTAGTCATTACTATCCTTGGTATCCCGCTCATTATCCCCCTCAACCCAGACATGATTAAACGGAACCACCTCCTCCCGCAACGGATATTTGTCGCTCCTAGGAACCACCGTATCGCCTGCCACGGCCACCACTCGCTTGACCCCGATCTTTTCCGGATCGTGGGGCGTCCAGAACGCAATCACGTCGCCACGCTTCAGATCGTGCGCGGCGCCCCATTTGGTGAAGACGACGCGGTCTTTGCGGCCCGTCGCGTGGTAGTCGGGGCTCAGCGCCGGGTGCATGGAGCTGCCCTCGATGGCGAGCGGGCTGGCGAGTTTTTCATTGATCAGGATGCCCGTGGCGAAGGCTAGGCCGGCGCGGTAGGGGAAGCGGGCATATTGGCGGAGGGTCTGCATCTTCGAGGTCGGGCTCAATAGACAATATAAAACCTCGATCCTGATGGCCTAGTGTCACCTCTAGCCCTGCATGGCAGATTCCCAACCCCTTGCCCTTCGCACAAAACAAAGGGGATGCTCGCAGGCCTTCGAGCAATTCAACCTTCAAATTCCGGAAAAGAGAGAGATATGAAACGGATCAATTGGTTGCCAACGAAACAGGGAACGGATTACGGATAGATGAACACTGGCTAGAACCGCAGATCCGCGATGGGAGCTCCGATAAAGGCTGATATGATCCCGGGGGTGTCCATTGTCCAATGGAATTGCCATGCGATCAATTTTATCTTTTATCACCATTCCTCTCATTCCCCATCCAGCATCCGAGTGTGAATATCAATTCAAAATAATGAGTTCTACAACTTTCTTCTCTTTTCCACGTCAGCTCGTATAATTCTGTTTTTGGGTGTCTTTTGGTGATTAGCAGCATACTTCTAGTTTCCCACCCACCTCAACCAATCTGCTGCGCCGCTTACACGTCTGCCTATCAGCCCGGAGATAAAGTCTGTCCGGACCGCCGACGTCGACGGCTGGATCGGTGACGACTGTCCAACGAAGCCTACAGCATCGTGAGAATTTGCCTGGCCACATCAACGGAGGACACTTGATCATTCCGCCTGTAAACCCGGACCGCTGCCATTCATACGCGGTCCCCAGCCTCCATCATCTCTACATAAACCCCTCTGTGTCTCGAACTTTGCCGCAGCTCGCAAATGAGCTTGCGGCCTCACAAACTGTTCTCCCTCAACACAGTGGCAGGTTTTCTGCCGCGTCGTCCTGCTATTCCCCGATCGGGTTATCCGCGAACTCTCATAGGAGCCTTCGTTGGAGCCGTTGCTACTCTAGGTTACTTCAACGACGCATCGTCGCGGTCTTCGTCGCAGTTGTCGGACGGATCCGGTGCGAGCTATTCAATCATGACCACAGCAGAGGCAGAAGGGTCGGGAAGGGGGCGATCACAGCAGAGCCCGTTGGCGTCTCAAAGAGTAAATGAGGTAACTTCGGCTCCGACGGGAAGACCAGCCAGTCGGTTCGACCAATACTTTCCCCTCGGTTACAAAGAGGGCTTCAATCAATGGGTGGGTAATTCCTGAAGCACCATAGCGGTTTCAAGAAACTGAGTAAAATCTAGTGGACAGGCTTGGCTCCCGCGCGCACCGAACATCGAGTCCTTTCCTATATCCCGCATCTGCAGAAACCTCCGACGCATACCCACACCGGCACCGAGCCGCTCTCGGACGAATCAGCCGCATCGTCGATATCCGAGGACGCATCCGACCGAGCGACGCCGGTGGTGTCAGCCGATGATCCCTTTGGGCCCCGGCGATGGCAGTCCACGCTGGTCAAGCTCAGCGGAAAGCAACGCGCATTGAACGAGTTCTCCGTGGAGCGCATCGGGGAGGAAGTGGAGAACAACGTGGTCATCCTCCATGGCTACGGCGCGGGTCTCGGGTTCTTCTACAAGAACTTCGAGGCGCTGAGTCGCGCGCCCGGATGGCGGCTGTACGCGTTGGACATGCTCGGCATGGGCCGGAGTAGTCGACCGCCCTTCCGCATCCACGCCAAAGACAAAGAAGACAAGATCCGCGAGGCGGAGAGCTGGTTCATCGACGCGCTGGAGGAGTGGCGGATCCAGAAGAAGATCGACAAGTTCACGCTCCTGGGCCACAGTCTCGGCGGCTATATGGCGGTGGCCTACGCGATCAAATACCCTGGCCGCCTCAACAAGCTCATCCTCGCCTCCCCCGTCGGCATCCCCGAGGACCCCTACGCCGTCGCCGCCGACCTCCCGGAACCCGGCGATTCTGCCCTCGCCAGCGAGTTCACCCAAGACCAAGAAGAGGTCGTCAACCCCCCCAGCCGCGCCCGTACCCCCGCCCGGAAAGCCACCTCCCCTCCCACCCAACCCCCCCGCCGCCCCATCCCCAAATGGCTCACCTACCTCTGGGACGCCAACATCTCTCCCTTCAGCGTCGTCCGCTGGGCCGGTCCCCTCGGCCCGCGCCTCGTCTCCGGCTGGACCTCCCGCCGCTTCTCCCACCTCCCTGAGGACGAGGCCCTAGCCCTCCACGACTACTCCTACAGCCTGTTCCGCCAGCGCGGCAGCGGCGAGTATGCCCTGGCCTACGTGCTCGCACCCGGCGCGTTCGCGCGCAGCCCGCTGATTCGCCGGATCGACCAGGTCGGGCGGATGCCGCTGGCGGGCGACGCGGAGGAGGGGGGGTCGCGGGAGCAGGGCGTCCCGGTGGTGTTGATGTACGGGGATAACGACTGGATGGACGTGCGTGGCGGGTTTGCGGCGCAGGACAAGCTGCAGGCGGCACGAGAGCGGGCGCTGCAGGGGAAGAGCTCGGAGGAGAGGAAGCGCGATCAGGGGGATGCGAAGGTGATGATTGTAAAGAATGCGGGGCATCATTTGTATTTGGACGGGGCGGAGGAGTTTAATGATATGGTCACCAAGGAGATGCGGGACGTGGAACGGCGACAGCGGCTGCTGAACGAGGGGGGGTCGAGGATGTGAAGGGCTTGCATCGGATCGGATCTAGACCTAGATACCACACCGTGACTAAATTTTGAATAGAGATATATACTTCAACGCACGCGCAAATCGCATCGATTGTGATTTACCAGAAGCAGCTGGATCACCGCGCTGAATCGCAGACGATGCAATGATCTCCTCTATCCGTGATATCTTCCGCAACAGAATGCACCACCCCCGCCTTCGCAGCGATCTAAATATCCCGCCGCTCAAAATCGAAGACCCTACCCCCTACTTCACATTCACATCCTTCCTCCCTAAAAACGCCGTCAAAATCCCCACGATCCGCTCCAGCGCGTCCAACCACTCCCTTAATAACGCATCCACCCTCGCCGCGTCATCCCCCAGCTTCGCGTAGAAGTCCGCCCGGTACGGACACGCGCCCATGGCGGCGCTGAAGATCGGCTTGACCAGGAAGCTGTGGTGCGGCTTCAGGGTGTCGGCGTAGGCGGCGCGGAAGGAGGCGGAGAGCTCCTCGGCGGGGACGGTGAGGTTGCGGCGGAGGGATTGGGCGGTGAAGTCGAGGCCGCTGGAGGAGGGGTTAGGTTGATACTTAATGAGGGTTGGAGGGGGAAGGGAGACGTACCGATTGAGCCAGAGGAGGCCTTCGGTGGCGGTCTTCTTCTTCTCCTTGAGCTCGTTGAGGACGAGGTCTTGGAGGGTGAGGGAGTTGCTGGGCGATGCGAGGAGGCGGTCGCGGAGTTTCTACGCCGGATAGGCGGGTGAGCTTCGTGGCGATATACGGTATACAGGGACCCCGTTACCTTGATGTTCCCGAGCATATCGCTCTTCACCGGCGTGAACGTCACTGACCCGAGCACGTCTGCCCCCGCGTCAGCCAGCTCTCATCGATCTCTCCCCGCTCCGCCACTCGGGGGTCATGCGCACCGAATAACGTCGTCAAACTCTCCGCAGCCTCCAGAAACTCAGACGTCGCAACAGCGTCGCCGTGCGCGCCGTCGATGGGCACGGCGGTGAAATTGCGCTTCAGCGTGTCGAAGAAGGTGCCGCCGGGGGGGTAGGGGGACGCCATGGCTGGGGATCGAAAGGACGAAAGGAACGAAACGAAGGACGGGGAGTGGGATGGGTGATGGAGAGAAGGATTGTTAAAGTGGCGGATCGGGAGTTGAGTAAGAGGGAGGATGTGTGGAGCTCAAAGCGACGATCGGATCGAGGGGTCGAGGAGGAGGAGTTGTCTCATGTTGGTGGGAGGAGGACTGAGGAGGTTCCCCGCCGTCGCTCCACCCCCTGCATCATTCATCAAACCATCGCGGAGGCTTCAGGGGTGACCGGAAGTTCCTGAACTCATGATATTGTTCATCATTGGTAGCGAATGTAATGCAGTATTCATGGGGGCTCCAAATCATTTTTTTTGTATATAAATTGATATTTTCGCCACCCTATCATGGATTGGTCCCGAAACCCGAGTCATATCCTCTATTGCTAACCCCCTTCATTAAACATATAATAGTTATATATGATCCTGTGCTGATTCCCAGTCCCGAACACCACGACCGAACCATATCTATGACAAGCAGTCCCGACTCCAGCGCATGCTTCGAGGTGGACTTCAGTTCTGAACGGGACGAGCATTAAACCCGAGGACCTTCTTCGCCAACAAGAAATTCTCCGCATCAATGGCTACCGGGGCCGCGCTGAGGATCCATTCGATCGGCTCGCTGCACGGCGGCGTCGTCAGAGAACCGGAATACCTGGATGGCGGTCAGTGGTGATAGACTGGGGCCCGCATCCCTACACCTACCGATAGATTTTGTTGCTCTTGAAGTGCTCGACCAGCCTACAGAAGTCCAGCGGACCAGTCGATGCCTCCATTCCCGGACGAGCGACGGTCCCCACGACGCCGAAGATGGACTCCAGCAGCGGCTCGCCGCACCCCTGGCTGGCGCACAGCTCGACGAAGAATCCCAGCGCTCTCCGCGATGCATCGACGGGGTTCTGGAAGACGAAGTGCACTTCGACGGGGAAGTACTCGCCGTACAGGTGGTGTTCGGAGGGCGTGTGGAAGTGGAATTGCACGAGATGGTAGGTCCGGTTGCCTTCTCGCATGGTGCCGTGCGCGGGGATCTCGATGGTGGTGCCTAGGTTGTGCATGGTGGTGCCGTTCGGGTAAGGGTGCAGCTGGAGCGTGAGGGCGGTCGGGCTGCCGTGTTGGGCACTGGCGGCGTGGAGGTCGATGGGGGACTGGTGCGTGCCGGAGGCGCAGAGCGAGTTCTCGCCATTCCCCAGCTCGTGCCAGTGATCGGGGCCTTTCTCACCGCTGTAGGTGAACTTGGGTTCAAATGTTTTCTCATCGCGGTATCGGAGTGATCGAGCTGATCGGGGAGCTCGAGGAGTCACCAACAAGCATGATGATGGTTCTAGAAGGGCCAGAAAGCACAGAATGAATCTACAGACAGGTACATGTATTAGAAAGACTTGTAGCAGTGCCAATATGGTCTCATGACTCACGCTACTCGAGACCACATGACTGAATGTCAGAATCACAAACACGGTTCGTTTAGAGTAAGACAGAACGAAAGATCCAGACAGATTGAATTTGAAACGAGATATCGAAGTGAGAATTGCAAGTAGAAAACAGGCCGGGTTACAAAGGATTCACATGTTAAGAGTCCGTTGCAGCGTGGAAGTGACGGCGAGATCAGTGCCTTCTCATATTCAGGCGCTCCATGGCCGACACTTGTCTTACCGGCATTCATATATCGAAGAAAGCCATAACAGCCTCCTTCGGTTGAGTCCATGTACTTACCAACCAAACGAACCCGTCATCGCTGAGCAGAATGGGTTTCGGAGATGACAAGAATCCGAATCACGCAAGTTAGAGGGGGCGGACAGTTGCACAGCCAAGTGATTTACCACTGCCGGATTCCCACGCCGGTACATGTATGCCAACATCCAACACCTGATGGATGAAATCGCGGAATCGATGATTAGTGCCAGGTTCATCCAGTGGAAATTGGAAAATCACAGAGACGTTGTGCGTTCGGGCAGTCAACCTTGCCTCCGCTAAACCAGTAACCACTAGACGGGCCGATCGTTCGACGCTGGAGGGCGAAGTGAAAATGCACTTCCTTTTCTCTTTTGATGTGCTTGACTGAGGAGTGAGGATGTATTCTCCGAACCGGTAGTACACCGCGGCGCTCCCGGTGGCAGGTGACAAGCCGTCCGCTCTTCAGGATTGCAACACGTCGGTTGCTTGCGGAGTCGGCGGCTGCGGACAGGTATTTGAAGACCAAGCCTGGGCGTCCCTGGAAATCGTGGCCGACCCGGATCTGGATATTGGACAATTTACACAGGGCTGTACACACGACACCCCCCCCCGCAAGACGTTCGCCGAGCTTGGCTGCCCTATCATGGAACGGAATCCAAGCCATCCTGCCCCGCCACCGTGTGCTATTCTCAGATGGCTGCAGGTTTGGGGCATATCCGACTCGAATTGCATACGGTACGGCAGTATTCCCACGCATGGTGCGGAATCGAGACGACTGGATTGACGAAGAGAACCTCCAGCGAGCAACTGATATCATGAAGTGGATTCTTCTGCTGCGGACCAAGGCATTGCAACTTGCATGACTGTTCGATAGCTAGGGCAAGGCTGGGCTGCATCCAGCCTCCTTCATCCTTCCAGCTTCATCCTTCCAGCTTCTTGTTGAAGTCTGAACACATTGAAGAAATAGAACATCGGATGGTCCAGGAGACTCGTAGACACTAGACAGAGTCAGGTAAGGTATTTCTCTCAATTTCTAAGTCCGAACTAAACGTGACCATGCGTCAATCCTCAGTCGCGTCGCGTCTTCATCGAAAAAGCAACGCTTAGCGACTAGTCCCAGCAACCGGGGGGATGCCGGGATCTCTTACGGCCCCGTGAGGCTGCTCCCGCTTGTCCAACGCGCTGCCCCCACCCCCCTAATAGCAAATCAAAAGTGTGAGAAACACTGCCGCCGCTATCCAATTGTTCCCTCTTACCAAGCACCCCCTCCTTTCTCTTTCCATCGCCTTTTGATGCACCAACTCACCCCTCTTGGTTCTAAACTGCCATCGTCATTCGCATCCAAATTAAATTACCTTGACGAAGACCCTGAGGCATCGATTTTCTCAGCCTTGGGCATCTTCGTCAAGGAGCTTCATTCCGTGCAACCACTGCGAGCTAAGCATTGCGATACGGCTGGCGAATCGAGATCAGGCTGTGGGCGATAAACAGCCCCTTTGGTGTCAATTGGATAAGTCGAGCTTTGGTTTATGTGTATGGAGAGCATCGCTTGTTTCTTGCTTCAAATTCCTTCTTTTCAAAGTTGAACTTCTCTTAGAAAGTCCTCTGGACAATATATGTGTACCATCGGGTACAGCTCAATTGGCGTGGACCTAAAGCTTACACATGGAGAGAAACCGAATACAGAAATATAGTTGGGTTACATGGCTGGACTCCCTAGATTGAGCAGCCTTACAAACGATATTGGGCATTGTTTCTTTCCTTCACCCTAATATCGGTACCCTTCACTACGCTACCTAGGGCTCTCCTAAGACACCATTGCATTGGTCCAACCATCAGGTCCTGCTCCATTGGGTTCCAGCACCAGCATCGGTCCGATATGCCCCAACTACACTCACTCTCCACCCCTTCCGGGATCAGGACTTACTCCCCGGGACATCAAACGCCGGGAAATATCACCCCGTTGAGCAAGAGATCCCTCACAAGCAAATATAAGCATTCTCATTATATGGTCAATGGTGCAATCCGGGAACTCAACCGGAGGTGGATGTTTGGATTCCAGGAGCGTCCCTCGCTCGATGATCCGACCAGCCATTCCTTCGACCATGGCGCATCTATTCGAGCATTCGATGGGATCCTAGCCCTGTTCTTCCATAATTCATGGGATGAATTCATCGAGCTTCATGAGGATCACTGGGACTCGCTGCCGCAGCATGCACGACTCGACCGCTTCTTGGACGCCCTGGACACCTTTCGAGAAACTAGTCGTTCCGCCGGGAAAGGCAAAAGGTCGGAATCCACCCCGCAAATGTCGCCGGTATCGTCTTTTGCGGAGAAACTACAGAAGGCGGGCACGCCCATTCCCAAACGACGTCGCACCCCCTCGTTTGGCGAGGGTCATGCGGCGACGCCATTCCTCGCGGCCCCAATACTGCCTCCGCCGAAGAAGCGGATTTCCAATGGAGATTCGGCCAGTGTACCCTATACGACGGCGCAGTCCACCAGCGGAGCACCACCTAGCAACATGCTACCACCGGCTGCACAGCTTAACTGGTCTTTTGGATCCACTGTACCCTCTGCTAATGCCTCGTTTGGCGCCGTTTTTGACAGCAACCGTCTATCTAGAAACACATCCTTCACCACTGTACCCACTGAGCCGGATGAAGACTTCTACAAAGAGCCGTTGCAACAGGAAGACCCAGGGCTAGACTTTGGCTGTCCCCCCTCCAGTTCGGACCCCCTTGCTGGGTTCACCGACAGCCAACTCGAGCTAGTCTTTCGCGAAAACAATTCACAGGACCAACCGCAAGTCCCCGAGCCCCCCCGCCGCGATGGGAATGGCCGGACGGAGATGTCTATTGTCCGCGATTTCCCCTCCAAAGGTCTCCATATTGACTTCTTCAACGAACTCCTTCACTTGGACTTCTTTAAGCGTTTCGAGTGTGCGCGAGTATCAATCGATACCGACCGGAAGGTAAAGACCATCTGGCCCAAGGTGCAATGTGCTGATGACTACGAATCATTCTGGAGTCCCGTCAAGCAGTTCCCGTTGATTGCACGCCCTTCGTTGAAAGCATGGCAAGCCGGCCGCGTGCAGTCGCCGAATGTGTACTACACGGCCGAGTTGAAATATAACAAGGACCGTTATAATATCTTCAAACTCATCCTCAATCCGATCACGGTGGAGGAGACGTCCAATCGGTTGCACCGCAAGTTCGGCAGCCACCGGTTCCTGCATTTGTCGTTTCCCTTGCGGAACCACCTTCCGGACTTCCTCCGGGGCCAAGAAACCCACCTGTTCGACCGTTTCCGTGAATGGACCGCCAAGCCCAAGCACTTCCTCGGGTGCAGCTGGGAAGTCTTCTATTGCAAAGAGAAGAAGGTTCGAGCCAAGTCGCGCAAGATGAAAAGCGATGACGACTTCGGACTGCGGATTGTCCTTTTCGCGACGCAGGGTCCACGGATCAAAGATGTGTCCATTCATGAGTTGCTGGACTGGTTCATGCCTCTCCAAAGCAACGCCCAGATGACATATTGCAAAGGTTTCGCACGCCTGGATCTGGCCCTTTCCGCCACCTACCCGAGCGTCAAATTGAAGCCATCCGAGGTGAAGTTCACGCGAGACAAGCTTGCGGACGGGAACCCGGAGGCGTGTGAGTTCGACGACCCCGACTTCCCACGCTCGAGTGTTGCCTACGATTTCGACCCTGATCGCGTTATGGATGATGGCTGTCAAGTCATGTCAGTCGGACTAGCCAGGGAGATCTGGCTGACTCTCGGCGCCGAGGGCCCACTTCCTGCTGCGTTTCAGGGGCGGATTGCCGGCGCGAAAGGGATGTGGTATAGGAGTGCTCCGTCAGACACCACGGATCCGCATAACCTGCAGAGATGGATCCGCATCAACGACAGCCAGTTGAAGTTCAAGTCGCATTCTGAGGACCTGAGTGACGACAAGAACTACGACCCTGATCGGCTGACGTTTGAGGTACACTCCTACACCAAGAAACCCGCTCCCGGCGCCATCTACGTGGACTTTCTACCAATCCTGGTCAACCGCGGTGTCCCGGTGGGCGTTTTGCAGGATATCGTGTCCCGCCCTCTGGACGAAGACGAGAAGGAGCTGCTCGATGGCCTGGAGAATCCCGAGCTGTGTCGGCAATGGATCCATAAGCGGCACGCATATTTCGAGGACATGCACCGCGAAGCCGACAGCCCCATGCTGTATCAGGGAAGCATGCCCTTTGGCCAACTCGAACGGGCGATCCTGCTGCTGGAATCGGGATTCGATATCCACCTTGGCCTCCTCGGCGATTTAATGCAGGGGATCGCCAAGTCGTATTTCGAAGACACGTTGAAAACCATGCGCATCGACTGCGAGAAGTGCGTGAATCTCAAGGGTATCGCGGACCACAGCGGCACCCTGAGTCCAGGCGAGATCCACGTCTGTTTTTCCGAGAGCATCGGGGACGGGCTCGCGCAGTTCATCAATCAGGAAGTGCTCGTCGCGCGAAATCCGGCGCTGCGTGTCTCCGATATCCAGAAGGTCCGTGCGGTGTTCAAGATGGAGCTGGCGCACCTGCAAGACGTCGTCGTGTTCCCCACCCGAGGATGCTTTCCCTTCGCCGCTCGGTTGCAGGGAGGCGACTACGACGGGGACACCTTCTGGATTTGCTGGGAGAAGAGTATTGTCGACCCGTTCCGCAATGCGCCCGCTCCCACCAAATCGCCGAATACAGGAGATTACGGCGTTGAAGTGGATCGACGGACGCTGGGCGATGTGCTTAAACCCGCGCCGGAAGGCGGCACCCCGGACGTCCGCGACTATATCAACGAAAGCATCAAATTTCGCTCGAAGGATATCTTGGGGAACATGCTGGCGTACTCCACGCTGTACCACCGAAAGGTGGCGTACGCCGCGAATTCCTTGCGACATCCCGGGGTCGAGAAGCTGGCTGATCTCCACGACCTCTTGATTGACTCCGCCAAGAACGGGTATCTCTACGACCAGGTCACGTTCCATGACTATATCCGCTCGCAACCGGATATCACCCAGGTGATCCAGGCGCAGCGGGCCGGGCTGTCCAAGCCAGCGTATCAGGAGAGCATGGAGCAACTGCGATCCAAGAAGCGCAAGTCCACCGACAAGCCTCGATATAACAAAAGCCACATCATCGACCACATCTACTTCCAAGTTCTCCAACCCCGCGTGCAGGCCATTCTCCGCCGCTCCTTCGCCCGCATCGCCCATCTCGCCTCCCCCGCCCCCGACCCCACCCTCCTCGCCCGCTACCACCACCTCGCCCACAGCGCCGCCCACGACCCGTCCTCCGTCCTCCGCACCACCCTCATCACCGAACTCGACGCCCTTCTCTCCGCCCTCCGCACCCTCTACGCCCTCCACTGGGCCGCCCCCTCCCGTCACGCCATGGAGCTCGCCGACCGCGACCCCTCCGCCAACGCCTCCCTCGACCAGCTCGACCGGCGCATCGCGGACTGCCACGTGCGGTACACTGACATCCTCCCACATGACCCCACTCATCCGACCATCGCCGAGTGGCTCATCCCCGCCGCCCCCGGCATACCGACCTCCTGGGCCATCCTCAAAGCCAGCGCGCTGTACGCAGTCATCTCGGGGGAGGCACGGGACCCGGACCGCCGGTCACCGCGGAAACCGGGACTACACCGCGCGGCGGGTAGTGGCGGGTTGGCGCGGCAGGGGGAGAAGTTCCTGTGGTATATGGCAGGGACGGAGTTGGCGCGGATGAAGGCGTTTCGGGAGGGGGGGCGGGCGAGAGTGTTGGTGGAGAGGATGTGGGCGGGGATGAAGCCGAGGAGGATACGGGTGGAGTTGGAAGGGGGTGAGGAAAGGGGGAAGGAGGTGGAGGAGGTGGAGAAAGAGGTGGGGGTGGATGGGTTTGATAGTGATGAGTTTCATTCTGCGGCAGAGGGTTGGTGATGGGGATGAGTGTGGGGATGACTTTTGGATTTCAGACGAGGTGATGGACGATGCACATCGAACCGAATCAGTTCGTCCCGGTCGGTACCTCTTGTTTTATTGCCCTGTATGTCGCCATTCATTGGACTGACCGATTTTTGTGTGTATGATACCATCTTAACGACTTTTGTTACACGCCCTATGCGGAATCTATCCCGACTGGGACCCCGTTTGTTTCTACTTGCGCCAACTCCTTCCCATGCTTTTCATAAACACCGCGTGATTTGCATACGGGTTCTACCACCTGCCCGTATAGAAACCCTGTTTTCCCAGAGAAGCGCAACCAACATGGCGGAACCTTGAACAATGCCTTCCGTCTCACAACTCCCGTTCCCACAGACCACGTCCCAAAATAGCGGAAACCCTCCGTCCAATGCCGCATAGCAACTCGCCCACGCGGACGTGCATCCCAGGTTGCCGCCGTCCGATATACCAGCCAATAACGCCGACCAGCACCGCACCGGTGACGAGCAGTTGCCGTCGATGCTTCCACACGTTGGCGCGGAACCGTCGCTTGGCGTGCGCCCACTCCCGCGCCTTGTCTTCGGCCACCTGCCTCCTCTTCATCTCCTCCGCCAAGGTATGGAATAGCCCCTCGCCGTTCTCGAGCGTCTGCGTCGCTACGCGGTGGACCGGGGACGTCGATTTGAGCACCGACGACGCGGGGATGAGCTTCCAGGGTCGCGGACGGAAGATGAGGGGCGGCGGCGCGGGAAGGGACTTAGGGAGTTGGGTGAACTTTAGGGTTTCGGGGGGGTAGCAGCGGAAGAGGTCGGAGCATCGGGAGAGCAGGGTTTCGAGGATCAGAGGGCGGGGGAGGGAAGAGAGGGTGGCGTGGAGTTCGGGGTCGGAAGGGTCTAGGTCGAAGAGCTCTAACCGGCGATTGAGGATGATCTGGGAGATTGGTATTAGAACGTAGGTCGGGTCGGAAGATGGCAACATACCGTGGCAAAGAGGTATATCGACATGACGGCTTCGTTCGCCAGGAGGAAATCAAACAGCCGTGCGATATCTCCGTATCCTTGGATCTCGTGCGCGTACATGGTCAAGGTCGCCGACAGCGCGAAGAAGGGTTGGATCCGACTCAAATGATGACTGAGTTTCCGGTCGACGGCGCCTATGATGGGAAACAGGAGGTGCAGATGCGCCATCGCCGCGGTCAGTGTGGGGAGCATGAAGTCCCGGATTCGCAGCAACGAGAGGCGCGCCACGGCGGGGACAGCGGAATCGCTTCCGAGAACCAGGAGGAACACTTGGACGATGTCGTGGTAGCCTTGGAAGTAACAGAGGCACGGATGTGTGCGAAGGGTGCGGACGATGAGCTGCTGGAGTTCGGCGCGGCGTCGCTCCAGCTCGCTGCCTGACATATCTGTGATCGATACGGTCAGCCTGTTCGATCCTGCGGTTCTAGGTGTATGGATGCTTTCATACCGAGTGGGTAGTACACGAAGGATCGATCGACATCCAGCTGCACCTGATGTTCGTCCCGGTGTTCTGGCCACTCTTTCCACGCCGTCTCATCCCCCGGCGATGGTTCGGGGTCGTCGGCTGCGCGTGTGCAGCCCAGTAAGATCGGCCCTATCGACGACGTTAGCACCGCCAGCGGACGGCAGCGTGCATAGGCGACGTACATGCCTTGCGGCGAAGGGAATCCTCGAGCAGACCGCCAGGACTGATAGCCAAGCGGGCGACGGCGTCGAAGTCGGCGTTCTGGCACGCCTCGTGGATCAGGGAAGCTTTCTGCTCCCGATCGTCGGGGGTCATGGCGTCGGAATTAGAGTCGCGGGCATTGCGGTGCTCGTCGGCGACGCTGGACAGCAGTTCCTGGAGGGTTTCGAAGGGGTGGTCCGGGGGATGGTCGGAGGGGGAAGAATTGTCGCTCAGGGAGGGTTGCACGACGGATGAAGGGTCCATGGACGCGGCAGGTCAAAGGCTCTGCCCATGTTCTAGAACAGGTGTGGTTTTAAGAGAGGGATTTTGGGATTGTCGGGCCATGGGTGGGAAATAGGTGTGCTCCATCACTGGCATCAATCATCATCCATATATTTCTTTTCCACGTCACCTGTCGCGACTCTCTCCTCTCTATCATCACTGGCCTCCAAACAAAAATGGAGTCAGGCGACAAGGCGTATATCAGACAGTTAGTACATGTCACGTGGTGTAATCTGCAATTCATGGAATTCATTCCATTTGAACATTGAACACTAAATAGTAAATACACTCCGTAATCAATCTAACTCCGCATCGCTCAGTGACACTCACATACAATGAAACCGTGAGGTGTGCTAAAATTGTAGCCCTGCCTTGCAGCTGGTGCTCGTGCTCATCCTCCATCGCTTATAGTTTATATATATGCACCGGTCGAAAAAGCAATGGCCGCTTAATCCCCAATCGTTCGGCAGCCCGAGATATGTGGAGGTGATTCAGGCGGGCTGTCCCGAAAAGGAGCTCCCATCCAGCTCCATCCAATAATCCAAGGGACCATGACTCCATGAGACTTTGAGAGACGAGAATTGATCGGTCACAGACTAGTTCACATCCTGGAATGATTGATCACTGCGGCGTCTAGGACCAGCATGCTGCAAATCTCGACAAGTTGCATATCAGATCTGCATCCGATGATCGATCCAGTCACACCCATCTCCCTAATACAACTTCAAAAGCGAAAATGCTCTCTGCTTGTTCCTTATCCGGACGTCCCACTACCATGCTGAGCCTTCTCTGACTGCGTTCCATGGCCTACTGTCGTGTTGCAGTGGTTGCATGCACTATCCGACGCAGTGCAACATCCACCAATATCTCCTCAAATCATCCATCATCGATCGTCGTGTTGGGCGGACTCCCGATTCTTCCTGCGAGCATCACGGCGCGCCAGCCAAGTCCCTTGCTGTGGATTCCCCAGGTATCCTGATCGAAATCGACATCGGTATCTCGGCTGGCCTGTAGATGCGGCTACCCGCAGAAATCGAGGCATCAAACCCTGCATTTCCTAAACCTCCTCCATCTCCTCCCACTGCACAGCCATTGCTGAAAGGGCTGCCATATACCAGTAGGATTGCGGTGTGCATACAGGCTGAGAAAGGACGCGTTGGTTTATTCTCTTTCTCAGTTCCTTTCCCGCGCTTACCGTTGTGAAACACCACTGGCTTGACCTACGACGCGCCACCGACCATCGCACCATCCAGTCCAGAAGCCTCTTTGCTCGCCGATTCAGCTTCCTTGGATCCTTCCGCCGTTTATATATATTCTGTGACCAAATCCGATTTTTCGTCGTTCATTCTCTCAGATTTCCTTTCTCTCGAATTTTGCCTCTGATGCGCTCCACTGCCGCGTCCTTTTAGGGACCTTGGGCAGGAGTTGGCGTTAGTAAAGGAGACGAAGTCGGAACCATCATGGACGATCCGATGCAGGTCGAGACCCACGTCATGGTCGACGGGCAATATCAGACGCGTCGAGCAAACCTTCGCGATATCCTTGCAACGCAACGCGTAAAGACGGCACAAAAACAAGAGGTGCCCAAGTCACTCCATGCTGGTCCGTATATCGGCATAGTGTCTCGAACTCTGCTTCATTCGCCGATGATCAATCATGTCTTTCCTGCACGAATTCGCCGGGGGGATAAGAACGATTTGGTGTTCGTCGGCGAGGACTTTGTGCATGTCAAGGAGGCTTCCCCGGACGGCTCCCTTCATCATGTGGCTTTCCATGCCACAGACAGCCACATCCGTGCCGCAGCCATCCTAGGAACCCCTTCTGTAGATCATTCGGTGGAAGGAGAAGGCTTATCGAAGCCAAAAGTCAAAGATGAGCATGGTGTCCAAAAGGTGCTACCACCGGAGATTTTGGTCTGTACCCTACAGAGTGGTAATCTCCAGTTCATATGGCCCGAAAACAGGCTCGGAGCAACCCAGTTCCGCATCGTCTCATTCGCACTCCCGATCGATATCAGCCACCTGAAAACGTTCGGGAAGCATCTCGCTGTGGATGCGCACGGACGTGCCATTGCAGTGGCTCCATCTGAAGGTGGCGTCATGTTCTATAATCTCTTGCCGCGGAAAGAGATGGAGGCCATGTGGGAGGCATCCCCTGAAGAATTTCATCCGTTCAAGAATGAGACCGCCATCGCTATCAACGGCACCATTCTGAACATGACGTTCTTGCAGCCATCTACCAATCCCCAGGAGAAGCACGTTGCGAGCCTCGTGGTCATCTTCAAGGCCGTGACGAAGGTGCGAATGATGTGTTATGAATGGGACGTCAGAGACGCCAATCCCAAAATCGACACGGTCGTCAAAGGATATCCCATGTCGCACGGTACGTCACCCATTGTTGAACCCTATGGCCAGTACATTGAACATGCCTGCAGAAATAAAAAATCCACAAATGATCATCCCCTTGGAGCGATCTCGGTCATTTTGCGTGGTTTCCGATAACCTCATAACCCATATCACTGGGATTCAAACCAGGGACCCGGTTTTCCGCGGCCCGTTACCACTGAACTCCGCTGAGCCACGGTATCCCGGGCTCTCGAGAAGTTCTCCGCTTTGTACACACTGGTCTCGAGCCATTCGACATGCAGATTGGAAGGACCAGAAACAGGAAGCATTCTACGTGGTGCGCGAGGACGGGCAAGTCATTTATATCGAGGCTACTGAAACCGGGGTGTCTATGCAGGCAACGGTGGGCATCTTTGATTGCCACATAAACAAGGCATTCGCAGCTTTCATGATCGGGGATGAGTTGAGAGAGCCCGATTATCTCATCGCATCGGGCTCCATGAGCGAGGGTCAGTTGTTGAAAATTGGTGGTGAGGTCCCGGAAGACTTTACGCATCCGACTCGAGAGACGTCGTTAGACCCTCAGTCGGTTCAGACCTTGCGAGACTGGGCCCCGACCCCGGACATGATTCTCACCAATTTGCAATCGCTATCGCCAGGGCAGGGTCGTCCAGAACGAAGGCCCCTCAACTATCCTTCGATCTTCACCACCGCCGGCAATGAGCCGTACGGTGCAATCGTGGAACAACGCATTGGTCTCGAGCTCCGGAACGGTACCATGGTCGATAGTGATCTTTTCCTCGGCACCACCAAGCTTTGGACGTTCTGGGATGCCGATATGGCCATGTACATTCTGGCTTCGCGTGCCGAAGAAAGCAACCTGTTCCGCATTCAGGACGGCGATCTCATCGATGAAGAGCTCACGTCGGCGAACTGTGGTTTCAATCCGGAACGCCCCACGGTGGCTGCAGGTGACTTTGGTCAATACGTCGTGCAAGTCACTCCGGAAGCGGCTTTTGTGTGCAGTCCGACTCATGAAGGTATCGCTTTGCCACAGGACCACACGTTCTTTGCAACTTCCGGAGGCAAGTTCGTGGCTGCGGACATCGATCAGTCCAGCATGACCATCGCCTTCGTCTCGAGGCAAGACAACCGCAGCCACCTTCACCTAGTGGAATTTGACGAGGACGAGGCGGGTGGCATGTATGATCGGAATTGGGGAACGGTCCCCCTTCCATCAGTGGAAGTGACCTGTATACGCAACATGAGCAGGGAGGACGCGCATGTCGTCTTCCTTGGACTGTCAGACGGGACGATCGCCGTGTTTCCCGCGAGCCCAGGAGCTGGCTTATCGTCGCCGTTCTTCCTCCCGTTGAGTGGTGAGCCTGCCAGCACAGTGGAGACGCACGTGGCAGAAACTGTCACGGTGTTGGAGAATATTGGATCTGCCAACGAGGACGGCGATGAGTTCAAACTGTTGTGCGGTCTTCGAAACGGTGAACTATGCCATGACACGTTTATTCTGCGGGCTACCGATGCAGGAGAGACCGAGATAGGTGAGCAGATCATTCCCAGCAGTTAAAGCAGTCCTAACCGTGTTTAGTCTTCAAGGGCCAAATGGCGTTCATCAGGATCGGACAATCGAGTCTATTTATCACAGATTCCCGCGAGAGCTCGGCAGCCAAATACGCGTACGGGGTCTGTGGATCGGTGATCGTCACAATATTCTGTGATACCTTAGATTTTGTGAATGTGGAGCGCGTCTGGATCGCCGATCAACACAGATCTGCTTTCAGGCAGCCTACCGTTTGTACACTGGCCGCGATCCCCTTATGCCAAGTTCAGAATCACAAGGATGAGGTCGCGTTGGCTTACATCGTCGGAGAACATTTGTACTTGGGCACCACGAGCACACAAGTCAAGCCAGTCCCAAGACGAATCGACATCTCGGGCTCTCCTGAACGAATCATGTATTCGCCTTTCCTCAAGGCGTTCATTGTTTCTTCCGTTCGAACTGAAATTCGGAACGGTAGAGGGCGATCGGATCCGGACAAGAGAATCAAGCGCGGTGTGATCTACGTCGTCAAGCCTGATGGAGGTGCCGACGAAATTAGCACCCTGGGCATTAAACAGGAGGAAGGCGAAAATTCCCGGGAAAGTCTGATCCTGGGAGCCTTTGATTTGTACCCTAGCGAAAGGGTACATTCACTATGCGAATGGGAGCTCCAACTCCAGCAAAGGCGGATGAAGGATGTCATGATCTTGGTCGGTACGAGCTACACCAAGAGACGCAGTAACCGCCTAGAAGAGCTTGGGCGAATTATCATCCTACGCATTGCCCTGGCCAAGGATGGGACGTGCAAGTTCGCGGTCCTGCAAAAACTGGAAGTTCCAGCTCCTGTCCGAGCGGTGGCTTCGTACGAAAAGGATGGCGTGGTCATGTGCACGGGGAAGAATCTGGTCTTGAAACGATACTCGAAAGAAAGGAAAAGGTAAGGAAGATTATGCGTTTTACTAAGTCATTGAGCTAATTATCTACCAGGCTCCTGACCACCACTTCAATCGAGCTTCAAGCCCCGGGATACAGGATGTCAGTGTTGCCGCCTGTTATTCACGTCTCAACGGCAACCGACTCGGTGATGTCGTACAGAGTACAAAATCGGACCAATCCTTCAAACACAGCAGCCAACCCGGATCGGACCCATCCAGTCGAAGAGTTTGTCCTGTTTGGGTCAGACACTATCGCCCGCACCTCGGCAACGCATCTTGAGGTGACCATCGAGAACGACGCGCGATCACTGAATGGAGTTCCATGGCTCAATATCAATGGAGAATCGAGCCCTAAGCTGCTGCTTGTGTCGGACAAAGACAAAGGCCTGGCGGCTCTATGGCAACCACCATCTCCCGACATCGATAGGGCGGGGGTGGACAACCGACCAGCATCCGAAATATCACTTAATCGATCCATCACGACGCTTCGCCAGCTTTCGAATCGTCCTCCGTGGAGGAATCCTTCTCAGTATCTCGCCGACGCGCAAGAACCTAGATCCCCCTCGGATAGTCCCACGGTACGCGGCGCCCTGGTGGACAACTTGCTCGGCTCCTCCCATGATGGTACGCTTTTCGCTTTTACCATCGTCGACGCGGCGTCCTGGAGACTTCTACGATTCCTTCAGAACCTGGTCACATCGGTCACGAAACTTACCGAGCAGCGTCCGGCTAACGGAAGCAACAAAGACAACGAGGAGGACGAGGAGGACGGGCGCACGTTGATGCAGCTGGGGTTCCTCGACCCGGACCGACAGCTGCTCAACACGAACCGGCAAACGAACTTCCACATCAACGGCGACATCGTGATGGCACTTCTGAGGCCGGGAGGCGTGGACGATTTGGTTCGGATGCTGCACTTGATTCCCCGCAAACGGGAGGCCCCGCCTGGGGAACGGGCTCCCGGGGAACCGGAGAGCCAGGACTCGTGGGATCAGGAGTTCGGCATGGATCTCGACGAGGCGCTGGGGGATTACGAAGATAACCAGAGGAACAAGAGGGAGGTGAAAGAGCGGGTGGAGCGGTTCCGACAACTGGCGGCGGAATTTGGGACCGGTCAGCCGGCGGAGGATAAGCTTGAGGAGGTGGTTGAGCGAGTTTTGAAATGGGTCCGGGTCCTTTTGATGTCGCCCATGTAGGCTTTTTCGGCATTGGGGCGAGCGATGCATTCATGGAAGATTCCCCTGAAGGGAGGGAATTTGATGTAGGAGGGCATTATGAGTTCATGAGACGTGACGACGGGTGACTTTTTGGATTAGCGATATTGAAGCAGAGGCGTAACCGTTTTCTCAATTTTGGCCATCCACAAACACACGACTCTATTCTACTAAAATCATGAATTGAAATACCGGGAATGTCCAGTGTGAGATGCTGTAGGCGAGGTCTATTAAAAGCTCTGTCACTTCATCGGAACACACTCGGCCATGTCTCGGGCGTCCAACTCTTCAAGCTCATTCAGCAGTGGTCAGGATGACGTATAGAGAATAGCTGAACGAGCTCCACTCCCCTTTCGACCCGTCCATATCATGGACGCGGTCTCGGCGAAAAAACCAAGAATGGACGCTCCACGGACACTTCTCGAGTTTCGCTCCTCAAACTCGATATGGCCTCCGCCGCATTGAAGAGCCGCGTCCGTCGGCCCGCGTACCTCAAAAAGCTGGCCAAGGCCGAAGACCTCATCCACCACTTCCCACACGGCTCATACATCGGATGGAGCGGTTTCACCGGGGTAGGATACCCAAAGTAAGTTGGCGCGGTCATTTGGCGATGGTAGGGACCAGTCGCTCATGCATCATAGGCAAATCCCGACCGCCCTCGCCGACCACGTCGAGAGGAACAACCTCCAGGGAAAGCTCAAGTATAACCTCTTCGTGGGAGCGTCGGCGGGAGCGGAGACAGAGAATCGATGGGCGAGGTTGAACATGATTGAGCGGCGGAGTCCGCATCAGGTACCAACTTCTGTTTTGCGGGCATCGTTTCCGCCGCTGACGATCAGGGCAGGTTGGGAAGGAGATCTCCAAGGGGATCAATAATGGCAACATCAACTTCTTCGACAAGCATCTGAGCATGTTCCCGGTCGATCTGATGTACGGGTTCTATACGCTGAAGAAGAAGAGCAACCGCATCGATGTGGTCGTGGTCGAAGCGACGGCGATTACGGAGGATGGTGGAATCATCCCGGGAGCATCTGTCGGTATGGATTCCTATTGTGTCTGCCAGGGGCTCTACTGATGTTCTCTAGGTGCCACTCCTGAGCTGGTACAGATGGCGGATAAGGTCAGTCTATCTTCCTGTTGCTTTTGGATGGACTAGTGCTGATATACGCAGATTATCATCGAGGTCAATACGGCGACTCCATCATTCGAAGGCCTACACGATATTACCATGACGGATCTACCTCCGCGGCGAAAGCCATATCTGATCATGTGCCCGGAGGACCGTATCGGAACCCCTCACATTCCCATCGACCCCGATCGCGTGGTGGCAATCGGTAAGCATGCACCGTGTTCAGAAAGACATCATCTAACGCAATACAGTCGAGTCCACATACCCCGACCAGACTCAACCGAACGCTCCAGCCGACGCCAAATCCGAAGCCATTGCCGGGAACCTGGTCGAATTCCTCCAGCACGAAGTCAAGCACGGCCGACTGCCACCGAACCTGCTTCCCATCCAATCCGGCATCGGCAACATCGCCAACGCCGTCATCGGCGGCCTGGCTTCTGGCGGCGCCAACTTCAAGAACCTCCGTGTCTGGACCGAAGTCCTCCAAGACGCCTTCCTCGACCTCTTCGATTCCGGCAATCTCGACTTCGCCACCGCGACCAGCATGCGTTTCAGCCCCGAAGGTTTCGACCGCTTCTACGGCAACCTCCAACACTACGCTCCAAAGCTCCTCCTCCGCTCCCAGCAGGTCAGCAACAGCCCGGAGATCATCCGCCGCCTCGGCGTCATCGGCATGAACACCCCCGTAGAGGTGGACATGTACGCCCACGCGAACAGCACCTGCGTCATGGGATCCCGCATGCTCAACGGCCTCGGCGGGTCCGCCGATTTCCTCCGCTCCGCCAAATACAGTATCATGCACACACCATCCTCTCGCCCGTCCAAGACCGACCCGGACGGCATCAGCTGCATCGTGCCGATGTGCACGCACATCGACCAGACGGAGCACGATCTGGACGTGGTGGTAACGGAGCAGGGACTGGCGGACGTGCGGGGCCTGTCGCCGCGCGAGCGGGCAAGGGAGATCATCAAGAAAACCGCGCATCCGGACTATCAGCCGATTTTGCAGGATTACTTTGATCGGGCGGAGTTTGAGTGCTTGCGGAAGGGGATGGGGCATGAGCCGCATATGCTGTATAAAACGTTCAATATGCATCGGTATCTAGAGGAGAAGGGGACGATGAAGATCCCGAGCTGGGATTTCAAGTTTGATAGCTAGGGAATTGTGCCAGCTGACCAGCTACGAGTGGAAGAGAGCTAGTTCGGAAGTAGGAGATGGGCACCTGGAATAGAGGGACTACATCATCCTGGTGTAATCAAACAGCAATATAGCATGGCAGTTGAAATCTAGAAAGAGATTTATGTATGGACATACCTTTCGTTGTACCATTAGATGCCAAGTTCAATCAATATCTGTACAGTAGCACGGCCTTGAGCAGTATTGGAAAAGCTTTAGCTAGGAAAGCCGACGAGGGGAATTCTAACGCTCCTTCAGTGTTCATACCTCTTTTATAAAATCGCCGGGGCATCATGAAGTAGGAATTCTCAGAAGATTTCAGATTCATTGCTCCATCTTGAACCATCAGGAACTTTTGATCTCCAAGTGCTGGTCTGGTTGCACCCCCACCGCTCAACGCCCAGCACGACAAAGGTGAATCCATGAAGCAGATACAGCCGTCACAGTTGATTAAAGATATCATAATAGTAATGATTACCAACGTAATACGTACTACATCAAAAAGAAATGAATCCGCCAAAGAGTAACGCCTTGCCTCAGGATGGCTCTGTCCCATCACCAACATAACCACCGCGTCGCCGCACCACACCCCAATCTTTTCAAATCCTGACAGTGGTCGCTTTGAAGGTTTGAATTGAGATTGCGAAAGAAAAAAAATGCAAAAAGAAATCGACACGAGCAGGATTCGAACCTGCGCCCTCGAAAGGACTGCCTTGTCTACTTGATAGCAGGGCAGCGCGTTAACCACTCCGCCATCGTGCCTTTGATGTAAGATAGTCAAGAATTTTGATATTTATAGCTAGGATCCCCATGGGCCATCAATACTCTTCAGTTCTTTAGTTACTCCTTTCCATTAGATGAGCCTTGGGCAAAATGGAAATTTTCCATATCCAATTCTACGAACTTGTACGTACTGACACCAAGCTGGTGGCGTGGTCGAATACCCGAGCGACTACAACTTCTACATGACCCTTCACCTTGCTTCCCAAGAGCAGTTCTAATGAACCAGTGTTAATACTGATCAGAAGCCCAGAAATGTTGCACCCGAGTTTATCAAGATTCCCTATTTCCATTCTCCTCGCCTCCCGGCCCCCGGACTCCTCTTCGGTCTTCCCTTCCCCGCATCGGGTAGAGCTTGTAAGTTGTAGCCTGTAGGATTTAGGAACTAAGAACTGCCATGTGCAGCTGGCGCCCTAGTCTCCCGCTCTCCCCGCAATCTCCTTTCCGATCTCCCCTTTCTCCAGACTCCCATAACCAATATCTCTCATCCAAAACCCGTGCAATTCCCGCTCCTTTCATCCCCGTCCATCTCTGCTTCCCATTCTTCCGTTGCACTGCATAATCTTTCTTATTCCCGGCCACTGCTCACTCCCCGTCCCATCGGCCCGGTATCGTTACCCATCTTTCGGTGTTCGCCTGCCCCAAATCGCCTGTCGATCGGCCCGAGCGACGCCTCCCAGTCTGTTGTCTGCATAGGTAGCGTTGCATTGGTGTCGACATCACCATCGTATGAATCCGGGGTAAGGGTCCAGACTTCGAACTCGATTTGACCGCCGCAATGCGCCATTCGTGTGAAAGCTGCTACCGATACCGATAATGATCTGCGACGTCTGATGATGCATCTCGTCGACATTTAACTCTTGCGCCGAGACCATGAGTTCCCCAGGGACTCTCGACCCTGCAGGTCCGCTGCAGTCGCGTCTACCCGACAATCACGCGCATGGCATACCGGCATCGACGAGATCTCTAGAGGACGGTGATGATACTCGCTCGGAAGGACATTTCGATCGCGATGGAGACCCGTCGCTTCGGCCACCGAAGAAGAGGCAGAAAAGAAATAAACCCACTTTAAGTTGCGCGGAATGCGTCGAGCGCAAGACGAAGGTAATGATTCTTCGCGTTTTTATATGCTCGCGCGATTATGTATGCGTTTTCTGGAAAATCTCTTGTCTCTCAAGTAAAATACTTTGTCGTCCATTTGTCTTTTGATTCTATGTTGATGAAGTGGATGGAATCTGAGAATATATCAGCACATGTAGTTCTTCGCAGCAAACCATCCTGCACCTATGCGGAGTTCTTTTCCGACCAGCCCCTAAGGGGGATTCTGTTAAATTTATAGAACTGGCTGACAATACATCGCATAGTGTGATCGAGGCCGCCCAAGATGCATCTCGTGTTTGAAAAGGCAGACAGAATGTACTTATTCTGCGCGCGCTGAACTCATCTATTCTGTCAGGTTCGTTGATCCTTCCTCACCAAGTCCATCTTTAACAATTCGACCATCTAGCGTTCCATCAACCAAGATCAAATCTCGTAGAGAAAGCGATGATGCCGGAAATGGCCTTTCCAATGTTAGTGCACACGTTCTTCATAATAGTATATCACTAAATGATTGCCAGCTTCCACTCCCACCCCATTCAGGTACGCCACGTCGCCGACATGACTCCATCTCCAATCCGCCAGCGTCGTCAGCATTCCTACTATCGCATATTCCGTACTCCAAACCGAGCCCGTCCGATGTCTTCGGTGTTGGTAAAGAGCATCCCTTCGCCAACTACTGGACCTGTCAAGGTGGTCTTCCCGAGGTAATCGGCATCCTTCCGAAGAAAGACCAAGCCGACATTCTCGTGGCGAAATACTTCGAGTGCGTCGATCCGGTCTACCCGATGCTCAATCAACAATCCTTCCTCCAAGATTACGAGAACTTCTGGCAGCTTCAGATCCAAGATAAATACAAGGCGGATCCAGGCCTCGTCGCCCTCCAACTCATCATATACGCGATGGGAACGCAATTCTTCCCGAAAACATGCGCGACGGCAGACGGCACCCAGCAGGCCCAAATGGCGGAATTCTACGTGTCGGCCGCCCATCAAGCGTTGCGCATTTTTGCCTACCTCAGCAGAGTCAACCTGAGCTCCATCCAAGCGATGATCCTGATTTGCTATTTCTTGATGAACGACAACAAGGCTTCCGATGCGTGGGCTTTTGGTGGAGTTCTAATTCGACAGGCGTACGCCCTAGGATTGAACCGTTGCCCGGACATTATCGTTCCCGATGCCACGCCAGAGGAAAAGCAGCAACGGAGGAAAGTCTGGCAGGCAGTCTTCGTTCAGGATACCTTCCTGACCATTCTGCTAAGTCTTCCACCAACCTCAACTTTCAGTGACTGCACCGTTGATTCGTTGACCGAGGATCCTGAACCCGCAACGCTGTCGCATAATATGTCGGAGCACCCATCTCCAGCGTTGAATGGATTATCCAACACCCGGACCCTCATGAGCATCTCGAATGTTGTTGGCTCAATTATCAACTCTCCTAATGTCCTTGGGCCAAACACCTTCCACAACCCGCCCAACGTCTTGCACACCAGCACTCTGCTGAACGACTCAAATTCCCCTACCAGTGTCTCGACGTCACAAAGCCAAACCCCTCTTAACTTGATCTCAACACGTGGAGATGTTCGCTACACCCGTACTATGTGGCATCTGGCGAATCTCGTGCAGCGAACCATTTGCTACCCTAGGGCACTCTCCCAACCGGCGACAACGACCCCCGCTTCGAAACGGGGCTTGGTTGCAAATTACCAAAGCCTCTACCGGGAATTTCCACATATGCTCACCGAAACCCAACGGGGATGGACTGCCCAGCTCGTCCAAAACGGCGAATACCGAACCGCCCGACAGTCCCTCTTCCTCCGCAGCAACTACTGGCACAGCCTGATGCTCATCCACGCCGATGAAGGCACTCCAGTCCCCCCCGCCCATTCCTCCACCTCCACAGCCACCACGCGCAACGTCCGTTCCAGCAGCGCAACCAGCAACAACAGCGCGTCCAGCAAGCCGAACAGCCGCCACGACAGCGCCATCTCGCACATCCCCACCATCGATGCCCGCGCTGCCGTCGACGCCGCCCGAACCGCCATCGCCACCTTCTTCGATCTCTGGCAATGGTTCGAGACCGAAGCCGGCGTATGGTGGGTGTTCCAGCACCGCGCCTACGAGGAAGCGCTCATGATCTGCCGTCTCCTCGCAGCCTATGGCTCGCAGTTCCCCCCCATCTCCGTCTCCGTCTCCGAACCCCCGAACAACGCCTCCACCCCCGTCGCCCCCTCCTTCCCCGCCCCCACCTCCTCTCGCACTCTCCCCTACCCCCACCCCTCCACCCCGCCATACCCCCCCTCCGGCCCCGGCTCCTATGTCGGCAGCCCGCCCGCTCCGCCGTTCTCTCCGCCCGTACAGCACCCCGCCGTCGCGTACCCCGCCCCGCCGACCCGCCTGTCGGAGTCGCCCCGGTTGGAACCCGACCCGCTGTTCATCGCGGCGAAGGCCGACGTGGCGCGCATGCTCGAAATCTTGGAGCAGGTTGGAACGAGCGCACCGGAGCTGCAGAAGACGAGGCGAGAGATTTTGTGTCAGGCCTGCGAGGCGGTGGGGGATGGGCTATGATCGGGGTATCTTGAGTCCACACTTAAACCAGCGGTGGTGGATGCTATTACCGTTTTGAACGTGGTTGGGGAAGAGGAGTCGTGTCGCGACCACAATATAGCCGTCATGCACGCGCAAAATAGTTGCCACACATCAACAGACATGGTGAAGTTTTTCAAATGAGATAATATGATCGGTATCATACATTGGCCAGATAGACCTCAACTCCGGAAACTGAATGATTCCTCCACTACAAGTGTCGACCACTGATTTTCGCCGTGCACTATCGTGTCTCCGCATCCCGACACCAGCTATGACTCCCCTAACGCCGTCAACACTAAAGGACATCTCGACCTCGTATCATTTCACCCGCGCATCCCACCGCCCCCGCCTACAACTCAAACCCCCGCCATCCTTCCGACGCCTCCGGTGGCGCCAAGCTCGACTTCCCCTTCTTCGTCACCGCCAATCGCCCGATTCCACCCGGCTTCCCCGGCCCTGTCTCCAACGCCTCTTTCACCATCTTCGCCGCCTCCACCACCTGATCCACCGCGGGTTGCGTCTGCGTCGCCGTCCCACCCACCGCCCCCCCATTCATCGCCCCCGTCCCATCCATGCCCGCCACAGGGCTCACCAGGGTTAGCGCCTTCGCGAACGTCTCCTCCACCTCGCGCATGCGCTGCATGAACGCCAGCCGCTCGAGGAACAGCTCCTGCCGCTTGCGCTCCACGTCGCGCTTCTCCGACGTCACCCACCCCTCCAGCTCGTCGAACTGCTGCAGCTTGAGCTCCAGCTTCTGCAGCTGGATGTTGGTTGCCGCCGACACGAGGTGCGTGAGCTTGCGCTCTTCGTGCGAGGCGAGGCCGCCCGAGCGGCCGGCAGCAAGGGCGAAAGGCATGGTGGTGATGGGGTTGCCGAGGTCGGGTTGGGGCTGGGAGGGGGCTTTGCTTGAAGCAACGACGTCGCTGGGTTCGGCGGTATCAACTTCCATCGCGTCTTCGTGTTTGACGGTGTCCACGCCAGATGCTTCGGCTGAGGGTTCGCCAGCGGGTGCTTTCTCTTTGCTAGTACCTTCTTCAGCAGGTTTGTCGCCCTTCTCAAGTCGCGACAGAAGTGTTCGCTTCATCTCCTCCACGCTTCGGTGAGCGGCGGCGGCGGTGACGTTGGGGTTGGCGAGAGAGGCGAGGAAGCCGAGGACGGACATGATGGGATTGTCGCTTTGGGTGAAGGGGATCCGGCTCGCATTGTTGTAGTACGCGACGGACGCTGGCCCGGCGGCCGGAGCCTGGTTGTTGGCGCCATTTTCGGACACGCCCAATTCGGCATCCAGATACTGGTCTTCGATCTCAAGTTGCAGGAACTTGAGAATGCACTCTTCGCGGGACCGGGTGGTGACGTGGTCCGCGACGCGGTTCCAGTCGTCGTCAAACATCTCCAGAGCTTCGAGGAGAAGGAGCAGCTCCGAGTCAGTCCAAGGAGCATCTCGGTCGGGGATAGTCGAGTATCGGGGGTTCTCGAGCTTGGTGTAATCAGACGCAAGGCAGGCTTGAGGGTACTTCTTCTCTTTGAAGCAAGTAGTGCAGAGGTCGTGTTTGGTTTCGCTCGACGGCTTGCCCTGCGCCGGTACAGGAGTTCCCTTCGCATAGTGGAACCGGACTCGGGTGCAATCCGTACCGCACTGCATGCAATGGAATGTCTTGCCCGGATCGTTCAGCAGTTCCTCAAGCTCTTTGGCTGAGAGCGGCCGCTGATCCGCTGCTCCGTTGGTCGCATTTGCATCACCATTCGCGCCACCATTCAAGCTTGCCGGTGTCACATCCTTTCCGCTCGACTCGTAGATGTTTCGGCGAACCTGGAGGTTAAGATCGGCTTTGGTGGGAGGCGCCGCGTTCGCTAATCGCTCCGTTGGAGGATATGGCTTTCCTTGTGTAACGACGGAACCTGGCGCGGGTTGGTGAGGCTGCAAACCTCGAGGTGTATCAGCCGTGATTTTGAAGTGTCCTGTGAATGGTGGTTGGATGTTCGATGGGCGAGCATCGGGATCAACCTATTTTCAAAGTAAGTATGAACCTCATAGTTCCGGTAGCGGGCTACAAACCTGATAATTAATCAAACCCCATTGCTCAAGAAACGCGTGCACTCGCATGATGGCGCAGACATCGCCCGCAAGATTCCGACGGCACGCGGTGACCGTGAGGTATTCCGCTGGATTCAGACGATATGTGTTGATCATGAAGTCGCGATAATCCTTATACACAGCCGGCGTTTTGCTGCGATTGCGGCTATTAAAGAACTCGGGGAGAGCTTTCTTCTCGATCGCGTTGATATCGTGTAAATCGAACCAGGTGCTGTAGCTCGGGAGGATGATGGCGTGTGTTTGCGCAATCAGGTGTGATCTCGCCGATGCTTCGATCGTGGTTTTCGCTTGCGCCTGGGCATCTTCGTTCGTTCCATCACCCTCCGTCGTTCCATTCGCATCGGCTTTCTTGTCGCCCTCAGTCCCACCCATTTCTTCGTCCTCATCCGCCTCTCCTTCATCGGCCTCGGGTCTGGGTGCGGGAGGCGCATCTAACGGATTATCCGACACTTCAGCGGGAGGCCCTTCTGTTGAGTCTTCTCGAGGCGGTTTCACTGCAGCGGGAGCATCATCGTCACCCTCCATCTTCGTGTCTAAATCGGTGTTAGCTTAAGCCCTCCACACTGCGAAGTATGCGCCAACGACAGATGGGCAACGACGCTTGTAAGTTTATGATCACTTCATCACCAATTCGAAGCCAATAAACGGTCATAAAAAAGGCAATCACTTACCCGTCGTAGATTCTGGTTGGGCTTGCGATGGCGAAGATGGTTCACCAACTGCAGTGACACCAGTCTCCTCCGACTGAGTCGGATTCGCAGTTGCTGCAACTGATTCATCCGCCATGTTGACTTTTTGTGCGTTTCAGAAGGCTAACCGTTACGGTGGATTGCGCTCACTTGAACGATGGAACGAATGTACTGAAGAGAGGGAGGTGATGGCCGGCTCCGATGTGAACTGCGACAGTCTACAGCGCGGTACTCGTACCAGTGACGGTCCGCGACGCACCGGAATCGATGAAGAGAACTGGGAATGTGCTTAAAGAGTCACGCTGAAGATGGAGATACGGACTTCAAAGGTCGCGTCGATGAACAGCCGTGATCCCTAAACTTCAGATTCGCGAGTCGCGCTGAAAATACGCTAGTCTCGATTAGATATATTCACGTGACTGGGGTGGCTAATCGTCCGAAGTCCAACCGAGCCCGAGGTCACGGGTTCCTCCGGTCCGATCTCAGGACTCTCCGGTCATTTGGGGAATTGAGCCACTTTCTCCTGCAAGTTCATTTAGACGAGACCTGTGGAAGAGGTCGACTGGAGGAACAAGCAAATCACAATGTTGTTGTCAATAGCCTCGCGGCATGCCCGTACCAGATTACGCATCCAAGCCCCCTCCGCCGTGCCCCTCCATTCCGTAATCGCTCGCTTCCTGTCGAGTTTGGCCATCCTGGAGCAACGAGATGGGAAGTTGAATCCGTCGTCGTTATCGGCGGTGGCTGCTGCTCAGAAGCTGGGAGGTACCGTCACAGCATTCGTGGCTGGCAACGGCGTCAAATCCGTCGCCGACGAAGCGGGCAAAGTCCAGGGCATTGCGAAGGTCGTCTATGTGGATAGCAGCGCATACGATCGGGTATGGCAATTGTTCGATATCTAGTTGAGCTGTGGCTGATTGATTGAACCTCAGGGCTTACCCGAGAACTACGCTCCTCTCCTGGTCGAGAACATCAAGAAAGATGGCTTCACCCACGTCATCGCCGGCCACTCCGCGTTCGGCAAGAATCTCCTCCCTCGCGTCGCCGCCCTCCTAGACAAGCAGATGCTCTCCGACGTCACGGGCATCGAAGGCGATGATATCTTCGTGCGCCCGATCTACGCCGGCAACGCCGTCCTCAAAACCCAATCCACCGAATCCATCAAGCTCTTCACCGTCCGCGGCGCCGCCTTCCCAGCGCCAGAGACCATCGGCGGCTCGGCTGAAGTCGTCGAGGGCGTCGATCCGAAGGTGGAGTCACAGACGGAGTGGGTTTCGGAGAACCTCACCAAATCCGAGCGACCGGACCTCGTGTCGGCTAACCGGGTCGTCTCCGGTGGTCGTGGCCTGAAGTCGAAGGAGGAATTCGAGCGGCTTATCCCCGCGCTGGCGGACGCGCTTGGCGCGGCGGTTGGCGCGTCGAGGGCGGCCGTGGACAGTGGCTTCGCGGACAACAGTCTGCAGGTCGGGCAGACGGGCAAGAACGTCGCCCCGCAGCTTTACCTGTGTGCGGGGATTTCGGGTGCCATCCAGCATCTCAGCGGTATGAAAGACTCGAAAGTCATTGCTGCGATCAATAAGGACCCCGAGGCGCCGATTTTCCAAGTCGCTGATGTCGGCTTGGTGAGCGATCTTTTCGAATCGGTGCCCGAGCTGACGGAAAAGCTCAAGGCTTAGGTAGCTTATAGAATATATATGTACAAAGTTCATTTGGCTTCAACCATTGCTCAGGACGGACGTGACTAGGATTGTTATTGCTCGAGACATATCCGCCTATTTGGAACAATATTCGATGTAATTGCACTAGATGCATAATACATCGCTGGATGACTGGCTGTTCCCGGCTAATTTGATTCATGATATCGATTCTTTCTTAATCCTCTGAGTCTACTATCAAGAGAGCACTACTCCATTATTTTCACTCGTGATTGTGGACTTGCCACACCATACCATCCCTCCTGTAACCAACAAAAATTGATGCATGTCCATTTACACGCTTTCGGCTCGCTTCTTATCAAACACCTCTGTATGAGTGGCATGTCCCGTAGCTTCCTCAAAATCGTGGTCGTGCGCAACGTCGAACTTCCGATTCTTGTACTCTGGCCCCGCCAAGGTCGCAATAATCTGGTACGCGTAGACGCAGCCCATGAAGATGCAGATGACTTTTCCATAGTCGTACCGCTTCGTGTCGCCCTGTGTTTTACCATGTTAGTGGAACTTCGAGGGTCTAAGATTCGATGAGATTACCTTGGGCGGAAGGGGAAAGCGCTCCCCGATTGTAGATTCGATTGTAGAGCTCGCACTTGAGACCAAACTTCCGAGTTGGTAGCTGTCGAGCATGTCAGTTGAGCGCTGGGAATAGAAAGGTGGGGGGGATAGAGATGGGTCACATACGAGGTACCAACGACGAATGTTCGGAAACTGCCAGGGGAAAGTTCCATGAGATGGATCTAAAATTGACAGTTAGTAATGGAAAAGCCAGATTTAGAAGTTTCGTGATGAAGACGGGGAAAACATGGATCTTCCGTCCCATAAGGGACATCTTTGTTTCACTGAATATGCAGTCAAAAAATTCGTGACTTACAGGGACAACACCCCAGATACCTTGCACACAAAACTGCTCAAAGAAAGCCGCTGCGATAATGCCGTTATTCGAGACGAAGGTATATGGATACACGAGTGCGCCGCCAATGACACAGAAGAAGATGATGGAAAATCGCCGGCCAAAGATTTGTGAGCCGTATCCGACCATCGTTCCGCCAGTGATGGCACCAAGATTGGCGACCACCTGCGTCACGGTCACTTTGTCGGAGGAGAAACCGTACTGGTTCTCCAGCAAGGTCGGATAGAGGTCCTGGGAGCCATGGGCCTGCACACTATCAGCACTATCCACTCGAGGGAGCTTGGTCAACGTACCAAGAAGTTGAGACCGGTCGTAAGGGTGATCAGGTAGAGCAGAAGAAGCCAGTGATTCTTTAGCGCCACCTTGCCCTCCGCGATGAAGGTCTTGCTAATGTTGTCGCTGGCTTCTCTCACCGCCCGCCGTTCCAGATATGCATTGGTCTCGGGAAGGCACAATCGGAATGCAATGATGAGCACAGGCGGTCCCGCGCCGAACCAGTAGAGCTATGTGATGTCAGATAAATGATCCCCACGGTATTCAAGTTGCACTGACCGGTCTCCATCCATGGCCTACAGTGTTGACGAATGCTCGTGCAAATACCGTCGCCAACAAATACCCGAATGCATACTAGATGTGAATTAGCATAAATGCGTAAAAGGGTTGCGGACATCGACTTACGCCTTGCTGCAGCATCCCGGAAATAATTCCTCTCGCTTCCTCTGGGCAGTCTTCCAATGCCGTGGCGGCTGCGTTTCCGTATAGACCTCCCATCGCAATACCGAAAAGGGCTCTCACCCCCAAAAATTGCTCGTAGGTGTTGCAGAAACCGGTCCCGAGCTCCAGCACAATGAACAAGATGTTGTTCACAACAAACTGTCGCCGCTCAGTCAGTCAAGGACAGCGTCAGTTATCAGACGGGAACCTACCGGCCATTTTCGCCCGTAGCGATCGCTAGCAATACCAAAAATGATCGCACCAACGCTCCGGAGCATTAGCACGGTGGTAATTCCCCAGGTGATATCCGTGTTGGTTTTCCCGAATTCTTTCGCGAGATCGTGGACTGTCAGGGAGACGGTGAAGAAGTCGAAAGCGTCCCATGTCCACCCAGCGAAACCCACCAAGAAGAACATCCATTGCTGTCTGTTCAGGAGCCCTAAGACGCGGATGGGATTCGGGGCTTTGTCCATCGGGGGAACTAACGTCGTGAAACGCGTCGCGATGTATCGTCCAATGGACATGGACTGCGCCGGCGGCTCGTTGGTGTACTGCTGCTCCAGTCGCTCGTCCTGAGGACTGAGATCGCTGTGTTTCTCAGCCATGGCGACGAGAAGAATTCAAAGAGGGCCTCGTGATTGAGACGTTGAATCCTTGTTTCCAAGCTCTTGAAGCGGCGCAATCAAGTCCGCAATATATCGGCAACTGATAGTAGTACAAGCGCACTCGGAAACAAAGTTGAAGCGTCTGGAATTTTGATCAGAGCATTGGGAGGGGGGATGGATTTTAAACAACATCAATGGGGATTCTGCAACCTTCGGCTGTTGATCGCCAACTCGGCAGCTTCGCTCCAACTCTCCAACTTCCCCGGTTGTCTGCGCTAAAGTCCGAGTGTGTGATGCACGCTAAATGGTTCAGTTGTTAGCGGTTGGTGTAGCGTTGTGTCAACCGAACTAGTAGTCGACATTACATGTCAAGCATGAGTAGTTTAATTCTACTACGTACACGCCTAATTAGTGCTTGAAGTGTGCGGGTTTAATGGATCTAGGGGTATCTTATGGTAAGTAATAAGTAGTTAGTAAGTTATTTCCGGAGATATTAGCCTCTACACCACTCCACTTCTCTAAAAGTCGCCAAACCTCGTCACCCTCCACTCGAAAACATTTCACTACTGCGGGTCTCGCGGTCCCTCTAAGCACATTGTGATCGCCGATCCCCCAACGGGCTTTCTCTATACCCATCCGAAGCGGCAAAGGGGCCGGTAATAAAAGACTCCTAAGTCCAAACTGTCGTCAGTGTCGTCAGTGCCGTGTGAGTGGACGGACCTCACGGAGTTGGAGCATCATGGGGAAGGTTTAGGGCATCCATCACAATCTATGTGATGGCGGTAGCAGCATCGGCATCGCTCGCGGGTGGCAAATTCAGCCAATTACGACGATCAATGAGCGAAGCCGAGATGTAGATTCTGCAGGACAGCAGGGAAGAGGCTGGGAAATGGGATGGAGGCGGGACTGGGGAAGAGGGTGAACGCGCGGGGTGAACTAGCCCACCATTTGCTGTCCATCAGGGACTCGGGGACCAGGGTCGACTTGCTTCGACGACCAGTTCCGTTCGAGCGAGCGTCTATTAACTCTCCAGTATTCCCGTATTATCTCCGCATTTGCTTGGAACATTTGAATGAATGGGAGATGATAGCGCGTTGCGAAGCACCCCACAAACTCCACCTGGGGTTCTCCTATCCTCCTCATGACCAGTCCAGCGACACCAAGTGCACCGTTCACTCGACCTAAAAGAACCGAACCGTATCAATATCATGATGTCGTATGCGAGGAAGATTTTAGTGAAGACGCTAGCAATCCCGAGTGACCGTTGTTCCACAAACCAGGCGCACTAGCGTATCTGGGCGTGTCTGGGCATGACTTAGCCCGCGACTTAACTCCCGTGCCGATGCTGGGCAAAGCCTTCATTCATCCACACTCCGCGGGATCAACAGGCAGGGACTCGGCAAACGACGCCAAACTACGCCAGTGGCGCCTTTTGAGAATAGCTTGGTCTGTTTGGTGATGTCCAAGAATTCTTGATCTGACCTCACATTAAATCTGATCGACAGCAATTGGCCTGGATCACGACGAGCCATGCGGCATGACGAATGAGATGATGGCCAGAACGTTGCCTACGTCGTTGAGCACTTGGGATAGGGCTGTGGGATTGGATCGTCTAACTTCAATAACCTCCAGCTCTCACAAAGTCCACCATAGTTGATGGTTTACATACTTCCAGTCCATCTCGTGTCGTAACTCGAAGTGTGGTGATCTAAGCATCAAACCGACGGTTTTGTGATCTCCAAACATCACTGGGACCTTATCGATAGCCGAGTCCCCGAGCCCCTGGAATTGGACAGGGCGAATCGGTTGCGGATAGCCTCCTGTCCATTTTCTCCTCGTCCTCCCCTCGGTCTGGCCTGTATGCTGTAACTGAGCCTTGTGGCTGTGCCTTGTGGCTGGTATTTCAAGTACCTTCCAGCCTTCCACGGACCAAACCACTTCTTCACGTCCATCGCCTTCCCTTCCTGTTCTCAACTCACAAGGCTCATCGTCTTAGTTATGCCACATATGCTGTGACTTTTCGTTTTCCAGTGATTTTCCAGCTCACACCTGTAGCGTATGGTTTCATGCTATAAAGATGCTTGAGTTCACGCCAGCTGCTTTGATTCCTTTTAATGATGCTGCGTTGCCATGCAATTTTCTGCTCGGTTTCTCTCCTATGTAGTGTAGTTACTTCTCATCGACTTGGTTTGTTTCATCATCCTGCGAATGTTCTTCACTCAAATCATTTCCCTTTCACATTTCCCTTCCCATTTCCCTTCCCATTTCCCTTCCCATTTCCGTTCTCATTTCCCTTTCTCATGCCCCGATTTCCATCTCAAACCAGCACAGCATCATTCACAAAAGCATGGGAATGGCAATTGGGGGGTGCAGCTGACGATGCATTCGAGCTGAAGCGTTGGGGACTCCTTTTCGAACTATTGGAGAGGCCACTTGGTTGAGACTGCATTCATCCCAATCACTCCCAGGGTCCTCACCACCTCAACAATCCAAATAGGAGTGCTTGTCCCCTTTTTCAGCTTTCACGATCTCCCTTATTTCGTACGCTACAACATCCGCTCAAATTGCTCCTTCCAGGTCGGAGGAAGCGAGAGCAGAGATCTTCTTCACCTGTCGCGCCTTTCCTAATTGCCAGTTGCATTCCATGGGCTCACTACCTGTGCCCTTCAGCTTGCGCAGAACTGCGCTCGATTTGTAGTGGTTGAGGTACTGACTGTCCGTGCTCAGCCCAAATTTCATGCAACCCTTTCAAAACGAGCCTCTTTCTGCTCGTCTGAACTCGCATTCCTTTCTCCACACTCTGTTGCAGCATCGTCTACTCGAGCTCATTGTTATGCAGAGGTTGTATAAGAGTCCCCCCGCCCCCAAAGCAGATTTATTAGACAAATTCGATCCTCATTCACCCTGACTACAAGTCTCGTGACTCTCATGCTGTTGTGTGGCCGTACTAGGGCTCCTGGAGCTATGACCACCCTCCAAACCTTTGCGCCCTTTTCTCATCACTCTACTGGATAGTCCTCACGATACACCGGTTCAACCGAACTTTGTGATGGAGCGATCCCTTTCCAATCCTCATGATAGGACCTCCCGTGGTTTCTCTCTGATTTCTTGTGACTCATTCCCTTACCGCAAACTCTACTGGATAGTCCTCCACGGTAGACTGGTTCGATCTCTCAGCTCGTGTATTCTCCTATCTCGCAATCGAGCACGGCCACCCTTTTGCAGAATTTGCCGGCCAGTCCTCCATGATAGTATGGTTCAACCTCACTGTGTGATGAAGTTATTCCTTTTCCAGCCCCCAAGATCGGAGTGATCCGTGGATCTCGTGTGATGCCAGAGCCCGACTGTCGAGGGTCAGCTCCCCCCTCGAACGTAAATACCAGTTCGTCCCCCGTTTCTTTCTTGACTTTCTTTCTTTTCCTTCATAGGCAACCGACTGAGCCTTCGACCGCCGACCGCAAAGCCGCTATTCACCACCCCAGTGCCACGACAAAGCCGCCACCGACGGCGCCCGACCGCAAAGACACGATCAACCGTGCATCCGACGCCGCAAAGACGCGATCAACTGTGCATCCCACGAAGCCACTCCCGAGAGCGCATCGACAAAGCCGCCATCAACGGCGCCCGACCGCAACCCTCGCCCGAGAGCACCGCCCTGGACCTCATCGTCTCTCGGTACGTAGCCTTCACTACTTGATGACAACCAACATCTCAGTAGACCGTCACCGCCCGTAGGCCGCTATCAACAGAGCCTTCATCGACCGGAAAAGCCGCGATCAACCGCGCCACGACCGAAAACCGTCACCGACGAGGCGCTATGAGGGCGTGAGCCGCTTCGCTTCATGTAGAGCGCTGCCCGAAAGCCGTCAACCGACGAGGCACCAGAGGGCCCGGCAAACCTCTTTAAACACCGCGGGTGACGAATGGACTCTGCACCTCCACGTGGTGTCACCTGGTAACTCAGTGAGCGCAAGCTTGCTGAGGCCAACGCAGAGACGACCCCCTTTACCTGTGAGTTGTTCCCAGTCTTCAGTTCTCACCTCGTCTCGCCATGTCGTTACAGTCTTGCCATGTCATCGCCCTCCTGCCATGTCGTCGTCCTCTTGCCACGCTGTCCTCCTCTTGCCACGCTGTCCTCCTCTTGCCACGCTGTCCTCCTCTTACCATGTCGTTGTCTTGCCATGTCGTCGTCTTATCATGTCGCCGTCTTATCATGTCGCCGTCTTGCCATGTCGTGCCATGTTGTGCTATGTCGTCGCCTTCCTATCATGCCATCGTTGTCTTGCCATGTTGTCGTCCGTGGCTTGTCGTGTCATGTCGTTGTAGTCTTTCCATGTCATAGTTGTCTTGCTATCATCATTGTCTTGCCATGTCGTTGTAGTCGCGCCATGCCGCTGTCTTGCCATGACCTCGTTGTCTAGCCATGTTGTCGTGTCGGTATGTTGTCGTGTCGGTATGTTCTCGTGTCAGTATGTTCTCGTGTCAGTATGCTGTCGTGTGGGTATATTCGTGTTAGTATGTTGTCGTGTGTCGGTATTTTGTCGTGTTAGGTTACCCTGTCCCCTAGTTGTCATACCAATCCATTGCTTCCTCCATATCAGTCTGTTCCTGTTGTTGGCCTAGTCAGTTACATGGCCCCTCCCACTCCATGTCTCTTCATCTGATTGTGACCATGTTCATGTCTTTTTCAGCTCTATCAGGACCTTGTCGCTGTCAGATGTCTCCAGCATTCCTTTTCCACTTATCATCATTCCATGAGAATGTCATTGTGGTCTCTTGCGATCTCGTTTTGCCATGTTGGCAGCTTGATGTGCCTTTTAGTTCACGATCTCAGCATTGCGGTCTGCTGGAACCAGTGGATGTTGCTTGTGACGTCCGTTGAAGTATTCCGGGACATAATACCGTTCGATGGTGTATTTGGTACGGAGAAAATTAGCATATGTGAGGATCATCCCCCCAATCCTCTCGACTGAAAAGATATCCTCCTGATTCCTAGACATACTCAGGAACCATTTTTTCGCTCTCTGCTATTCCTCGCCAGAGGCTTCATCCATGCATGTCCGTGACTCTTGTGCAATCCTATCTCAAGCAGCGCCAAAGTCTCGTAGAGAAATTCTATGTGCCCACGTGCTATGCGATATCTCGAGGGAAGCCGTTTTCGCAAACGTGTGGTCGATTCGCGCTGATGAAACTTGAAGCATCAATCGGGTGGCTCGATAGAGGCTTTGAGGGACGATTTATCTACAAGCTGCTATGGCCGGGTATCGTGCTGTTGGAGAGAACTGTAACCGAAGGGTACGATCGATGTCAGCTGGTATTGACCGAGCCTCGACGGACTATTGAGCAGAAAAAAAGTATAGACGTGCAGATTCGATAGTTACTATAAACTAAAAAGTGAGTAGCGACTAGATCGCGTCGAGGCCATACCATTTGTCCCCGAGAGTTAGCGGGAAGGAGAGGCGGAGACAAAAGCTCAGAACCCATCAACCAGGTGCCGAAATCCGGGGGAGCGGAGGTATTGATCTAATATTTCAAGTCGAGTCGACTTAAATCCAGTAATACGGGTACAGTCTCTGGATGCGAAGATCATTCCTAGTTACTCTCTCCATTTCAGTCTTCATGCCTTCCTACTTCAGAAAAAGTCCCGTTGCCATTTCTCTAGGCTGATACCGTCACCTTGAAGGGCGCACATAACAAGATTTTATGCAAGCGACAATTGTTGTGATGGATAATGTCTCTGGATAATGTCTCTGGAGAATGGCGATAATTGAAGCGGGACAGATCATCGCGCAAGCTCAAGGTGAATTGTCATGATTAAGGATTCTCATTATTATTTGTAGCTAGATTTGGGGGAGAAATGACCGAAAATATAATAAATCTACCTCAACTCTGAAGGAAAATATTCTTGTTGCGCATTACCAGGGCGCAAAATAATACTAAGGGAATATTTGATATGTTGACTGAAGTCGCTATTATTGCAGAACATGCGATTTGGAACCGGCAGACCTATTCACTCCGGGCGGTGGCCTGATAACTGCCAATATGATGGCGCAGTGAACGTGAACTGCGAATGCGAAAGCTGCCGTCTTTCCGGCCGAGCGTCGGTAGAAAAGGTAGGAATATTCTTATATTTTAGCTCGCTGCACCCTACCATCGCTTCGGATCCGGAGTTTCTTTGGCATTTTTCTTCGTCCTGAGGCGACCTTGAACTCGGGGGAGTTGGTTTCGGAAGAGAGTCCTCGAATTCTGGTAGGGGAGACGGCCTGTTTGAACTGCGGAAGCTTGCCGTTTTCTGATCCGGGGATATTTGGCCCAACTCGCTGTGCAGCGGCGCTCCAATCTGACCTTGAGTCCGAAGGTGTCCCGTTGAGTAATGTCGTCGACTGTTCATCGGGGCCCCATGGCCCCCCACGGATGAGAGGTATAATTTTGGATCTGATGACGGGATCTTGGTCAATGTACTCAGGTCTTCCATGGTCACTGCCATGGCTCTCAGAGCTGAGTCTGACGAGGCATTGCGTAGCACGGAGTCTTGAGGAGGAGGGTGACGATGCTCGGCCACTTGGCATTGGGAGAGGCAATAGATAGGTTTCGTCGCATTCGGCGGCGACGTCACTCGCCAGTCGTTGCGGATATTGTTTTGATTTTGGTCTGCCTGTGGTGGACATTTGGATCCGAAAATCTTTGCCGGAGATGTTGACGCCCGGGTGCTCACGACTGAATCTTGTAGGGCTCGATTTCTGCGTATGACTGAGGGCGTCTGATAATGACCTTGGGCCTTTGAGCAAACATTCCTTGTCATTCCTCGCACAACAAGAAAGGTTGGTTGAGAATACGGACAGGACTTACGGGGGTAAACGACAGTAAAGGAATGGATCACCTACCCATTCTGCCCTTGCTTTTCCTTCTTGCTAGGCAAGCTTCACCTTCGGCATGGCCATGGTACTCACAGGCTTTCCTGGGTTCCGTAGGGTCATCGAAGAGCATCGCACCGCTACCATCTCTGATCGCGTTCACAAGAGCTACGGCAAAGCCTAGCCCGTCTTCGCCCTCAAAGCAGCGTTGATATGATTGAGCATTTTCGACAGTCTCAGGGGCCATAATCTGACGAGCGGCAATTTTAATCATCAACTTCCGAAAGGGATCCATTTCTTCTAAAATATTGGCCAATGTTCCTAGCCTCTCTGGGGTGCCTTTATTCGTCTCTTTACTTCTAGGCGAACGTCCATATAGGGTGCACAGCTCTTCAGCATCGGGGACAAGCCCGCTCAGGTTCAAGCTTTGCCGGTAGCTATCCATGGCTAAATCCATCATCAGCGGCATTTCAAAATGGTAGCAAAGAAGATATAGGCCATGACATGCGACAGCGTGCTCATATTGTGCCAACGGATCCGGCAAAACGGTGGGGGAATCCAGGTTTCCTTGATAGAGACATTTGACCAGGAGGACAAATCCGGCAGCGGAGTGCTGTGGAAGCTCGAGTCTCAAAGGACTTTGCGCTGCCGCTTCGCCACAATCACCTTTGGTCGGCGCTTCACCACGACGGCCATGTTCAGTGACGCTAAGTTCATGCGCGAACCAGGAGCTGTGATAGCACAAAAGCTTCAGGTGGACACTCCAGTATCCGCGGTTCGTACCAATGTAGAAGTCGACCAATGGTCCAGACAGCAACCTGGCGTTGAACTTAGCCTTCGCTGGCACAGGAAGTGGATGAAAAGCGAGAAGGTTAGTTAGAGGGAGGAGTGAAAGAGCACGGCGTTGCGGTGTAATGAATAATGATGCTGTCTTCGCCGGAACTGTATGCTATCTGGGCGCATTTTGTGTGTCGGACCTGATGGGTCTTGACGTCTTGTTTATGATGCGCAAAGGGGCAGCCACTCAACTCAGTCTCCGCTTGATGAGGCACGCCATGGGACAGGACAAAACTAGAACTTTACATACTCAGCGAACGAAGCCGCACTCTGTTCACCCATGTTTCCGTAATCGCTAGCCATACGGACCAAGGCAGGGCGGGTGTTTGGGTAGGCGAAGTCGCGGAAATACACCGGGACTACGCCACCTCCGTTTCGACGACGCATGGGTGGACAGAGCTAAAGTTCAGTACCAGATACTGGTATCATTCCGCCTTCCGGAGACCGCAAAGGAAAAAGTCATCTTTTGAGCAAATTATTGGTAAGAAGAACTAGACGTAAGACGACATTGAATAACTTGGTTGCGAAGATGGAAGTTTTGAATGGAATCACGGAAACTTGTTTTCTGTCGGCGGAGAGGTAATATGCACCACCCTGATAAGTAGCAAATGAGAGTTTGGGGGGTGTTGAGCGGAGCGGAGCTGGTGAGTCGTGGTTCGAGTTCTGATGATCGAGTGATCTTTCAAAATCACTTGCAGTACGAGAGGAAAATGGTAAAAAATTAGGTGCGCTGAAACTATTGGATAATAAAATACGCTAGCCCATAATACGTAAAATTCAATGGCAATGGCAAATTTAACTGGCTAGAAATGCCCTGGATGAAACGCTAATTTTTGTACTAAGACATACCTCTACCCCCAAGTGACCTGAAACACAGGGCGCCAGGTTGGACTTACCTCCTTATCCAGCCAGTGCGCTCCAGTCATGTGACTGCTGATATTTGTATCTCTATGCCTTGGTGCCTGATATTCAGATCAGGACCCACAATCTGTCACGGTGTCTGCTGTCCATATCATCCATCTCGCGGCCAAGCAAGTGTTCGACCAGCATATTTCCTCCATCTTCTTAGCGTTGCTCAGAACCGGCGAATGCTTCGTGAATACTTCCTGAACCTCCTACGCAAATCCTCCGACTCAGTCTCGAAGAACGCCCCCGAGCGACAATCATGCCATCCCCATCCATCACCGCAGTGACCTCCCTCTCCCAATTCCAGACCATCCTTTCCGGATCGACCTATGTCGTAGCCGACTTCTTCGCAACCTGGTGCGGGCCCTGTAAAGTGATTGCTCCTGTCTTCGAGCAACTCGCCACGCAAGAGGGGAAGAAGGGGAATCTTGCGTTCGTCAAGGTGGACGTTGACCAGTGTCAGGAGATTGCTCAGAAATATGGCGTGTCAGCGTGAGTTCGACCTGTCCTTAGAAAGTATCCATACAGTCTAGGACCAAATGGCTGACTCGATACCCCTTCGGTCGCCCAGAATGCCCACCTTCCTAGTATTTCGAAACTCCACGGTGACGCAGACTATTCGAGGCGCCGACGCCGCTGCTCTGCGTGCAGCTGTTCGCGCAGCGGCGCAGAGTGCAGGAAAGGCTTCGGGAGCTGCTTTCACATCGAAAGGACACGTCCTCGGGTCCGGCTCGACTACACGACCTGCCACCCGATCTAGTATCGGTGGTTCCTTGACTGGGTTACTTCCCGGCGGCGGGCTGATAGATACCGTGGTGAGGTTCGTGGCCTTATATGTCACGAGCTTATTTTCTTTCGATTCATATCGAGCGGCAGAACTGAGCCCTTTTGCACTCCGATCGGAGGGCGGACGTTCAGTGAACACATTGTACGGGAGGCGGTAGGAGATTGACGGACGAGTTTAGCTGATGACATGGGATTTTTTATTTGTATGTTTATATTGAGCGCCCCCCTTTACAGCGGAGCATGATGGACGGGCGCATGGGATAGTTCGTTCGCTCAGGAGATGTGTGCTATGGATGATTATACCCGGCGTTTGCGATTGGCGAGGTGGTATTCAAGTACGTTGGACATTGCAGAAACATTGAGACAACATCAACTTTACCAGCCCAATGGGTCGACGTTGTTCCGGTATAGACCAGTGTCGAAACGTTGCGAAGTCATTTATTCTAAGTGCATAGCATGTACCGTTGGTAAATTTCACGGTGCAATCAGCCAATAGCTCCTCAATATGAAGGGATGGGGTGAGACTATCCAAAGATACGGATCAAACTAGACAAATTATACATTACTTTGCCGATCGACGAGCAGCCGAACGACGGTGCTCAGTAGAACCACCTGAATTCGGGATTGTCTGGTCCATCTCGGAGCCGCTCCGTTGGAATGTCCCGGACACGGATTATCTTCCCTGCCGCACGATTCCTCCTCTTATTGTCGAACATCATCCAGAGACCCAGCAACGTCGTTAACAGCGCTCCGGTTGCGCCGAACGCCGCCGTCGTCGCCAAAGCGGGGAGATACTTGGGCGCGTCCTGGTTGCGGAAGATGTTGGACGCCACGACGCCCATCAGGTTCGCGGTGGGCACGCTGATGGAGGTCAGGATCACGCGCTTTCCCTCGTGCGCGATGTTGTTGTTATACCACACGTCGAGAAGAACGGAGGGAGCCGATGTCCCCCACGTCATCATAAATGTAGCGAAGTAGGCGACCTGAAGCTGGTTCTCGGCATCAATGGCAACATATATCATGAAGCCGATAAAGGTGAAAACTGCGGCGTCGTCAGCTTTTGTTGTCGCATCTAGTAAGTAGAGAACTTACGGAAGCCTGCGGTGATGAAAGGCCATCGCCACCGTGTAGCGTCGCTCATAAACGCCAAAATGAGAAGCACGACTGCCCCTGAAACATTTGGTGCGACGGTATAGAGGTTGGTCTTCACAGTATCATACTTGAGCCGGGCAATGATCTGGGGCAAGAAGAGCTGAACTCCTTGAAGCGGAACCCCCAGACAGATCTGAATGGCAATGATGGCCCAACTGGTCCAGTGCTTGAAGATCGCGAAGCTCTCCTTAAGCTTGAACTTCTCATTGACCGTACTGGACGAATCGATCTGCATCCGGTGGAATGCCAGCTGCTTCTCGGACGCTGACAAGAACGTGGCGTCCACGCCTGATTGCGGGAGATACCAGTACGCAAAAAATGAGAACAGAACCGTGCAGGTCCCTTCCAGGAGGAATAGGTATCGCCATGGCGTCAAGGCCCCTCCCTTGATTTGGAAGACGCCGAATGCGAGAAGACCCCCGAACGCGGACGCAATGCTTTGAGCTACTATTCATCAGCCTTCGTTATGTCAAAATTTCATGGGACACGTACCGGCGTAGAAGATCGCAAGGCGGCGAGCTAATTCGCCTCGTCGGTAGAACCTAAACAAGCTGTGTTAGTACGAATCGACAAGGACGTGCAAAAGCACTTGGGTATGGAAAAGGCACTATCAGAGAAGAGTAGGGACTTGACTGGAAAGCGAACTTACGTGGTTAGATAGTAAATCACCAGTGGAAAGAATGCGCTTTCCGCCATGCCGAGAAACCATCGAAGGGCCATCAAGCCCCCGAAGTTTTGAACCGCTGCAACAAGGAGGGTGATGGTCCCGAAACAGAACATCATGATCGGCAAAACACGGTGCGGGCCGTACTTCAGTTCAGTCAGCAGAATGATTCGCGAAAGATGAATCTTCATTGCTCGGATCCACACACCTTCTTTCCCATGATACCGAGCACCGGTGCCGTCAGGACATAGGGGATGAAAAATATGCTCAGGATGAGATTATATTGTCCATCTTTCAGGTGAAGGGTTTTCTCCAGTCCTGCGGTCTTTGCGTTCCCCAGATTCGATTTGTCCAAACTGTTGAATAGATACATCACTGCAAGGACGGGTAAAATCCTGAGATCGAACTTCCACACCAGGCGGCGCTCCTGGACAGGGTCCATGATGACCTCCGTCTCGCCATCTTCACCACCGACAGTCTTGAGTCCAGAAGCATCGATGGAAAGCTCCTTGGAAAGACTGCTGACCGGCGCATCGCCCGAGGACTTGTGTTCGACGGACATGGTGATCGGAGAAAGTGTAACGATTCCAGACTCGCAAACAAAGAAACTGGGAGAAGGTCCGACTTTATGAGTTTCGGATTACTAGAAGACCAGTAACTAGAATGTATCCACCTCGACGAAAGACGGCTGACAACTGGGTTTGCTGGAGCTAGGCTGCTAAGAGTCATGCGATAATCGTGAACCCGTATATGGCACTTGCATTGATGCGATGCCAGATGGTTGGCATACTTAGTCTTTCGTCTATTCCACGTGGAAATTTGGTAGATATCAACGACCATCGAGATCTAGTTGCGGGGGAATCCACGTATTGCGAGACAATCGCTTATCGTTTGTGTCCTAGTAGCCGTTCAATACTACGTACTGAGTAGAAGTGCTTACCTGACAGGGAGTATTCGTGATATTAGAGTCTCGAAACTCGCGAGAAGCCTTCGCCGATTCGAGCCCAGCGCTATCAAAGTGTAGGGCGTGGGTAATAGATAAAGATAATGATAACTCACTAGCCATATCATCTGGGGCGATATCAGAGAGCTTTGCCTACCATGGTATGGCGTGTCTGCCGGATCCAACACTAGAACACGACAATACGGTAATACGAAGAAATCTTGTGCCAATCCGGAATTGATCGGCCATAGTATTCCGCAATACCGATAACAGGAGTTGATAACATTGCCAGCAGATGAACACTACTATAGTAAGCAGAGGATCCGATGCCGCAGAAGACTAGAATTGGGAAGCCGCACGTCGAACGAACGGAGTCTGAGTGGGGACGAAATTGAGTTACCTTTCTTGGCATTCACCTAAACTCAGTTCCCACGATCTTAACCAGAACGCAGCGGAGAATTCACCAAAACAGACCTCTAGTAGTTGCTTAGTTAGGAAAAGAGTATACTTTTTGGTATTATGCTGTTTTTGAGCGAATTGGGCCTGCCTATGACAGTGATAGTGGTAGTGATGGTTAGGAGAATGCCAAGAAACGTAACTCAATTTCGTTCCCCCGAAGGAGGAACGTGGAATCAGAAGTAAGGCTGTAAGGCTGTAAGGCTGTAAGGCAATACTAATATGGCGGCAAGGCCATAAGGCAGCAAGAACGCGTTCGCGACATGGAGGTTTGACGCGTGACGCGATTGGATCCGCCAGTTGACGCGTTTAACGACGTTCTCCTCCGTCCATGCAACAGAAATACAGAATGATCGAACCCCGATAGAGAATCGTTAACTCGTCCACCATCATGATTGTCTGATCGATCCCTAAATACCCCTATGATTCACCTCTGCAGTTCGGCTTGTTCCTGACAAGCAACGAGCAATGACGATTTCCTCCTCGCCTTACATCCCCTCATCTTTTGATCCCGCACTACATTTGCATTCAGAGAACCTGCTGCCGGAAGTTTTCCATCCCGTTAGTTCGCACTCGGATGAATTCGAAGCCATAGAACAAGTGCGAGCGGAAGACATAGCGAGGAAAACCGCAAGCGGCATAGTCATCCAACATCGAGCGTGGAAGACTTGTGACGCGTTCCGAAGCGACGAGGATCGTCCAATACGTGCGATTTCAGTTCTTGAAATTTGGAGAAGTTGAGACTTACTTCGGCAGGCTCCCCTTTACGAGACGTGTACGATCCGACTCAATTGACCTCCATCCTGATCGAGGACACCGACGAGTCTCAGAATACATACAGGACAGTTCTCCCGTCTAGTCCCCCAGGGGTCAACCGCACAACGATGTCCTCACCAGTACTGTACCCGAGGAGCCCAACACCAACCCAACAAGATATGTATTCCCCGCGGAAACGAAGGAGGTTGGAAGGCTCTACTTCCATCTTGACCGAATCTCCAAGCAAAGGCAACCGGCTCCCGGACGAAATCTCCGAATCGCGCGGTCCCTTTCTCTTTTCCGACGACAGTGACACGGAAGACGGGACGTTCGAAGTTAAGTCTCCAGCAACGGGGAACCAAGAAAATTTCGTACCAATTCCCCTGGCCAGCGCTGGGAAACCCCTGGCCGCACATCATTGTTCCCCAAGGTTTAATCCTGTCGAGTTCAATGATGTCACCAAATTTGATAGCCTAGCCTCGAATACCGTCTCAAACCCGTCTTCTTTCACAATCCGAACATCCGCCGGACAGACTATTTACTTGCCCCCTCGCCGTATATCACCGACTGTATCCTACCAAACTGAGGTCGCTTTGAGGAGTACCACCGCTCCTGGTCACGCTAATAAGTCATATTACGGCATTGAAATCCATCACTTGCTTGATGAGCTGGCAGCGGAGTCGACTTCCACCCCGTCGAAAGATTCCATCGACTCTTCAACCACTCCATCTGAATTACTGTCTTCCTCTCGACCCGGTCAAAAGGTTCAGCTCTGGACGGAGAAGTACCGCGCCAAATCGTTTACCTCCCTCCTTGGTGACGAGCGTACCCACCGTCGCGTCCTACATTGGCTCAAGTCATGGGACCCCCTTGTGTTTTCCTCCTCGAAACGGAGCTCGAAACAATCGAGCCTGCGTACCAAAGAGCCAGCGGACCTCACCCGCAAAATCCTGCTTCTCACTGGGCCGCCTGGACTGGGAAAGACCACTCTTGCACACGTGTGTGGCAGGCATGCCGGCTATGAAGTTCAAGAAATCAATGCAAGTGATGAGCGCTCGGCGAACGTTGTCAAAACGCGCATCAAGGATATGCTTGGAACCGAGAATGTTCGCACTGCAACCTTTAGCGGGCAGGAACAGGGTCGAAATGGCCAAATGAAACCCGCTGCGGGTAAACCGGTCTGTATCGTTGTGGATGAAGTGGATGGGGCGGCCGCCTCGTCCGGCGCGGGTGGTGAGTCCGGGTTTATCAAAGCGATCCTAGACTTGGTCGCGTTAGACCAGCGGAATACTTTGCAACCCTTTTCAGACGCGCCTGCGAAAAAAGCCAAGTCACGATTCCGGATGCGCCGCCCCCTCATCCTCATTTGCAATGATCTTTATGCGACCAGCCTTCGGCTGCTCCGACAAAGCCCAGCGGTCGAGATCATCCATGTACGACCTCCGCCTATAAGCGCGGTTGCTACAAGGTTAGACACCGTCTTCAGAAAGGAAGGCATTGCCGCAGACTCGGATGCGATCCGACGCATTTGTGAAACGATATGGAGCACCGAGTCGAAAAAGTCCGCCCGTTTCAATCCGGCAAATGGGGACGGTGACGTTCGAAGCATCATGGTTGCCGCCGAATGGATTGCCCGTCGATGGATGGCGGAGTGCACCCGCCCAGGCCTGGCTCTCAATCGCTTAACGAAGCCCTGGGTGGAGGACGCGGTGGTGGCGGATTTCGCAGCAGGAGGAAAGGGTGCGCGGGCAATCGGCCGAACCAGCGCGAGAGACGTGGTGAACAAGATATTCACCGAACATGCGGGCTTATCCACGATGGAGATCAACCACCTCCAAGGAAAAATCCAACCAAGCGCTAGCGACCGAAAAGGGGCCTCGGGCGTATCTGAAGGTGTAAAGAGAGGTGCTTTTGAGAAGCTACGACACGTAGTCGAGGCTTGTGGTGAGGTTGATCGCGTTGTCTCAGGTAAGCAGGTCTCCTATAAGAGGCGTAATTAGTGTGCTGACGGAATATAGACACATTTGCCGCATATCCAGAGCACCCCTACCAGGACGATACCATCTTCTCAAAGCCAACCCTGGCGCATGAATACCTCCACTTCCACGACCAAATATCCTCTCGCGTCCATGCGTCCCACGAATGGGAGCTGGGTTCCTACCTTTCACTCGCCCCACTTGCTTTACACAATCTATTCGCCGTGCCTGCCGCAGTAGCCAGTCGGAATGAGGCACCGCTAAATCATGCTCCACGTGGATTGAACGGCACCAAGGATCCAAGTGCTCAACCAGGTCGGTTTCCAGGAGATCATGCCGAGAAAGAATATGCCGCATTATTGTCTCATATGGAGTCCATCTTGCCTCATCCCACGTCGAGCACATTCCGAAACAATAACCTCATCGTGCTCGAACTCGTACCGTATCTGCTTCGAATCCTGTCGCCCGGAATCAAAGTCGTCGGCGTCGGGGGTACCAAAGGCGCAACCGCGAGCTTTGCATGCGTTCGCAAAGCAAGCGAGAAAGCCATGCTCGCTCTCTCCGTGAATGCGGCCCTGGCCACCGGGATCACATTCGAGCGTGTCCGTATCGAGAACACCTCGGCGGCCGAGCAGGACCCAGACGAAAAAGGCGAGCAGCTCGACCAGCCGACCAAGTCCATGGCCCAGGCGCAGGCCAATATGGGTTGGGTCTACCGGTTGCAACCTGCCATCGATACGCTGTCGAATTTTGACAGCCTCGCCTACGACGGCGAGAGAGTTTCCTTTGCAGTGAGGAGGCTCCTCGAAGAAGAACGACGGCGAGAAGAGAGCAGCAGACTCCTGGCGATGAGAAAGGAGCGAATGGGCCCCGATAACCCCGAAGATGCGCAACCGTCTGCGGGTTTGAAAGCCATGCTGGCTAGTATCCCCACCGCCGCCGTTGAAGTGAGCAATGCTCCGCTGAAAGATTTCTTCGGACGGGTCATCGCACAGCCCAGCGTCTCTGAACCGAACAGGGCCGCTGGAGGTTCAGCAAATGGGACAACAAACCTCCCCAACACCCCTGGCGACTTGGGGATGACGGACGGATTTGATGTAACGGATGAAGACGATGTATGGCTTAATTATCATGAAGGATTCTCCAGAGCGGTCAAGAAAGCGGTGACCTTGGACGAGTTCCTCGAGGCCTTTACATCTTAGTATAGTTTAACAGCTGCTGTACGGTTCCAATCAATATTATAGTACCTTATCGAATTTGGGGGACGATAGCGGATTGAATGACTCTCGACTCGCATGGTGATGATTTCCTTTGAGGACGACATCAAGGAGTGGTCAGTGGTCTCCATTTCTACCCCTTTGCCTCCACCCCTCCAGTCTGGCGTCTATCCTCTGCTCTTCAACACTTAACGTCTGTAGGTCTGTAGAAAACCCATATCATCAAGTTTGCATACCCGTCAATAGATGCCAAGTAGGATAAACTTCGACAGGGCGCTGACTGATAATGCCGATACCTATTTATGGTGGACATATGCAGGGCGGGCCAATGAGGAGACGTATCGGCTCCTTGACAACATCGACCTTGAGGGAACATCGCTCAAGCTCTGGGAGTATGATTTTACAAAAGGAATCTTTTCAAGTTGCTTCAGCGTCATATCATACTTCATAACGCATATTTTGCAATTTCTGTTGCCGAAGCGATCTTTACCTACGAATCCATCCTCAGCTAGCTTGCTCAGCACTCCAAATGGTTCGAGAGATGTATATATACAACGCATCCAAGCAATGCTAACCTGCTACAGAATCCGCTATTTAATTCCGCACACCGCCAAAGCAATTCCATACGGAAGGACCTGGACTCGTTTGCTCAGGGCAACTCGGGCCCTGCAGTCCAAGGTCCGTAAGCCCCAAACGCAGATCTCGCGATATCAAGTTCCCGTCCTTTGCGCGCTCTGACATTTGCGAAGGCCAAATCCATGCCTCCCTCACCTCGTTTAGCCGGACCATCGATGAATATCACAAGCTTGCGAGACAGGAGATCGTACAGGAGAAGCAGGAGAAGGCTTACGACCGGGTGAAGAATTTCCGGGCCGAGCTGGCCGACTACAGAGAACGGTTCGAATCACTACGGCGGGAACGGGAAGAGAAAGTAAGACTCTATGCATGGCATCGCATCGCTGTTGAGGCCGGCATTGCTTGCCTAGTATGGGAAATGAGCTAACTCCTTTCCCATAGCAAACCACCCTCGAGCGCAACGAACTCCTTGGTCGACGACCGCACCATGCCGCAACACCCGAAAACCCCTATAGCCAACCCGCCTACGCCGGTCAATCTCCCTTCGCTCCCGCCGCATCGTCCGGTTCCGCACCATCTGCCTTCGGAACGACCGCCGACAACCCCTACAACCTCTCACGTGAACAGCACGCGCTGCGCGAGCAATCGTTTTCCTCGCGCACGAACACTCAGTTAGACGAATACATCGACCGCGGACGCGCGGTTCTGGCGGACCTGGGCGATCAGAGGGAGATGCTGAAGGGCACGCAGCGGAAACTGCTTAGTGTGGCGAACACCTTGGGCATCAGCGGCGAGACGATACGGATGGTGGAACGTCGCGTTCGACAGGATAAATGGATCTTCTGGGCGGGGTTGGTATTGTTCTTTGCGTTCGCTTGGCTGGTTTTGTGGCTATTTAGGTGGAGATAAGCGAACATGTCCTTATTCGGCGAAGTCGAACGGGATCAACGATGGGTGGTGCTGCCTCGATGCTTTCTTACAGTGCGCTGAGAGTAGGGTGTCGTGGTCTGCGATGTATGGCAATGGTTCGATCTGGACGGTGATCACAGTCAACGACAAGGTTCGTTCCAATATCCTCACAATTGTATACGAAGTGTGTACTTATACTGGTCTAAAACAGTACAAACTCAACAGAAAGCTAAATCTTGTTTCCAAACATCGCGGAGACCCTGCATAAACAATGCCCAACGCCGCTGTTATATCCCTCCACACGATCGCAACCTCTTCTCAGCGATCTAAAAGACAGGCAACCCCCGTGTTGACACCCAAACCCAAACCATTCCTAACGCAGGGAGAAAAAATCCCCTCCTGTTATTAAGCCCAGCCGACCCGAAAGTATATCCACGCGTTCCTGCAGATCCTCAATGTCATCCTCATGCCTCATCAAGAGCTGCTTGGGACCACCGGACATCAAATTCCTGGGCAGCGCCACCGGCCCGACTCCGTGTAGATGTGGACTCGGTGGGCCCAATGCCGGACTCGGCTCCACCTCCAATGACATCCGAAAATGAGGACTCGCGCGAGGGAAGGCGCCCATCGACATGGTCGGTCCACCCAGCATCGAGAAAGGCAAACGGCCCAACCGTGCCGCTTCGAGCGTCTCCATCGCCAGCTCCATCGAATCCATAAAGAAGTCGTAGACATCGGCGAACGGTCCAAAGGCTCCCGCCATCATGGACGCCCCCGGGTTGGGAAACAACCGCAACGACGTCGCGATGTCGACGACGCGCATGAGCGCGCGCAGTTTCACCTTGGGTGGGCATTGCGCCTCGACGATGCCGATGCACCAGAGCATGATCGCTTCGTTGGTTCGCTCGCCGCGGACCACGGCGGTCAGCTTGTCCACGATGAACCGTGCCAGTCCTCGTCCCACAGCGTTCATCTCCCCCTCTCCGGAAATGTCCGACAGCGCCAGAAATGCTTCTAGGGCACGCGGAAAACGGGAAATGGGGTACAGTGGGGAGTTTTGGATGCTGCCAGGCCCAGCGCCGAAGGACCATGGGTCTCCCACTCCGTGCATCTCGTATAAATAGGATGGGACCCCCAGGTTCCCCGGACTATGTCGGTCGCGTTGCAGCTTCTCGCCCATGAAGCGCACCACCTCTAGTTCGAGTCCGGGCGAGATGGGCCGACCCGGCGCGACCTGGCGAGCGAAAACCGCGGCTTCGGTGAAGCGGTGCCGAGTGACAAGGCCGCGCCGGACCCATATTGAGGAGAGCGCGAGGTAGGAGATGGAATGGAAATCGTGAGGATTCATTCGCATCCTTCCGTCCGCCCAGTGGCTGTCAAGGTCGAATGGGGGTTGTGAGGAAGGATGTGATCGAGGAATGTGCTGCGAGTGGAGGGCACTCAGCATAGAGGAAAGAGCAGAGACGGGTTGCAAAGGTTCCGATGTTCGAGGGATACCGCAAGGCTGGAAGGTCCTGTCGTGATACTGAGACGAAGAAGTCGATTCAAGAAGATTGGCATTCTGAGAGGTTTCCGACTAGTGGAGACCATATACTTGAGGGTGCGGAAGATCGAAGAGGGCCATTCGTGTGCCGGTTGGATATTTATCCTGCAAGGCTAAGGCAATTCGGACCTCGTGCCCATACTTGCGACATCAGAACTGGTCGATCGATCTCGTATCGGGCAGAATTGAAGGCGGTGCAGCGGTGCTCGCCTGCGATTCTAGAGCGAGTAAGCAAACATGAATGCAGGAGATGCGTATGACGGGTCCGCCAAATTGTTCTCTATAGAGCCGAAGGTCGCACGGTATTTTGGTTTGATCTCGATCCATTCGCCCCAAGGGCATTCTATTGAGGATCCGGCGCCGAACAAGGGCATCAAAGAGATTGGATGAACCGCTGGGCAGTCCATCATACAGCTCATTGGTCCCACCGGAGGGAACACCCATTCCAGCATGACTGCGAAGCAAGCAAACAGGGCTGACTCACGGTTCGAGACGAAGTCCGACGGTCAGGGCATTTGCGCATCATCTCACCGACTTTCCTCTCTCATTACAAACACCGTCGGACCATCGTCAGGCGACAAGATTGCTTGCCATTGTCCACCGTCGAAGTCCGAAGAAACGCCTGAACTGGTCAAGCCAGTTATGCAGCATCATCTATACTACGATGCTAAGCTGTTTCCGGCTACGTTAGTGTTCTTCGCCGTGCGATTGGGGCGCCTGATGATAGAAGTTTCGTGCTGAGCAAACCGTTTCGGTCGTACAGGTGCAGGGACGGGGCAGTTTTGCCTACTCTAGCCAAGTAGGAGACGGTGAAATCCTACCAACTAGATGCAACATGATCGAGCTTATAGAGAAATAGTTAAATAACAAATGCTAGAATCGAGGAGTGACTGGGAAACGCAGATGAGGACAAAATGTGGAAAGCTTTCACTGTCAAGAGCGAATTAGCGATATTGTCTCCGTCGAGCCAAATATGACTTGCTCTCCACGGGTTTTCCAATACTTACCTATTAGTGATCTAAGATTCGAGGTCGTCTAGCAGGTTGAAGGCCCATATCCGGTTACTTAAGATGGCAGCTATCGTGGCTTTCCAAGTTTGCTGTCCGAGTCTCCCAAGCTAGAACTTGTTCATCGCGTATCCTTAGTATTGTCCACCCTTATACCTGTCACAACATCACATATCAAGCAAGAGAATTAGAGAAGTGTGCCGACTTCGGGGAAAACCGCAGCGATTAATAGGTGTATTATTACTTTCCTTACTCTTCCGAGTTCTTCTCAGTCGTGAGCATGGGATTCAGATACAGTTGAAGTACCCTGTCTAGCTCTCCTTTGCTATTGGTCGAAGATAAGACGCGTGGATATCCCTTGGCGACATCAACACCATCCGCGGAAACCATCTTGATTCCTCCTAATCGCACTCCCATATCTCCGTTTTATCTGCATCGATCGCGACATCGTCGTCGATTCCTCACTATCCCGGTGATCCATGGCTCCATCGAAATGCCCGATCTCCCGAGCCGTCGATATTGCCCGGTTGCTGGGCTCTCGTGGGAGCGGCAGATCCACTCTCTGCTTTGCTTTCTCCGCTGGCGTGGAGTCTCCCCCTGGGGCCAGGGCTGAAGAATGGTCGCTGTTCTTGTGGTAAATTCGGAAGATGTTCTATTACCCCCAATTGTAACCGGTAGTCGACTTGAACGCCATCAGCTTCTCCGGTAGTGGGATGCCCACAGGATGGCACCCACTGCTGATTCCATGCCGGAGCGGCATCAAAGCAACCATTCCTTTCATCCTATTTTGATCAGTGGATCCCATTTTGCCATATGCTATTTGCTCGTGCAGCTTATTACTTTCATAAGTCAGTGCTATAAACCGGATTAGTCTATAAATTCCTTTTTTCTGTTTTTATTCTAGTCTCGCTCGCCAAAGGTTCCGTCAAATGGCAAAGTGCCTCTTCTAGTGCCTTGACTAACCATAATATCGACGATATCTTTGAAATTCATAGCATCTCTATCTTTCTGCCGTGCCTGGAGTGAAAGCTTGTTGAACTTTGAGCCACAAAAATCTAGAGTCTTTCAGGTTGTCCTCTTGATCTCTCCTTAAAGACGATTTGCTAGCACACGATCCGAGCTTCGAAGGGGCTTAACGGAGATAAGGACAATGCATTCTATAACAGAGGATGAGAAGGATATAATCAAACGCCTTACGGCCAGGTTACCGCCTACGCCACCCGCCGAACCGGACTGGAGCGATACTAGCTCGATCTCAAACGAAGAAGCTGAACTCGATGGCTTCACGCAAAAACCACCGGCCTTTCCTCTTCCACCACCAACCAACCCACCTCAAGAGATCCTCGACATAGACTCAAAAACACCCGACGCACATGTCCCCCGTGATGCGAGATTGATTCGACTGACAGGAGTTCATCCATTCAACGTCGAGGCTCCTCTGACGGACCTTTTCAACGAAGGGTTTTTGACCTCTCCGGAACTTTTCTACGTTCGGAATCATGGAGCGGTACCGCAAGTGGAAGAAGCCTCCCTGTTTGATTGGGAATTTACTGTCGAGGGTCTCGTCGACAGGCCGTTCAAAATATCCTTACGATCGTTAATGGAAGACTACGCGGACCAGATCATCACTGTCCCGGTCACGTTGGTCTGCGCCGGTAATCGCCGAAAAGAACAGAACATGGTCCGCAAGTCGAAGGGGTTCTCCTGGGGTCCGGGTGGAGTGTCGACCGCCCTTTTCACCGGCGTCCCAATGTCTGCAATCATCGCTGCTGCCAAACCCACGCGGCGGGCGAGATATGTGTGCATGGAGGGGGCGGACAAACTTCCCAATGGATATTACGGAACGAGTGTGAAGCGCAACTGGGTGCAAGATCCCAATCGAGGGATCATGCTGGCCTGGAAGATGAACGGTGAACTGCTACGCCCCGACCATGGACGCCCCTTGAGGGCCGTCATCCCTGGGCAGATTGGGGGACGCAGCGTGAAATGGCTGACGAAATTGATTCTGACCGAAAGCCCCAGCGATAACTGGTATCATATTAACGATAACCGGGTTCTCCCGTAAGTGCCTTCATATTGGCTGTGGCTCGCAAGACGCTGATATTGAACAATAGGACCATGGTTTCGCCGGAAGAATCCGCAGCAGATCCAAGTTGGTGGACCGATGACCGATACGCCATATACGATCTCAATTCCAATTCAGCCATCGCATACCCCGCGCATGATGAAGTCTTACCCCTCTCCACCCGCGCGGTTGAAACGTACGATGTGCGCGGCTACGCGTATGGTGGTGGTGGCCGGAGAATCACACGAGTGGAGATCACCCTTGACAAAGGGAAGACCTGGCGACTCGCCAAAATCGACTACCCAGAGGACAGGTACCGAGAAGCTTTAGAAAATACAAATCTCTATGGCGGCCGCTTGGATATGTTCTGGCGCGAAACTTCGTTCTGCTGGTGCTTCTGGTCATTGGCCATCTCGACCGATGATCTCGCGGCCAGTGCAGATATCATGGTGCGATGCATGGACGAAGGGTTGGCCCTCCAGCCCCGTGAAATGTACTGGAGCGCCTTGGGCATGATGAACAACCCGTGGTTCCGCATTGTCATACACCGTGAGAACGACACCATGCGGTTTGAACATCCTACACAACCTGCTTTAATGCCCGGAGGATGGATGGAAAGGGTGAAAAAGGAAGGAGGGAACCTTGTGAACGGATTTTGGGGCGAACGTATGGGCTCCGTCGTTGACGAGGAGCAAGTGATGCCAGAAATTAAGGAAGACATCAAGATGACCAAGGACGGGATCGATCGGATCATCGAAATCGATGAGCTGAGAAAACATGACACTGAAGAGGAGCCGTGGTTTGTGGTTGATGGAGAAGTGTACAATGGGACTGCATTTTTGAAGGACCATCCGGGCGGCGCGCAAAGTATAATAAGTGCCGCTGGTCTGGACTCCACTGACGAGTTTGTGGCAATCCGTACGTGCTTCCCCCGTTCCCATGGTTCAAGTCACTGATGATTTATTAGACAGCGAAACGGCAAAAGCGATGATGTCTTCCTACCACATCGGATCTCTTTCGGAGGTATCACAGAGCATCTTGGCAGAAGGTTCATCGGATTCGTCGGGTAGCAACACCTCACGACCTTTGTTTTTGGATGCTAGAGGATGGAATTCCGCGGCGCTTCACAGCAAGAAAATCGTGTCGTGGGACACGAGAATTTTTACATTCCAGTTGGAGCACGAGGAACAGCTCCTTGGACTACCCGTCGGCCGGCATCTGATGATGCGCCTTAAGGATCCCGATGACCAGCAGACGGTCGTTCGGGCATACACGCCTATCAGCGAGCAAACCACACCGGGGTTCGTGGATGTCCTTGTCAAAGTCTACTTCGACACAACCGAGCAGAAGGGAGGCAAGATGACGAAGGCCTTGGACCAACTTCCGGTGGGAGGACGAGTATATTTCAAGGGGCCGATTGGCAAGTTCGAGTATCTTGGGAAGGGATTGTGCAGCATCAATGGGGACCGACGCACGGTTCGAGAGTTCAGGATGATATGTGGCGGAAGCGGCATCACTCCGATCTATCAGGTCCTCCGCGCGATCATGCAGGATCCGAACGATGGCACACATTGCACAGTCTTAGACGGGAATCGTCTGGAGGAAGATATTCTCTGTAAAGACGAGTTGGATGCGTTCGCGGCTGGCAATCCTGACCGATGTAGGATCTTGCACACTTTGACAAAGGCAGGAGACGGATGGCAGGGGTTGACGGGTCGCATTGGTGAGAATCTGCTGGCAGAGACTTGCCCGTCCCCGTATGATGACAATCATGAAGGGCAGAGTGATACACTGGTCCTCATATGCGGCCCAGGAGCTCTGGAGAAGACGGCGCACAAAGTTCTGACGGGTCTTGGTTGGAAGGATGACGATCTACTGTTTTTTTGAGGAATATGATTGGACAATTGATGCATCTTCCATTACTGTGTCGTTTGAGTGTATGTGACGAAGACCTAGCAGACAACAATGCTATCGTCAATATTAGACGTCTCTAGATGACGTCTCTAGATTCCATCTCTCGATTAGAATCGTTGTTGCTGTGATCTCGTCTTGGGCTTGGCAGCAGGGGAGCGCGTCAGGGACCCCTGTCCATCTGCGAGTCTTATCTTTCATCCACTTCTCCTGATGAACATTTCCTATCTTCTATCGCCCTTTGCCTTTCCCGCGGAGATTGTCCATATTACCGATAACTGATATTGAACGTCCGCTACTCCAGCCTCCAGGCCATGGAGAAAGGTGATATTACGGGGGTTTGGAACTTCCGGCGCTGTTGGCTACGCGCTCTCGGGTCGATCATCGGAAATGACACCACCATCGAGGCGTATCCAACTGCGGGTCATCGCCCAGGCCTCAGATCCCATTCATATCACTCCTAAGATGTCCGCGACCATTCGTGGGGTAGCGAATAGGATGACGCTGATTGTGAGATACAAGGGCTGGCGTGCTCTTTGAGGCATGACGATCGGCCCAGTAGAATCTGTACCGCGGAACTGTACATCTCTTGATCATGTTCTTCGGAGTCTGAGTACTTTTTGGACCATCTATTGTGCGAATTTCTTTTACTGCAGTCACCGATCCTACTTCTTCTTCTATGTCTCGGATGTCGAGTTTGTGGGAGAAGTTCGATCATCCACATCCTGCTATTAGCTTAGCTGTGTAATACCTTCTGTTACTCTCTTTCAATTCATGACCTTGTAGATTCATTTGGCAGTCCCAAGTCCCGTGTCTAGTCTCCGTCCTATCGATACGCAGTGCGAACAGCTCGAAGGACCCAAATATAGCTGCGGAACAACCTTCTAAAGCATGGGATTCCACGAGCAGAGCGGTTCGGGGTACAGTGCCACCGAGGCGAGGAAGGCGACGGAACAGGTCGAGACGCCGAAACTCCAGAATACGCTCCCGAATGGAGACAGCAAGAGAAAGCGGATTGTCGTGGTTGGGCTGGGAATGGTTGGCATTGCCTTCATGTTAGTACCGAACTTGCTCAACCCTCATGATGTGGTGTGAAAGCCCTGACAACTTTTGCTCTCTAGCGAAAAGATCATGAAGCTGGATGCGAGACGCCGCGAATACGATATAGTCGTCATCGGCGACGAGCCTCATTTGGCATACAATCGCGTTGGCTTGACATCATTCTTCCAGCATCGTGTGGTTGAGAACCTATATCTTAATTCCAAAGAATGGGTGGGTTGATATAGTATCCCAATCAGGAATGGCCATTAACATCGAGCGTTGCAGTATTCATCGATGCCCGAGGGCTCGCTCACATACCATCTCAACACACTGGTGACATCCATCGACTCCGCCAATAAAACAGTGACCACTGCCTTGGGGCAGACGGTTGATTACGATATCCTCGTTCTGGCTACCGGATCCAACGCTGTCCTGCCAAAACATACCCCTGGTCATGACGCAAAGGGAGTATTCGTGTATCGGACAATAGGAGATCTTCAAGACCTGATATCTTTTTCCGCAACGAAAAAGGGTACAGTCGGTGCTGTGGTTGGAGGTGGGTTGTTGGGTCTGGAGGCTGCAAAGGCTATGATCGACTTGGGCGAGTTCAACAAGGTCAAGCTCGTCGAGAGAAACCGTTGGGTCCTGTCGCGTCAGCTAGACAGCGAGGCTGGCTCAATGGTTGTCGAACAGGTGAGGAAATTGGGGCTTGATGTGCTGTTAAGCAAGCGAGTGGGTCGGATTGAGACCGATGAGGAGCATAACGTCACCGGGGTGACGTTTGAGGATGGGGAGAAGATGGATTGCTCCTGCGTATGCTTCGCTGTAAGTTCTGGCTTTGAACTATTGACCGAATTCCCCTAGCTCACTATCAGCTTAGATTGGTGTCCGACCACGCGATGGTCTAGCCCAGAAATCCGGCATTCGCTGCACTGACCGCGGAGGCGGAATCGTTGTCCACCCCGATCTTTCAACCTCTGTTCCCGATATCTATGCCATTGGCGAATGCGCCTCATGGGAGAACCAGACGTTCGGATTAATCGCCCCTGGCGTTGAAATGGCCGATGTCCTCGCATTCAACCTCACTCAAGCCAAAGCGCACGCGCCTCGCGCCTTCAAGCGACCGGATCTATCGACGAAGCTGAAACTGCTCGGCGTCGAGGTCGCAAGTTTTGGAGATTTCTTCGCCGACCGCGATGGACCTAAAGAACTCCCAAAGAAGCACGGAGCGAGCAAAGTTGTCAGAGAAGGTGTCATTGACGCGAAAGATCGCGTGAAGTCTCTTACAGAAGGTCCACCGCCACCTCCCGTCAAGGCGGTGACCTACAAGGATCCTTTCCAGCAAGTGTACAAAAAGTACCTCTTCACCGTTGATGGCAAATACCTTCTTGGAGGGATGATGATCGGCGACACCAGCGATTACGTGAGATTGGTTCCGTTCGTGAAGAACCAGAAACTGCTCGAGGTACCTCCAAGCGAATTCATCCTTGGAAAGAAAGGCGACGAGGACGCGGATGACTTGTAAGTTTGAGTTCGGGACCTCGAGAACTAGAAGAGAACTAACGATGCACTGGCCGGATGACACCCAAATATGTTCTTGTCATAACGTCACCAAAGGAGACGTCGTGAAGGTGGTCAAAGATGGTACGTGCAAGAGCATCGGAGACGTGAAGGCATGCACCAAGGCAGGAACGGGATGCGGTGGATGCATGCCACTCGTCCAGACCATCTTCAACAAGACAATGGAATCCATGGGCCAGGAAGTTAAGAACCATCTCTGCCCACATTTTGAATACTCACGCGCGGATCTTTTCAACATCATCTTTGTCAAGCAGCTTCAGAACTTCGAAGACATCATGAAACATTGTGGGAAGGAGCCGGACTCTCTCGGTTGCGAAGCTTGCAAACCGACCATCGGCTCCATCATTGCGAGCTTGTTCAACAAGCACCTTTTGGACGACCGACGTCGGGGCCTACAGGAAACCAACGATCGGTTCCTGGCCAACATTCAGCGCAACGGAACCTTCTCTGTTGTCCCTCGGCTCGCGGGAGGCGAGATCACCCCCGATAAGCTCATCATCATCGGAACCGTCGCGAAGAAATATGGATTATACACGAAGATTACCGGAGGACAGCGGATAGATATGTTCGGGGCGAGGAAACAAGATCTTGTCGATATCTGGACCGAGTTAATCGATGGTGGGATGGAATCAGGGCACGCGTATGCCAAATCTCTTCGAACGGTGAAGTCATGTGTCGGTACGACGTGGTGTCGTTTCGGCATCGGCGACAGCGTCGGCATGGCTGTTCGACTCGAGGAGCGTTATAAGAGTGTACGAGCGCCCCATAAACTCAAAGGAGGTGTGTCTGGCTGCGTGCGAGAGTGTGCGGAGGCACAAAACAAGGACTTCGGGCTCATTGCCACCGAGAAAGGTTTCAACATCTTCGTTGGCGGGAACGGCGGCGCGAAACCACGGCACTCGGAAATCCTGGCAACCGACGTTCCTCCAGACGAAGTCATTCCGATCCTCGACCGATACCTTGCATTCTACATCCGCACGGCCGACAAGCTACAAAGAACGGCGAGGTGGATCGAGAACTTACCAGGAGGCATCAAGTATCTCCGGGAAGTCATCCTCAGTGACAAGCTCGGTATCTGTGCGGATTTGGAGAAACAAATGGAGGACCTGGTCGCGTCGTACTTCTGCGAATGGACCGAAGTGGTCAAAGATCCTAAGCGACGGGAGCTGTTCAAGCAGTTTGCAAACACCGACGAACAACTTCTCGATCCCATCGACCCCGTCCAGGACCGGGACCAGCATCGGCCCGCCCATTGGCCCAAAGAATCCGTCACCGAAGACTTCCGCAACCACAAGTGGAGCGACCTGGCATGGCAGCCCCTCGTTGAGTCGGCCCGCTTCCGAGACACGGCAACGGGAGACTCGGCAGCGGTCAAGCGAGGAGACACCCAGCTCGCCGTGTTCAAGGTCCGAGGGAAATACTACTGCACCCAGCAGATGTGCCCTCATAAGCGCGCCTTCGTCCTGTCCGACGGTCTCGTGGGCGAGGATCTCGCGACCAACAAGCTCTGGGTCTCGTGTCCGTTGCACAAACGCAACTACGACCTGAAGGGCCCGCAGGCTGGCGCGTGCGCAACCGATTCCGCGCTGAATATCGCCACCTTCCCCGTGGAGGAGCGTGACGATGGGTGGGTATATGCCAAGCTGCCTCCGGTCGATGAGCTGGACTCTGTGCTTGGGACGGAGAAATGGAAGGTCAGGAAGGAGGAGACCGAGGGCGATGGGCAGTTCAAGAAACTGGACGAGCGGCTGAGAGGACTAAAAGGGCGGAAAGGCATCAAAGCAAGCGACTTGGATGGCTGCAATGGCGAAAAGAGGGCGGCTGCAGCGATCTTGAATGGCGAGCGGCGGGAGGTCGCCGATACATTGGACTTCTGAAAGGCAATCTGCGGCGTGAGTATTTAGCGAGTTCTACATTGTACAGTAACGGTTTTAGACGAATGACTCAGGGATGACTTTTCCATGAAACTTAATTGCTAATATATAGCAGCTAATTGAAAAACTTCACATTTTGAACCAATGGCAGAAATTAAAATGTCTCGCATCCAAACCAACCTGTCCCGTCCAAACAAAGAGAAATTGTCAATTTTGTGAAAAATCATCCGAAACGATCTTCACTTCGCCGCTTTTGTCCGCGGTAACCATCCACTCCCCCAAGCACCGTGATAACGTGGCATCCGGACCTCATCTAAGCGTCCCGGCCATGCCTGCATCCACATCCAATCCGTCCAGGAGCAGCCGAAGCCGTCATCCCGAACATTCCTTCAACATTATGAAGAAATAGAAGCGATCCACCCCGCCGGTTCGTGTCGGTACTGTCCTTCGAAGCAATCAGACTGCGAGGGGTACACGGACGGGAACGATGAGCACGTGGTGGAGAGTATGGGACGAAGCGCTCTGTCGCGAGCGCAATTTGACGTCACCTATTGACGGCAGCCTAGCGAGAGTGCATGTAGGTGGCAACTGCTTCGGCATGCGTAGCTTTGGCTTGGTTCTCGACGCTCTTCGGGTCTGAAGGCTCGCCCTGGGTCGATTGCTGCTGAACGGGCTTCGAGTCGGTCTGTCGGGATGACAGAGAATGCAGGATTCGGGAGACCGTCGAGGTGCTTTTGGTGGTCGACTGGGTCTGGATGGAGGAGGTATCGGAAGCGGGACCAGCCATTTCAAGTGATGTGTTGAGGGAAATGATAGATATTGGTATATCTCGGTAGTAAGTTGAAATTTGAAGTTGAAGAGGAGCTGACTTGTTGCTGAAGCTTTGGCAGTCGAGGACTTGAACTGTTTGAATCTGGAATGATAGAATAAGAGAACAAAGGGAAGGCGAACTTGTCTCTTTATACTTCATCAACTGGTAAAGTCATAAACTCACATTTGATTTATCATCCTCCGATCAGTAGTCCTTGTACTCCGATGGGCGCGTATGTCGACAAGTATTGCGTATACGACGATTGACATCGATTGGTTAGGGCGCGGCAGACGACAGCCACACCACGTCGCGTATGAGAGCATGGGTTGACATGGCATACCGTACGGAGTATTCGTATATGAATCGTCGATGATTAGTGGTATTCGTTGGCGATGGCGCAGTTGCTTTCTCGTTATAATGGACATGGTGAAGTCCAATGTCGATGCCGGTAAGTGGAAAAGGGCGTGGTGGAGGGTAGCGCTAATCCTATCTAGAACACCGAAAGTGGTCGACAGGGGGGGCGCCGTAGGGCGCAGGGCGTTTGGTAGGGCGCCTTTTTTTAGTCTTGAGTCATCTCATCTCCTCTGTAATCCATCATGACTAGGTTTTGAATTTTCACCATTAACTAGTTACGCAAGCCATTAGTTATTGAAGTGCCTCAGTACATGACTGCCTTGACTCCATCTAGTATGAGTCCCTCCGTCTATTGCGTCAGGGGATGATGATCGGTTTTCCTCTCGTCGCGACACCCTGCCCTTCCACGATGACAAATCTGGACTCCAATCACCGATATGACGATGTCTCCTAGCGGCTGGCATAGTCGGAATACCGTTCTCTGGCGACTAGCATATCCGTTCGGAGTTCGGACTGCTACGGCATGACTGTTTTCGCGGTTTGGGTCTCTTCATGCTGGCAACATGTGGATACTGCTTTGAATTGGCAAATGAAAGCGGGATGACTATAAGGAGCCATTTTCTCCCTTCGCGCTGCCTTTGAACTAGTCATGCAAGAAGTATAGCTATCCCCCAGCCATTCCACGCCGTGCATTCGACGGAGTACTCCTTTGAACTGACGAATGAAAGGCAAGATCTGGGGTATCCCTAGTCGTTCGGCCCATCTGGACGGCACTCCATCGTTGTCTGCATTATCGTGGTCTGGAGCCATCGTCTCCATTGATGATGACTACACAGATTCTGATTAAACCGACTCTTCTTGCACCTGCTCTCAAATAATCCGAGGCAGCAAACAGGGGATCTGAACTGTGCAGTAGAGCTAGGAAAGCTTTTATATAACAAGACTCAGGAAGGGGGATTGTTGAATAGATATCGCGAGCTAGCCAACGTTCTTCACTATGTCTTTCAATGGTCCTTGTCGCACGTGATGTGCTAAAATGGTTGGGAGTGAGGTGCTGTTGTTACAGCAGCGAAGTTGTTTGTATTGTGTGTTGTGTAAGTTGTGTGTAAGTTGTGTGTTCTAGCTGAATGCCTGGTCCCCCGGCCCTACAGATATACGAGAGTCACGGCAAGATTATTAATGCAGTTTGTAGCCTTGGACTCCTAGAGCTCATGCCTTGGCCTGCGACAGTCCTTTATGGTATACCGTACCGCGCGTAACCTTTCTCCCTGTCCTCGTCGTCATCGCTTGTCTGCATTCGCACATTGTCCAGACTGGAGTATATTCTTGCTTGGAGAACAAGAAAATCAATTTCATATAGTACCTGTCTATATCATAGAATCAATCGAGCTAAACAGAAGCATCCGAGTTCCCTCGGAGGTGGCACACCTGCGCCCATCATGGAGAAGTTGAGATTTTAGTCGAGCCACTTCGAGAAGCGAGCCTCTGAGCGGCTATTGGTAGATGAAGCATTGCAAGAGCTACGAGTACAGCATAAACAGAACGCCGATAAGGCACATGCAAAGAGAAATCCATTGCAGAGGCAGGTATCATTAATATGACCAAGTCTTGAGGCCATTCATTGTGTGGGCGGCCATGGGGTCATGTTTGTTCTGCGGGAATATAAATCACAACATCCTCTCCCCTTCTCACTCTTTACTTAAAACACCATCATTTCTGATTTGAACTCTTCATTTCAGAACAGCCATTACCAAGTCCATAAGCCTTCCATCCTTAAACCTTCTATCATTCATCATTCCGACGCGCTTCAGCAATCCTCATCTATACCCCTCAGATTCTCCTCCTTCACCAGTCTAGAGCACACCTTTCACCAACATGAACGCCGACGGGACGGGCCGCTACGTGGACTCCAACCTTTGGGCCAAGGATCTGGACTCCAAACTTCTTGACATCTTCAACAAGATGCAGCCGCGGAGTTGGGCCGAAGTTGCAAAGGAGACGAAAGACGCGACTGATGCAGAGGTTGATGGTGACGCCAGCCGCAGGCGGTACTTCAATCTTCTTCAGAAGGGCCAAACGAAGGATTGAGTGCCATTTCAAACACTGGAGACCGTTTGGGTTGTGTGCTTTGGCGCAAAGGAGACACCTTAGGCATGGTGATGGAAAGGCTTCACGGCATTGTCGCACAATCGACTTTTCCTGACTGTGCCGAGATTAAAGCTCTGCGTGGAAGAAGCTTGATTGGGAAGTGTCGGAGGCTCGAAAAGGATAATACGGGGCTACCTGGAAACGGGATTTGCACATCTAGATCCTATCGGTAGTCTCTTGGTCAATATCAAACAAATTCGAGATTAGAGCAATAGGACGGATACAAAAATGTGTTCAAGGCGTTTGCGATCTCGGCGGAGATCTTTTGACCTAGACCTGGTTAGCGACGGGCAGTATAAGGCAGGTTAGAGCAACGACAGCTTAGACAGTTATAATAATGAAGGATTATTACTGCACGACATCTATATTAACCAGTGACCGATCTTGTTGCTCCATCGCATGGTTGATTCTATTAAAGTGTGAAGGCTTTTCAAACGCTCAGGTAGATGATGCACAGAACTATCTAAACAAACCCCACCCCAGAATTTTACCCAGAATTTTACCGTCCCCGACTCCCCCGTCGCCCACCGAAGACCGAGCTGCGATCATTGACCGGCGTGGCCCCTGACCATTCCGCCATCTCAATGCCCAGCGTCCCTTCGAAAAACCTCGCCAACAACCCCTGCACCGCCCGCTGCAGCTCCATCCCCATCTCCCTCCCCATCAACCCGACCAACAGCGGCGCAAACGTCCGCATATGCCGCTCCAGCTCCGCCGCCGGGAACGCCGCGTACCCCTCCACCACGTCCACCACCACCGGCCGCCACGTCACGATATTCCGCTGCTGCGTCTCGTCGTCCAGTGCCGCGAAGCTCTGCACGATGTCCACGCACAGCGGGATGAGCGCGTGCTCCGTGCTCGCGCGGTTCGCAGCGCGCTCCTCCCCTTCGTCTGCGTACATGCGGAAGAGGATCGACACGTACACGCTGGCGGACCCGGACTCCTGCTTTAGCAGGTTCGGCGGCTGCTTCATGAAGCCCTCGCGGAAGAGGCGGCCGCGTAGCTCGCGGTCCTCGTTGAAGCGTTTGGCGAAGTGGTAGGATTTCTTCAGGACGCCCATGAGGCGGAGGAGCTCGGGGCTTGGGATGCGGGAGTATACGTCATCATTGGTGAAGAGATCGTGCACCGTTTCGATCATGAGGAGCTGGAGGACGCATTTGGTGATGATCTGATTGAAGAACCGGCGGCGCGCGGCGGTAACGACGACCGGCGGCTGCTGCACCTCGTTTTCGGGACGGAAGTCCTCGAGCTCTTGCTGGATCGGGGTGCGGAGAGTAGGTTGAGGGGAGGCCGGTCGATCGGATATAGACTCTCGCGGTGTATCGTCAACGACAGAAGAGCGCTCGGATGCATTGGGGAGTCCGTTGATGCCGAGTCCTGAGTCTGTGGAAGTAGGCGTCTGTTCTTCGTGTAACTCGGCAGTGTTCAACGACAGATCAGGTGTCCCCGAGGTGTCTGCGCTCGGGGTCCTCCCTGTCCGAGTACCATTTACCGCAGATCCAGCGGGTAGCGTCGCGGCCGAGAAAAGTGCGGTTGCCTCGGTACGGGTAAACAACTCGACGAAGGCATCGACAATCTTGCGCCAATGCTCCGGCGTGAACTTGTTCACGTTCTTGGCCACGAGCTGCTGGAGGCAATTGCTGCCGATGCGCGCCAGGGTGTCGTTCTCCTGGCAGATGCAGAGCGCGAGCAGATCCAAGAACCGGTCCAGCATGTATTCCAGCGAATCGAAGAAATGCGTGAAAAGCGCGATCATGTTCCGCAACGCCTGGATCATGGTCGTCGAGAGCCACACGGAGAGCTCTTCGTGGTTAACGACCTTGGACATCTCGGACTTGGACTTGAGCACCATGAAGATCGGATATAGCAGTTGCCGCCAGAGGGTATCCCAAAAGTCGGCCGGGAAATCGCCCCCGTATCGAGTGAGGGTCTCGAACAGGTAGTTCAATGCTCTTGACCGGACCTCTAGATCTTCGCCCGTCATCAAGACGTCGTGGAACGCGAAAAGAACCGGGAACCAAAACTGCTCCTCTTGCGTCTGACTTGTCAGCGGGACCTTGGGATCTCCATCCTTAGCCGCGTCTTTCCCTCTCGCCGTGCGTTGCGACAGGGGACATTCGGGAGTCTTCAGCATTTTCAACACAGATGCTTTGAGTGCCTCGATCGCCTGCAAAGATTTCTTCTGGAACTTCATGTTCTTGGAGAACTGGGTCAGGCAAACGATGAGGTCGGCGAAGGCGCCTTGCGAGATGACGATACCGAAACGATCGTTATAAATCTTCGTAACGTTGTCGTAGGCCATGTTCACAATGCCCTCTGAAACACATCAGCAATCTGCGCGAGGTATCGCAAAGGCGAAGAACTTACCGTAAGGTTCCCGTGCAGCAACGGTAAACACTCCAAACATGGTCCTCCACCCGCTTCGGATATTCTCTCCTCGCGCCTGGATCATTTGGATCAGGCAGCGCAGCACCATGTCTTTGACCGGAACCACGGTCGAGTTGCCCATGATGTGCTCGAACGGCTTCAAGAAATCCTTCTGGAACTTGAACCCCGGCAGCTCCTCGAGCTCTAAGAACTTCATGCTCAGCTGCCGCAGGCTGTCGAGCGCGAAGAACACCACCGAGGTGTTGTTGTGGCAGCCCACCTGGTTGAAGTGCGCGCCCAGCACCTGCCAGATATTCGTCCACTCGAACCGGACGCGGGTCATGTTGTACGCCGAGATCTCCACGAGCTTCTGGAGACTGTAGGTGCGAGGGGATTCGCTGAGGCCTGACGATTGGATCTCTTGCCAGCTGACTTGGCACAACGCCCGCACAAAGTACACGATCGCCTCGCCCGATAGGTTCGCGGTGTTTGTGAAGATTCGGTCCACGCTGCGAATCATGTCCGCTGATCGCGATTCCTCGGCGATATCGGCTTGATAGTGAGGGAAGCCGCTCTGAGACCGCTGGCGGCCTCGTGGTGGGACGTGCAAGCTCTTTCGAGAGCTCGTTTGTGGCTTCGCCGGCGCCTTTTTCAAAACGTCGGGAACCGCGCCTTCGTCGACGCCGGTTGCGATGAGCTGGAACCGGTCGAGCTGAGAGATACAGGTAAGGACGTCCCGCCATGATTCCTTCAGTAAATCCCCTTCCTGATGTGCCACTTCAAGAAGCGCTTTTAGCGCTTCGACATTCTTCGCCTTCATCTCGCTGAGGTTGTACAAGTTGGTGGACCGACCCAGGGAAGCGACAAACGCTTGGCGCGGATCTTCCAAGTCAAAGAAGCAGGCGATCCGAATGGCGAGCTTTTGCCCTTCCATGCACAGCCGGATGGTCTCTAAATTCATTGTCTCTTGAATATGGCCGGCCAACGCAGTCAAGAAGGACATCCATGTCACCTGGAACATGGGTCGTACGTGCTTGAAGGAGGACGCGGGAATGAACTTCGACCCTTGCCATTTGGACGGGTTCTTTCGTTCCAGGCGCATGAGGCGCTTGTAGAGTTGCTCCGTTCGATTCGTGATCTCTTCCGACGCGAGCATATACATTTCTCGTTGCACCTCCTTAGCGCTTCCAGTAATCGCTTGGCCGATGTTGGCTGCCAGTCCTTGCGGTTGGGTGGGTAGCTGACCGAGATTCGCCGCAGTTTCCCGTTCGGTATCCAAGACGATCTCATGGTGCGCAATTTCATCGTAGATTCCTCGAAGGTAGTCGTCGGGAAGATCGGCGTTGTCGTTGATTCCGCGATTGTTCTTGATGAAGTCTTCGGGGGTCATGCGGGCCCCTTTCATCTTGATACTGTGCTGATCCGTGTTCAGCATAATGACCGAATACGCGAGGACGTATGCCGTATCGGCATTGGCAAACGCTTTGGGATTTCCCCCGATATATCGTTCCGCGAACTTGAGCATGAATCGATCGATCTTCTGCGCCTCCCCCGGAAGACGGAAGCTCTGCAAAAATCGTCGCAGCGCATCCACGAATCGGGTTTGCCGGAAATCCATCGCATCGACGTATGCATGCATGATGGCGATGTTCTCCGGTTCGCCTTCCCCCAGGTATTCACCCAGCGAGACTTTGTTGAGTTCGTTATTTCCCAGGAGGAAGCGGGCGATGTCCTGGGGGTCATCGGATTTGATGAAACCGTCTTTCAGTAATGCTTTGATGCCCCGTTTCGGCTTGAAATTGAACTGACGAACGGAGTTGACAAGGGCAGTCTTGCGCTGTTTCTCCTTCTCCAGGAACCCCGGATCATCTTCGGCGATCGATGTGCCCGTGCTCACTGGGGTGTCAACTCCCGAGGCGTGCGACACCGAGTTGGCTGCACCTGAGTCGCGAGTGTCGATCGAGCTTCGCAAGTCTTCTCGGGAGGCATTGAATTCCGCGTCTTTCAATTCAGGAGTCGAGTTTGGCATGCTTTGCTGGGACCAGAGAACCAGCGACCGCAGAATCTCCATCAGATCTTCAAATGCCTTCTCTTTCATCGCGTACTCGATCGGGTAGGTGTGCTCCGTTTCTTGACTGGCAGTGATGGCTGCGGTCGAAAGCGACGGGGGGAGAGTGCCGCGATGGTGCCAGTCCGAAAGACCATTGCCTCGTGCTTGATGCTCGTGGTATGCGAGCTCCTGCGCCGAGGTGACGGAGACCGGGGTGGTGGAAATCCTGGATAAATGTTCGACGACCTTTTGAAACACGTTGTCCAGGGCGGTTCGATCGCAGTCATAGTTGAGAAAAATCTCCACCAGTGCACGAGGATCCGCGGCGAGTTTCTCAAAGAGGTGCAAAATGTACATCTTTTGAAAAGCCGGAGCGGCGCGTTTGTCCAAGATGGCGAAGTAGATCTCTTTCATGAAAACCTCGATCTCCTTCTTCAACATCACCCGTAGATGCTTGACCATGAGCCAGAAAATTTCGACGGACACTTCAAACACTCGGTTAACGGAGCTGGCCCCATTCCGGCTGAGACTCAAACAGAGGTATTGCTTGATGGCTTGGACGAATGACGTCGGCTCATCCGTGGAGCTGCTCTTGATCGTGGATAAGGGGGAGGTGACCACCAGGGCATGATTGTAGAGGATGTTGTGTATGATATGGAGCGAAAGGAGCTTCGACCGCATGCTCTGGGACTTCACATCGTGCGCCTGCTCAACCGGAAGAGATTTGGTGCTGAGGCGGCACATGGCACGGAAAACCAGATACGCGTCCTTGATATAGATCTCATCCTCTTCATCCTCATCGATTGGACCGCCATTATCCGCGCCGCCTGGCGTCATAGTACTTCCAGATGTGGTTCGGCGGGAAATTTTGTCTCCCGGGAGTCGGGTGACGAGCGTCGGAGCGTTGTCGTTGATCTTTGCATCATCAAAGCTTTTGCGATTCTCGAAGCTTTGGAGGGTGATCTTTTGTCCTTCGTGCTTCTCAACCGGTTCATCGCTGGGGGAGGTCAACACATTTTCGGAATCCGGCGTATCGGCGTCGTCAGGATCCCTTGTTTCCTTCGACTCGGCCGGCGCGTCGTCCTCTATTTCCCCATTCTCATCGTTATCGGTCTTGCTTAGTGATTCCTTCGGGGTGTTCAAGCGCGCCTCCTTCAATTCGAGACGACCCTTGACTCGTTCAAACACGATGCCCACCATTTGGGTGAGGGCTCCTTGGGCCACCTGCTGATTTGCCGTCGACTTCGAAAGGAGAAAGATATTGTATATCAGCCGAACGGCCTTGAGCAGGCCTGCGCCGTGAACCACGATTTTATCGTTCAAGATGGCAGCCAATAGCGACTTGACAATCTGCAGTTGCGTCTCGACCGGTGTCGCCTCGCTTTGGAAGCAATCGCATATTGTATCGATGGCTCGCTCGATTAGCGGAATGCCGCTGTGTTCCGAGTCCGCCGGAGGGGTGGGAACGGCGAAGTACGAGTAGCTTATGAGCTTCCCAATGCAATCCAAAGCCGTTGTGACCACCTGTACGGTCTGCGCGTCGGCGGCGAGTTGGAGCGGCTCGAACAGGACTTCCGGATCGATCTGGCCCGGATGTCCTTCAAGCTTGATTGCTGCCAAGGCTCGTTGCGTGGATTGCCCGAGCTTTTTGTTCTTCCGCGCATCTTTGGACGCGGCAATCGCCTCGAGGGCAGATGTGACGAAGACCAGGGAACTTCGGGTCGACTTCTGGGTGGTGGTCGTGGCGATGGTCGACTGGGAGTCGGCTCGGTTTCGATTCGGGAGGCTCGCTCCATTTGTATGGCTGGGAGGAGCTTGATCGGGAATTCGTGGAGAGGGTTGGGATTCTGATGCGGGTTCCAACGTGCCGGGAGTATCGGGAAAAGGCGATGCTGACGACGTAGGAAGGGAGGTTGCATCTTCGATGGCTATTGTCGGAGTATCAATTGCAGGAGTATCAATTGCAGGTTGGTTGGCGACCTCCTCGTAACCCTCGTCAACCTGTATTGAACTGGCCTCCGTCTCCGGGGGAGGGGGAGAGGGATCCTGCTCTTCCGCCATATCTGAGGCAGCACCGAGTAATCCTAAAGAGAGCGACAATAGGAAGCAACGGATTACAGAAACATCTTAGGACTTAGACATGCGTGAAGCGGTAGGCATAAGCCGGGGAGAGTGGATGACAGTAGTAGGAGAAACCGCAGTCCAAGTTCGAGCCTGAATAATGAGAGGAAACAGGAGGGTGGTGACAATAAGAACAGTTGGAGCATACACGTTGGACTTGGAGTTGTTCGGTGTTCACTTCGAAGCTCCAGATGGACAGTGAGACCGATGTGATCCAGGCATTCAGGCACTCAGGCACTCAGGCATCAAGGATGTAAGGCATACAAATGGAACAGATCCCGATCACGTGCTTTGCGTTTTAATAAGGCGACAAAGCGTCAAGTTCAGGCATCAAGTTAAATTCTCAAATCAGGCAGCAAGGCCCTAAGGCACCATGCACCGTTTTCTCGTTCCCACTCCGTTCCGGCGCCAGAAAGTTGAACGATGAGATACTCACCTCAACAAGAATTCCATTCCCAATTCATCCTCCCCCCATCCATCTCAATTGTCCATCCCACTCCTTTGATTCTTGTCTCTCCACGGGAGCTCCGGGTCTTCGAAGCTCGTCACCTAGCTCGACCCGATTCCCCCCTCCATTCCTTGTGGAACTTGTCCCTTTCCTTCTCCGACATGGCTTCGTCCACGGGTTTACTCCGACTCTCACGGACTTCCTTATGGAGTACCCAGTTAGGGTCCATTCGGGCCGTACCAGTAATACGATGCACGGGGTATGTCCGAATGGGCTTGGATTCGAGGGAGCGCCCCAATTGACCATGTTGTAGATGCCGTCCTCCCGCGTTGGCCGCACTGGCAAGATATTATGCCTCGAAGTGTAAGCACGCGAAGAAACACCCTCCGGAATGCCAGATTGACATGATATGCAGCATATCCATCCCACACCGTCGTTAGCATGCCCGCTCTGTCGCCTACCATGACGGCCGGGAACATCGGAGCGTGGCAGCAGAAGGTCGGCGATACGTTGAGCCCCGGAGATGTCTTGGTGGAGATTGAAACCGACAAAGCACAAATGGACTTCGAGTTCCAGGAAGAAGGTACTCTTGCGAAGATCCTGAAGGAGTCTGGAGAGAAGGATGTGGCCGTTGGCAGTGTAAGAGCCCTCGTATTCTAATCTGCAAGTTCGCCCAGCTAACCCCTCAACAGCCCATAGCTGTCATGGTGGAGGAGGGAGCCGACGTTTCCGCCTTCGAATCATTCACCATCGAAGATGCCGGGGGCGACAAAGCTCAAGAAACGCCCGACAAAAAGGATGAGTCGGCCGGTGCGCCGTCCGAGAAAGCCCCTGAGCCATCCAAGGACGATTCGAAAACCACCTCCGCTCCGGCATCCATCGAGTCGACCTCCACCGGCGAGAAGCTCCAAACCGCCCTCGACCGCGAACCCCTCGTCGCCCCCGCCGTACGCAAGCTCGCTCTCGAGAAAGGCGTCCCCATCTCCCAGCTCAAGGGCTCCGGACCCGCCGGCCGCATCACGAAAGAGGACGTCGAGAAATACGCCCCGGCCACCAGCGCCGCCCCCGCCGCCGCTGCCTACGAAGACACCCCGGCTACCTCGATGCGCAAAGTCATCGCCGCGCGCCTCACCGAGTCCGTGAACAAGAACCCCCACTACTTCGTCAGCTCTACCACGTCGGTGACCAAGCTCCTCAAGCTGCGCGCCGCCCTCAACGCCGCGTCCGCCGGCGCCTACAAGCTCAGTGTCAACGACTTTCTCGTCAAGGCGATCTCCATCGCCGCCCGTAAGGTCCCCGCCGCCAACTCCAGCTGGCGCGAGCAATCCGGCGCCGTTGTCATCCGCCGGCACCACACCGTCGACGTCTCCGTCGCCGTCGCCACCCCGTCCGGCCTCATGACCCCCATCGTCACCAACGTCGGCGCCCGCGGCCTCGCGGACATCAGCGCCGCCGTCAAGGACCTGGGCAAGCGCGCCCGCGACGGGAAGCTCGCCCCCGAGGAATATCAGGGCGGCACCATCACCATTTCGAACATGGGCATGAACGACGCCGTCGAGGGGTTTACCGCCGTCATCAACCCGCCGCAGGCCGCCATCGTGGCCGTCGGAACGACGCGGAAGGTCGCGGTGCCGGCGCCGGCGGAGGAGGGCGAGGAGCCCGGCGTCGCGTGGGACGATCAGATCGTGTTGACGGGGAGCTTCGATCATAAGGTGGTGGACGGCGCGGTCGGGGGAGAGTTCATGCGGGAGTTGAAGAAGGTGGTGGAGAACCCGTTGGAGATGATGCTGTAAATCGCTGAAACATCCTTTTTGCATGGTTTTCCGGCTATAATCTGGTGTCCGATTCCGTTTTCCATATTCAGGGGGTGCGTTGTCTTTGGGAATAGGTTTCTGGAGAAATAGGCAGCGTGTTTTCCCCGTCCAAAAAGCGGTCTCTCGCGGATTTGGGTTGGTGTGGTTTTCACGATCCTCGTTGGAAATCCCTTGGGCAAATCATCTAATTACCGTGGTCCGAGGACACGTCTCTATCATAAAAAAATCCGAGCGATCGTCTTCTGCACCGGAATTATGCACGGTGGTTGACGAGTACGTGACGACGAATGGAGGTAGGAAAGTGAGGGCCAAATGAACATGCTTTTCTTGATTCATCCAAGTAGTCTATTTAAAGTGTATCTCATCCCTCCAGTCATAATGCCGGCCATTACCCATCACCGTTGAACCTCTACGCCTCCTCCACCTCATCCGGCTTCGTCCCCGCCTCGTTCGGGTCCGCATCCTTCATCTCCACATCCTTCGCCTTCTCCGCCTCGGCGGCCGCCTTCCGCCGCTCGTTCTCACGCTTCGTGCGCTCCTCCTCCTCCTTCCGCTTCGCCTCGATGTCCGCGCGGCGCCGCGCCTCCTCCTCGTCGCGGACGCGTCGCTCCTCCTCGATCTTGTCGTGGAAGCGTTGGACGACGGGGCCGGCGACCGCGCGGATCTCCTCGAGCTTGGCGACGTAGACGGCTTTGGTGGCATCTTCGCCTTCGTCGTAGAGCCAGTCCTGCGAAGTCGGTTAGCATGATATTTATAATATAAAAAAGGGTGCAATGGTGCCTACCTCGACCTCCTCGCACTTCGTCTTGATCTTCTGCCGCTCGGAATCGTCGCGCACGAACTCGGCCAGGTTGCCGCCCTCCTCGACGCGGCCACGCGTCTCGTAGATGAAGCTCTCCAGCTCGTTCTTCTTGTCCTCGGTGTCCGCGACCAGCTTGTCCTCCGCCACCATGGAGTACTCGTGCTCGGCCGCCTCGTCCTTGGAGGTGATGTCCATCGACGCAGTGCCCGAAGAGATAGGGAGGTCGCCCTTGCGGACCTGCTTCTTGACCTTTCGCGTCTTGGGCTTCTCCGCGGCGCCTTCGGCGGATGTGTCCATCGCCTGGGGTAGTCAGTAATTGATCGTTGGTCAATGAGGGGTAAATCATAAGCACTTACGGTGTCATCTTTACCCTCCTCTTTCTTCTCCGGGATGGGCTCTTCCACCTCTTGGTCCTCGACCCAGTATCCTTGCTCCACATTCAACACACCGTGAAGGTTTAGACGCGCCTTCAGCTTGCAGATCATGAAGTCGTCGTCACCAGTGGGCTTGACGCCCTTGACGCTGAAACGACCGATCCAAGGCGACACGCCACCGGGAAGCTGTTCTGGCTTCGCGTAGCGGGCCTCGAGGTCGAAGGGGTTTTTGCGGTAGAAGGTCAGGATCTTCGTGCTGGGCATGATGTTCCCCTTGTTGAACACGGTGAGCGAGGTGTCCTCGTCGGGGATGTCGGTGCTCTTCTCCCAGGTGAATTCGATCGGGTAGCTGACGATGTCGTGAACGGAGAAGTCGCGGACGCGGAACACCGGGGACAGGATGGCGCAACTGAAGGCGCAGCCGCGCGCGACCGCCTCGTCCTGGTTGAGTGTGTAGCTGAGCGGCTTGTTGAAGAACTCCTGCACCTTGGTCTTCAGCGCCGGGATACGGATGCACCCGCCGACCATCTCTATCCGGTCGATGTCCTCGACCTTCAGCTTCGCGTCGGCCAGCGCTTGCTCGAGCGGCACCAGCGCACGGTCTAGCAGGGGCTTCGCGAGCTCCTCGAACTGCTCGCGCTTGAGGAAGCCGCGCACGTCGACGTCGTTCATTAGCGATTCGATGTTAATCGGGGCACTCGCGTTGGCGCTGAGGACCTTCTTCAACTTCTCGCACGCGGCGGCGACGCGGACGCGGGCCTTCGGGTTCGTGTTGATGTCGATCTTGAACTTCTCCTTGAACTCCGCGGCGAAGTGGTCGACGAGGAGCTTGTCGAAGTCGCGGCCGCCGAAGTGGCGGTCATGGGTGGACGATTTGACGGCCAGCTCCCCTTTGCGGAACTCCACGATGCTGCAGGTGTAGTTGGAGTAGCCGATATCGACGAACGCCACGCGGCGGGGCTTCTCCTCCGGCGCCGGAAGATCGAGTTTCGTGATGCCGTAACCCAAGGCGGCGGCCGTTGTGGAGTTGATCAGTCGAAGGACCTTGAGACCGGCGACTTCCGACGCATCGATCAGGCTGCGTCGTTGCGCGTCGGTGTACCAGGCCGGGCAACTGAGGACCAAGTCGGTCACGGGCAGCTTCAGCTCCGCGGAGGCGGTGGCCTTGACCTTGGTGAGGTACATGGCGATGAGCTGGGTGGCGGTGAACTGCTGCTTCTTTCCCAGATAGGTCACCTCGGCGCCGACTTGTCCGTTGATGTCCACCAGCGGGGCGGACACGAACTGCTGCTCGATCTGTACATCGGGATCCTTGAACGAGCGGCCGGCTAGACGGGTGAGGGAGCCGACCGTGTTCTTGATGTTCGAGATCTCCTGCGTCTTCGCGGCTTCACCTAAATATCTGCTTTTCGGACCGAACCCGACAAGGGACCTAGATAGTGGTTAGCGATCATCTCAGGCTACCCCACGATGGGAGAGATTCGGGGACTTACGGCGTAACCCGATTTGAGACTTCATTCGCAATCTACGGGGAAATATTGTCAGTTCTGATTATGAGCGCCACAATGCAGACAGGCTCCCAAGACTTACCACATCGACGCCTCTGTTCCGGGCGACTGCGATGACCGTATTCAGCGACCCGAAATCTACGCCAACAACGGACATTGTCTTCTGTGGGGGAGATAAACCTGGAGGGGAAAAGGTATGACGGAATCCTAGCACGGATGACAAGACCAAAGTCTAGAGGGGAGAGAATCGGCAAACAGCGGTGGTATAGAATTCAACTTTCCTGGGGGAATTGTTGTGGTGAAGTGGTAGTGGTAGGAGTAGGTGGAATTGGTTGAAGATGTGCCAGCAAAGTCATGCATGAACCGACAAAATGCCAAAAATCATGCGAAAGGTTCGAACGTCGAAAGTGGAACTGCCCTGGCCCTTGCAAGTCGCCAAGTCCTTGGATGATTCTGCTGATTTCTGTGAGAGTCGAGAATTATCCAGAATCCTCGCCCTGAGCTGCTTCCGCCTCGTCCGCCCCGCCGTCCGCTGCTCCGCCCCGCGCTAGCCGGAGTGGTTGGATCATGTGATCATGCCATTCCGAAAGACATACCTTAGGCTCCAAGGCATAAATATTGTAGGGCTGAAGTGCAGGGATATTTAGCTCGTGGTTGTCCAATCAGATGCAGCTGCGGTTTGGCGTTCTGTCGCGTTCACCTCTTGCTGCTTCCTCACCCGTCACTATCATCACTACTAGAACTCTAGAAGCGACGTAACCAAATATAGTTCTTGGCCCGAGTATTGTCCCCTCTAATTCTCTTCATATCCATAATACACCCTTTCTTGGTTCCATTGTAGTTGTGCCTGTCCTGATACCATCCATCCCCATCGCGACAAACCACAACCATCATGGCAGACCGATTGACACAGCTGCAGGACTGCCTGGATCAGGTACCGACCTTATGGTCATTGGATACCCTCACATCACTCTAACTTGCACTCAGCTCCTCACTCAAATGTATGCCTCTCTACGCTTCATCGAATCTCATGCCCCATCCGCTGCCATCCCCGGCCTACCAACGAACCCTGGCGCAACCCAAGAGCAACCCAACACCACCATATCCACGACCGTCAATCCGAGCAGAGCCGACGATGGCGCAACAGCTGAGAACTCTCGAAATGGCCACACCTCCCAACCCCCATCACAACCCCTATCGTCGCAGACCCACCCCCATCCCTCCTCCGAACCCGCCAGCGACGAACAACGCCTGACTACCCAAGAACCGCCAATCCCACCCGAGCAAGGCTTCGACGCGACCCTCAACGAACTAGCGGTTGACCTGACCCTGAAGATGGCGCAAATCATGGTCCTCATCGACGGGCTGCCGGGCATCGGGCAATCGGAGGCGATGCAGCGGGCGCGAATCCGCGAGTTGGAGCGCGAGCTGGCGGAGGTGGAGACGGAGCGGGAGGGGGTGTTTCAGGAGTGGGAGGACTTGTGGAGCTTGACGGCGAGCCTGGGGATGGTGGGGGACTTTGAGGAGTAGAGGCGCGTCGTACGTGGGAATCGAAGGTGTTGGGCGGTCATGAAGCGCGGCATTTGAGAGGGAGTGCATGGATGGGGCGTTGGAAAGTATTCATGTTGGCTTGAGTAGGGTTGCAGATCTAATTTAGATACAACATTTAACAACCAAACGGTAAATGGACCTCCGTTTTTGGCGGTTTGTGACGCCGTTTTGGTGGTAAACTTGCCCTAGCCCGGAGCCTATCGAGGACCCCCTTAGGGCCGACCAGGGATCTTATCGAAGCTCGATGATGAGCCGTAGTGTCGAAGATGCCTGCCGAGTCCCAGGTTGTTGTTTTAGCGCCGCGATGTCAGTCCCGTCCGATATAAAACGAGGTCTCCTTCCTAGCCCTTCCTGCTCTTTTTGGCTGTATACAGTCACCAGCCAAAAGAGTGGCGGGAAGAACTGGCACCGTGATCGCCTCTATACCCGCCAGAGCCTGCAGAGCTGGACGCAGAACGGTCAGCGACAATACTAGGTCGTCGAGTGTACGGATTCCACCCGCAACGATGACACCTAGGTCCTACAACTAGCCCGGAGAGTTCGCCTCTAGGCGTCGAGCAAGTGCCAGTGTTGGACCAGGCGGAGCGTCAGCGTCTCATGGCCCTGAACGGGAACTGGTCAATACAAGATACCGGGATCGATGACCTCGTCTTCACCAGTAACTGGATGCGTCGCACAAGCTGGGCATCGACGTTCGCTGATACCTACCGTAGCCTGCTGTTGTGGCTGCCGAGAGTTCCCGTGTGCCAGTGGCCGCGACCTTGAACTCGGTCACTAGCATCGAATTCCTGATCCAAACAGTCGGAGCCGGAAAGCGCAACGTTCCCTCAGCTTCATTTGCCTAACCGCACCGCCACACCTTACCCAATTCAAGCGTTCCCATCTTAGCCACACCCCACTAATTCACTTGGGTAGACCTGTCCGTACGCAGTACATAGTACACCCGACAAGCCACATCTACACCCTGTCAGCCATCGTCGAATTCATTTTGACCGCCAAACCACCTCGAGCCTCCCATGCTGCAAAAACAATGACGACTTGACCGGTTCGCATGAATGAACTGAAGCACCTCCTGCAATAAGTGAACAAGTGGCTATGTTGGAGAGAGACTGTAGTCGCCATGTTAGAGTACGCGCCCGAAAGATCACAAAATTAACTTCTCCAGAAAGCCTTGCGACAAAGCCTCTCTCCAAAGTTCCTTGGCCGATCGCAAGGCTTCCAGAGTTCCAGTGAGAATACAGTACGTGTACGGAGTACTCAACCCTGGTCCTGAGTAGGCGGGGTAATAATCTTTCTAAGGTAGTTCTACACCATCGCAAGTGCTTCCATGCTACTAAAACAACAACGACCCGACCTGTTCGCTTTGAATGAACTGAATCACTCACTACAACAGGCGAACGAGAGAGGCTATGTTCGAGAGATATAGGCTCTTGCAAAACCGACTTCCCCCTTTGCGTGCTCCACGGCTCCTTTACGGTGGTGAGATGATTTAACCACTTGAACCATAAAGAAACCTTACATTCCTCAAAATTCACTCTGCACGCCTCCTTTTTCTATCCTCACTACTTTCTTATTTCGGTGTCTCTACTCAAGAAACCAACTATGGCTGAGGGCCTGGGGGTAGCGGGCGGCGTTGTTGGCATCGTTTCACTCAGCATACAGGTAGCAGAGAGACTCTTAAAATACTACGAATCCTGGAAGAATCAAGACAAAGACATCTCAGATACATGCGCATCGCTCGAGAGCCTGCGAGGAACATTAACAATCATATGGAATACTATCCAACCACCTGCCAAGTTTGACAAGAGCATAAAGGGCGATGTTGAGAAGAATATCGAACTTATCGAGGCGGCCGTAAAAGAGCTCAACGACGAGTTAAAAAAAGCGCAGAGCACAGAATTACCTGGACAAGGTGCGCGATCCGCAATGCGACGTCATGTACGAAGAGCTTTGTATCCATTCAAGGAACAAACGCTGCATAAAATCCAACAAGTTGTTTCCGAGGCTCGTGCAAACCTCGATACAGCTTTGCATGCATTGCAACTGTTCGTCCACCTTGATAAGGTTCCCCAAATGCTAAACTAATCCAAATAACCAGGAGTAGAACCTCAGATATTCACCGCGAAGTCAATTCGCTTGTACGATGGCAAAAAGGTAGTTTATTCCGAAGATGTTCTTGACTTTGTTCGAATCACGGATAACTAATAAGCCATTAGACGAAGAAACTCAAAACATACTTCATTGGCTGTCACCAGTGAATTTCTGGCTAAAGCAAGCGGATGTGTCCAGCCAAAGAGAACCTGGAACTGGGAAATGGCTGCTTCAACATCCAGACTTCCTTGAATGGGCAGAGGGAAACAAGGAGGCCGTTTGGTGCTTCGGAGGCCGTAAGTTGTGTTTTGAGTCGGCCTGATGTCAAAGCTGTAAGCTAACTAGATGTCAGCTGGGGTTGGCAAGACTATACTTTCGTAAGTAGAACCATTGATCGTGTCAAGCATGAGAAATGAGGCTTACTATTAAGATCCGCTATCGTCGAGTTTCTAGAGAATGATTTGCCCATCCAAGGGACGGGGCTTACATTCGTCTACTGCGACCACAAACAGAATCTATTACAAAGAGTCGAATTCTTTATTGGCGCAATCGTTCGGCAGTTAGTAGAGCGAAAGCAAACAATTCCAAAAGATGTCCAGATTCTTTATCAAAACCACCGAGGAAAAGGGACGACACCCACCCGCTCCGAGTACCTGGAATTGCTTCAATCTTTGAGTAACGAATGTTCCGAGTTGTATGTTGTTATCGATGCATTAGATGAATGTGTCGATAAGTATGGAGAAATGATTTGGGAAGACCTCCTTACTAATTTGAAGAGGTTTGTTACTAACCTACGTCTACTATACACATCACGGCATATCGACGATGTTGGAAGAATATCAGCAGGATCAATTTGCATCGAAGTACGTGCTAGCGACGCAGACATGAGAGCTTACATTCAAGCACAAGTCAATTCTAAAAGTGTCTTGTTGGGATTCTGTCAGCAAGATACCAACCTCCAGAACGACATTCTGCAAAATGTGGTATCGAGAGCTGGAGGAATGTAAGTCCTTTACCGCTTTATTACCACGTCCCATGATATCTGATACTGAGACTTCCAAAGGTTCCTAGCTGTACGACTTTTTATCGAGTCTCTAGCCTCTCAAACGAATCTTAGAGCAGTTACGAGGGCATTAAATACAATGCCAGCAAAGCTCGATGATACTTATGACCAGGCCATGGAGAGAATCAAACAGCAACCTCACCGAAGGCTTGCCCTGCAGGCTCTGACTTGGATAGTGTACGCCGTTAGACCTCTTCAAGTTAATGAAATCCGACATGCCATAGCTATTGATGAACTGGAACCCGATGATCGATCCATATCAGAAGATATGCTCACACTACCAGAACTGATTGTCAACGCTTGTGCGGGGATGATTAAAATCGATGAAGAAAGCAATGTCATTGGCTTGGTGCATAAAACTACACAAGAATACTTCGACCGATATGGCGCCAAACATTTCCCAGATGCACAGTGGAAGATAGGAAAAGGATGTCTTACATATTTATCCCTTGATGTGTTTAGTGGGGGCCACTGTACCACCTATGCACTATTTGAATGTCGACTGCGGGAAAACACATTACTTGGCTATGCTGCTCAGAATTTTGGTAATCACATCCGTGAAGAGACCGGGTGCAGACTACAATCTCCAGCATTGAATTTTCTACTGGATAGGCGCAAAGTATCGTGTGCAAGTCAAGCCTTATTTATCACTCAGAGAGAATGGCGTTCGAACGGATATAGCCAAATCTTTCCTCATGATTTTCTTGGTATTCACTATGCGGCCTATCTTGGGTTGATAGAAATAATCCGATACTTGATAGAGAATCCAGAGGTTGACGTCGACTCGAAGGACAATAACGGCCGAACGCCGCTGTCGTGGGCAGCCGAGAACGGGCACGAAGTCATCGTCAAGCTACTGCTCGAGACGGGCCAGGTCGATGTCGACTCGAAGGGTAAAAATAGCCGAACGCCGCTGTCGAGGGCCGCCGAGAAAGGGCACGAGGCCGTCGTTAAGCTGCTGCTCGAGACAGGCCAGGTCGATGTCGACTCTAAGGGCAATAACAGCCTAACGCCGCTGTCGAGGGCCGCCGAGAACGGGCACGAGGCCGTCGTTAAGCTACTGCTCGAGACGGGCCAGGTCGACGTCGACTCGAAGAGCAATAACGGCCGAACGCCGCTATCGAGAGCCGCGGAGAAAGGGTACGAGGCCGTTGTCAAGCTGCTGCTCGAGACGGGCCAGGTCGGCGTCGACTCAAAG